ACAGCCTTCTTTGAATCCTTTCTTGTTTGCCCCTAAGCAAAAATATAATCGCTGAAACCTGTCGAGCTCATACTTCTCACATAAAACTTCAATGGTTGTCCCGGGGTTTGACCTTCTAATCTCAGCCATGTATCTATGTAACATTCCATATTGTTTTGATATTTTTCCTCTCACCTTCTCAAGTGCTTTCCTTTTTGCATTCCAGGCTTGAGTTCTTGAGATGGTGCAATGCTTTTCATTTTTAACCCTAAACACTAATGTCCCAACACTGATGTTAGGATCATGAGCAAAGTCAGGCAAATACCAGTTTGAGATAATATCTGAATTTATGTTCTTGCTTGTGCACACTCTCCCACAAGTATGCTTATCAAACGTCCTGATTTGGAAAGTTTCAACCCCCTTAAGTTTCACACCATACACCTCCCAGTTACAATTTTCACAATACGCTCGCACAAACTCAGAATCATTCTTGGAAAACTGAATATTCCTCCTGTCAAGTATGTTATGATGTCTGATTGCCTTCAATAAAATAAACTTATTTGGGAAATCCTGTTTCAAGTGAAATGATAGATTCTTCATATTTGTTTCCGAGTTGAACTCCATGCGTTTTTTGACTTTGCTTTGCTGATCATCATCACTGAACCCATAATTTGCATCTGACTCATTTCCATCATCGCGCAATCTTACATCATCAGGGTCTACAAAGTCAGATAACACTTTGTATGAACACCACTGCGTTCCTCCCACTCTAGAATCAACAAACTTCTGAAAATCAGCATCATCGTCTTCAGACATGTCATAGTCAGTATCATTCTCATAATCAGGATCAGCTGCATCTTCCTCTTCTTCAGAATCATAGTACACTACTCTACTATGTTTCTGAAATGGGTCATACTCATTTAACCCAATTCTAAACACTTGCACCACTGAATGTTTATTCTGTGTCGTAATCAGTAGTTGTGCATCTTCATTCCCAGCCATAATCTTAAACCCAGAATTAACTTCTACATTTCCATCCCTATAGTATAGCTTATGTGGCCTACAGTAGCCGAGCCTATCAATATAAGTTTCGAGAGCGTCTTTAGTAAGCAACGCAATAGGTACCTGGTCAAAGTAAGCAACTTCTCCCTCAACATACTTCAAATTCGGATTCATTATGAACCCCCCTCCATGACGAAGTTTGATTGTTACCAGACCAGAACCTTTGTCTGTATAATAAGAAACACAAAAAATACTTTAAAAATAAGATTTTTTAATTAATCGTATGAATAAAACCCTAGATTCCACAATGAAATTCCTGTACTCTTATAAAAGGTGGAGAAAAAAGAACTCTTTTTATAATTCCACACACAAAAAACACTTGATAAACAATTACTTGTACACACATCCACCAAAATAAAAAATACTTTCAAATAAAAAAAAACCATTCTTACCGTAAATCGGAGCGTCGTGCTCGTAATCTTCATCTGGAGTATCTTGTCCTCTCCACATCTTCAAATCCCTAGATTCGCCTAGATCTACCCGTTTAATTCAATTTTCTCAATAGTTTACTAATTTTCTTGCTCGAATGACCCTCAAATCCCCAGATTAGTTTTCTTCCCAAACCCATTGTTGACGTTCTGCACTTTTTGAGTGTTTATTTTTTTTGAGGAATATAGTAGTCAATGGTGGCTTTTGAATAAACATATGTGGAGTCCACTTTCTGCACACGTGAGTTTGATCTCTCTTTTCTTTATCATTTTTTATTTTCTTGTTTTTCTTGGAGGGAAAAATTCTCCAATTATTCCCGCTTCAAAACCCACGTGCCTGGTACGTATCAAAAGTCTTTTTTTATTCGGATACTTTTAATCAGGTTTTCACACGCACACAGCAGCACGTGTCACCTTTTTTTTTGAATTTCAAATTTTAAAATTCAAAATTTATTCGGGCGGGAATATTTGACAACCCTTTGACCGACCACCATTCACCACCCTTATACCGCCGCCATGCACCACCATCCAGCTTGAACCGCCGTCGTCACCACCGACATTTACCGACACCAGCAACGCCGCCGACATTTCTCGCCGCCTTGACTTCAGCTCCACCATATCACCACCACAAACTTGTCGAATTTCGAAAAATATTCCGGCGTGCTGGTGACACCGGCGACGGCGCTGCCTATCAAAGGTGCTGGCCGATAGACGGTGATGTATTTCCGGTGGTGGCTGCCTGGTAGCTTGTTGGCACGTGATATGCACTTGACTAACATTCAAAAACTGAAATGTCATATATGCCCTTTAACAAAAGATCATGTGAGAGGCATGTGACAGTCCATATTTGACGGTCAACTCACAGAAAAACAAAAATACAAGTTATGGGGCCTTAGGAAGACAATTTTGGTCTTTTGGGACCAAATGAATATAGCACCCCAAGTTTTAGGATTTTTTGGACAATTAAGCGTATATTTTTTGTTAATAGTATGAAGATTTTATACAGAGTTAATTATGAATATTACTTATGCAAAAAAAAATTAAGATATTATTAGTATAATTTACATTGAATATTTATTACTTGATAAACCAACGAAAAAAAAAATCTCTCTCCACTGTCGGATTAATACATACCCAGCCACCCTCCCCCCCCTCCCCCTCCTCCACTCCTCCTGGTTGTCAAAAGCTGGTTCAGCCACTGAGAGTCTCGTGTCAAGTGAGTTTCCTTATTACGATTTTAATAGACTGAAGGGCCTTTTTTTTTGTCCATCTAACGGTTCAGAGCCATATATTTTCTCAGACTTCAAGAGGAATTGCTAATTGTCAAAAATGAAGTATCACCAGTACTTATATAATAGAGTAAAGCAAGATGATGGGGCTGTCTCTCTTTCCCCCTCTCTCTCTCTTCTTTCTTTCCTCTCTTCTCTCTCTTCTCTCTCTTCTCTTATTTTCTTCGAGAGAGAAAGTTCCATCAATCTTCCTATCCTACATGAACAAGGATGGGAATCTAAATTTTTTTTGTTCTGTCATCCTCCTCTTGTAGCAGATTGACTCACCCAATTTTGGGTGTTTTGTTCTTTCAATCTAAAATTCTAAAAGTTTCTTTTTTTTTTTTCTATTTTTTGGTATATTTTGGATCTCTCTTTGAGAGATCTACTTGTATATTTGGTATAAATTCTCTTTGCGGATGTGATTAAATGGGGAATATTTTCTGGCGAATTTTTCATGTTTAATTTGAAGCTTTTCCTCCCCTATACGCAGGGCCGGTCCAAACTTCTGGAGCGCCCTAGTGCAAAACAAGAATATGGGCCCTGTGAAATAGGATATACATTTATAAATAAAATGATTATTTTAATTTTTTATATCGTATACTGCACTCAACATCCAAAATTTATATTGCTTATGTTGCGTTTAATCTGATTCGAATTGGACAAATCATTTTATGAATGATAAAACTCTTATGATGTTACCGCCCTACGTTCGAATTGGACAAGTCATTTTATGAACGATAAAACTCTTATGATGTTACCACCTTATTTTTGTAAATATACGCAGGCGAATTTTCCTTACATAACTATGGGAATAAATTCAATTTATTTTTTTAAAAAAAAATCTATGATGAGCCTTACTAACTAGTGGATCAAACCTTACTGTGAACTCTGTAAATCCTAAACTTATCATATCAAAATTCTTTATAATCTTGTTCAACTTCCTTTAAAAAGATTCAAACACACTTATATGAGTGTCAATGAATTGGAATTAAGTCTACAGATTTCAATATCATTTTTAATTGTCAATGAAAATGTCAGAAACAAAAACTTTTAATTATGTGTTTAATAATCGACACACCCAAACGAAAATCAAAATTGTCTTAACAAACAAATATTTCATCTAATGTTAGAACATGATGAGTAGATGCAAAATATAACTTTGTGGCTAAAACTCTAACTTTTTTTTGTTCAAACTTCAAACAAACAATCCTAGTCCTACTAGTGATTCTTTTAATAATAATTACACCATGAATGATAGGAAAATGAAAGGCCGATTTATGAACAAATCCATTCACTTTATTTCCCCCAGTTGGGGTATCAAGTTAACTGAGCTCGGCCCATGTTTTTACTTTGGTTTTTTGTTTAGGTAAGATTAGTTATTTTTTTTCTTGATTGACAGCTTGGGCTTCTGTACATTTTAAGAAGTTGGTTAAATTAATTAATAAGAATTGGATGGCTAAATAATTTCAGAGCCTAATTTCGACAAACACACACATTTTTAAAACCCAACCGCGAACTTAATATAGTCACACTTTAAATTGGGGATTACTAAAGGGCCCTCTCCTCCCTTTGGCCCTGGGCGGTAGCACCATTCGCACCGGCCCAAGACCGACCCTGCCTATACGTGAAACTACTTTTGTGAAGAGGCACATCATCGGTGAATTTGAGAAGAAATATGAACGTGAGTTTATCTGACTGTTCCCCTTTACCATTTTTGTTATTGAGAATGTTAAGGTCTTGTTTGGACAAGTCACTTTTTGTATTTTTGTCTCATTTTATCTTTTAAAATACCTTTTAAACACAAATTCCAATACTATCCAAACAACTTTTTAATTTATCTTTTAAAAAATATTTCAAAAATTATTTTTACACAATTTTCGTCCACAACCACCGGACCACCTCCGCCGCCACCGCCCACCGCCGGACCACCCAGCGCCGTCGGCCAGTGACCAGCCGGCCATTTTCCGGCCAAATTCCGCAGTGGTGGAGGTGGTCCGGTGGTTCTCTAAAAATATTATTATTTTATTTAAAATATTACTCAAACAATTTTTTAAATTTTATCTCAAACCACATTTTAAATCACATCTCAACCCAAATCAAAAACTAAAACAAAATGTTGGCCAAACAAGCCGTAATATTTCGGGAAAAGTAGTTGTTACGTTACTCTATATTACCTATGTACTTGTTTTCTGTATGCTATGAGATTTTGTTAGATCATTTTCAAAAATACGATTTTTATTTGTTTTTTGATGTGCAACAGGAAGAAATGTTGTGTTGAACGAGTTTGGATCTCCCAAGGTTGTTAATGCTAGATTAACTATTGCCAGAGCCATTGAGTTGCCTGATGCTATGGAGAATGCTGGTGTTGCACTTATCAGAGAGGTCATGTTTTTCTCATTTTTATATATTAGATTCATCTTTTGTTTTCTTCTTTTACTTTACGTTCCCTAATAATGTCAGTGTTATTACCTTCTTCTGAAAAGTTGAAATGTGTGTATAGGTTACAAGCAAGATCAACGATTCTACTGGTGTTGGCACAACAACGTCTTCTGTCCTTGCTCGTGAAATTATTAAGATTGGTTTACTGAGAGTTACTTATGGTGCCAATCCAGTTTCTGTGAAGAAAGGGATAGATAAAACTGTGCAAGGATTAATTGAGGAATTGGAAAAGAAATCCAGGCAGTTAAAGGGCGAGATGACATCAAGGGTATTCTATTTGCTACTTCATAAGGACATGCTTTTAGGTCTCTAGTTCAGTGGGTTATTCTAGTCTTCATATTTGCGTGCTTTTTTTTTTGTTGCAGTCGTGGCTTCTATCTCCTCTGATACAGAATCGAGATGCAAAATTTGAAATTGAAATTGAAATATGGGGTGTCAAGTGGCCTGTGAGTTCAGGATTTCAGTTTGATTCCCCCTTGTTGTTTCTTAATTTCTGAATTATTTTACATGTTTAATTTGGAGATTTTCCTCCCCTGTAGGTAAAACTACTTTTGTGAAGAGGCACATCACCAGTAAATTCGAGAAGAAATATGAAAGTGAGTTTATCTGACTGTTCCCCTTTTCGTTATTCAACTTTTGATTCTGCTTCTTTCTAGTGGTTTTGAGTCTAACAAAATATTAGGGGAAGAGGATTGTGATAAGTTTATATTGAGTAAGTATGCTTCGTTTGAGAGAAATTTGCCATCTTTGCTTGTGTGGAGAAACATCTGAAGTTGCAAAACCTTATACTGGAGAAGAAATTTCATCTTTAGAATCAAGAAAATGTATGTATCTTGAATTAAGATAGATTAGGAAATCAAAATCAATTGAATGGAAGCAAAACGGTTTTTTTTTCCTTTTCACTCCAGCCATATCTTTGAATTGCAGGTTGCATGTTTGGAAACTATTGATTATATTGGTGAACTATTTCTTGGTGCAGGGTTAGACACCCTTTGGGATAGACCTTCAAACAAGCTATATTGCAAACTTCAGCTTTGGTAATAATCAGTTTGCGGAGTCTTTAGTTCCTGTATAATATTGTCAATTATGTACATACTTATAGTTTATGTTGGTGGCTTGTGTTTTGCCTCCAACTTCTTAAAACGTTTTACTGTGTTTTCGTCGACGAGTGTGAATTCAGCTGCAATCATGGGAAGAACTATGAACTGTTGCAAAGTAAAAATTACAATTTATTGACCGTTGAGCTGAACTTGGAGCTATAGGCTATTTTCTTCTATGTTTTTTTATATTTTATTTTTTCATGAATTAAAATTTTCATCAGTTGCATTTTGTTATAGATTAAGTTGAATTGAGCAATATTATGAATATTTAACATGAAACAAAAAGGGTGATAGGATATGGTTGCACTTCCTAATATAAATGGAAAGGAAATGGAGTGACATAAATAGATGAGAAAATGAGATAACCACGCTTAAAAGGGATTGAGCATGGGCACATTAGACCTTTGGATGCCTTAAATGAGTAGAACGTAGGATCACTTACTAATATCATAATGGAAATATGAAGGCATGCTAAAATCAGGAGTAAATATATTTTAAAACTTAGATGAGAACATGTATACTACCAGAGCATGATGGTAGTATATGATCTATATAGCCCCTCCACCTAGTGAGATAAAACCTTAGTAGTTATTGATCATAATCTTTTATGTTGTGTTTCTTGGGTCAATTGAAGCTTCTTTGAGCTTGAACTTTTTGTTTTTTATATGATTCCCTTTTTGTGGTAATAAATTTTCTTCCCCATGAGAATTTTGAAGGTTGAGACAACACATTTATTTACAGGGAAGTAAGGAATATTCTACAAATTTTGAGCCCTACTTTATAAGCAAAGCTTCAAACTTTTTCTATCTTTTCTTGTATGTGGAGTATCATCTGTTTTCAAATTCTGTTGATGATTTTTCCGAAATTACTCTTGCCTTTACCTTTGTGGAAACAAAAAACTGGTGGAAGAACAAAAGTACTTTTGGAGACTGTTACAGTGCACAAGCTGGCAGATTCTTTGTTGCTAGCTTTGAGATTAGCTTTGAAGAGAGCAATCCATGTTGGACTCGGTGGATATGAACATGAGGATTTTTCAAGCTACCGAGTTAGTTGATCGGCATTTGCAGGTATTGGCTCTTCCTGAACATTTCATTTGGTGGATTTCATTTTCTTGTGGAGTCAATTCGTGTGGCAGAGAAGATCACACAGAAGGTTGAAGGACAGCTATCAAAGTCACAGAAAGAATTCCTTCTCTACCAGCAGGCTTGTTCTTAATTTGTAGAGAACCACAAAGACAATTAAATTTGTTCCGGTAATTAGCATTATTGATAATTGAATGATATACGAGCGAGTTAGTGGTTGTAGCCTATAAATTGTTAAATATAACTATATTTTTGCATATTTTAGACTAATTTTTGCACAAAGGTCTCAAATTCTCATAATTTTCTCGAGGAAACACTTTAATAATCTTCCAGTACTCATTGATTTTCACTGAGCCCCCATTCATTTCTCGTGGAAACTGAAATATAAAATAAGATCTGGGCACGTTCTTTATTCATTGTTTAGGTCTTATTCGATAATGGATCTAGCATATTTGGTGATTATGAATAGCTTTCTGTATGCAATGTGGTTCTTATCTTCCGCTCTCATTTTACTTATGTTTTCTTTCGATCCAGGGCAGTATCTTCCTTTTGAATGTAAATGCTTATTTTCTTTTCCTCTTTAGACCATTTGTTTTATCTGTTAAAGTAAGTTGACGGGTTTGGTTTATAGAAGCTTATAATATGAGATGAGTTTACAGGAATCAGCTTAAAAGACCATTAGATTAAGTAAAAGTTGAATTTCTTAGAGAAATATGTGTTTGGGGTGGTCCTTTTTCACTACCTCTGATGGTAGTAAGACAACTTAGTAATTATGGGTTCAACAGTACCCGATTTCTGATAGTTTGCATTTGTTAGAGAAAACGTTTCCCGTTTCTTATGAATTCTGTGTAAGAAACAAACAAAAGGAGAAGAAAGATAATTTATAATCAGCCGAAAGGAAAACAACACGAAGGAGAAAGAAAAACACATGAAGCCAAGAAAAGAAAGATTTCAAACCAGTGCAACTGTTTTATAGCACTTAGACTTGAAAACTTTGCACTTGAAATAATGAATCTAAGAAGTCAGACATATACAAAACACCTTCTTTTAAGAGCAATAAATAGTATCTTTCAGAAAAGTCATGAAACTAACAAATTGGAACAAGAATTTAATGAGACCCCGTTTAAAATCCCAAAGAGGATGATTCTTATTTACGTTTAAAATCTCATCAACTGGAATATTATTTGTAAATAACGGGCATTTTAATTCTCCGTGTAGCGCGCTGAATATATCCCGACTAGTATATAAAGTACGATTCCACAGTACTTTTTCGTTTGTCGTCGTGGTTAGACATATATACCCCATGCATACCCATCAATCCAAGTCATCATGACATGCATGGCCTACAATGAAAATATAAGGACCGTACTGTGCCATTTATTTGACAAATATCATGCCTACATGCATACCTACACGATACATGGTAAACTCTATATACATGATACCTGTAACTATTAATCACTTTTGTTACATACATATATCATACATCAAATATTTTATCCATCATAACATATAATAAAACTTCACATTCAATCTGGTTTCTAGTACAAATGGAATCAAAAAAAAAAACCTTAAATTTAAAATAATTTGCAGAAATCTTAGCCATTAAAAAATATTAAGAAAAACATAAGGAAAACCACCCCATAAAACAATTATCATCACAACACTTTTGAATTCTTGAGTTTTGTTTGATTGTTTGTTTGTTTGCGTACACATAAATGCATTAACACGATTTTCTTTCAAATCTCATAAATATGCTAAAGTGTTAGAATAGTGTATAATTTTTTTATCCACGTACCTAAATTTTGTAAGGGATCCTATTCCTGAATAAATAAAAGCGAGATTCACATTTGGGAATACATTCTTAATAATATGATGTATGTATCTAATTAAAAAATAAATAATAAATTGATAAATTTTGTGAATATTTATCAAAATTTGATGAATATTGAAATTGAATCAATTAAAAAAATTTTGCAGAAATTTCTTTATATATATAAATATAAATATAAATATATATATAAGAGTTTTTATTAGGTCAGTTCAAGAATTAGAATTTTTTTTTGTTTTGCACATCACTTAAGCAGTACAATCATTAAAAGACTTTTCCTTTATTGTTTTAAGCTCTCCACATAATAATAATAATAATAATAATAATAGTAATAAATTCTTTTTTAGATAATATGTAAATCTTTATTGATTTATATCGTAAAGTTATAACAAGAAATAAGTTCTTTGTCAATTACTTATTCCAGGTTCATAAATAAAAAATGTAAGACATTAGCCAAAAATAATAATAATAATAATAATAATAATTCATCGTTTGTGTTGATACATTTGTTTAACTTCAATCTTTATTAGTTTTGATGATGTTAAGAACATAAATAGAAAAAAATTAACTACACATTAATCTTAAATATTTTATCATAATCAACTCACAGTAGAAAAAACTTAACCTAAATTATGTAAATAGGGGCCCCGCGTAGGCGGGGCTATGAAACACCTATATAGTGTGTGTATTAATGCACGAACAATTTATAAACTGCACAATTGTAGCTTGAAAATTAATTAAAGTGCGGGTTAATCACTAGTACTGATATAAAACGATACTAAATTTGTGTTTGGCGGACACATGAAACCCAAAGTACAATAGAATTTGGATAGAACACTTAATTACTGTGAATCCAACTCAAAGCTGGAATAGGATGTCGAAATTTCTGTGGTAAAAAGGGTTCGTTTTCTTTCTATAAATATAGAGAAAGGCACGAAGAAAAGTTCAAAGGGAAAGTTTCACGAGTGTCTGATTCAAAAAACAATGAAGATTGTCGGACGAGATTCCTTGATACGAAACGGTTCTGGTAGAGTGGAGATGGTGCCGGAAGAAGCTGATGATTTCTGGGTTGCTTACAATCTAATTGCAAAAGGCGATACGATTTCCACTTCTGTAACTGTCAAGAAACCCGTAAAGAAAACAACATCTAGAGATAGGGATCATAAGCTAGCAATCATGTGGGTGAAATCAACGCTGGAAATCAAGGTTGAGTCGATGGAGTATGAAACACAAGGGTTTGCATTGCGAGTTCGAGGGAAGATGATTAATAATAATGTTGATGCTGAGAATGAACAATACGTGGAGAAAGGCGTAGGTGTATTCCACACCATTGTAATTGAGCCGGGTCTAGCTTTCGTCTTGAAGAAAAAGGCGTGGGATTCGCTGGCGTTGGAATCTCTCCATCAAGCTTCTTCTGATTCTCCTCCTCGCGCCACTGATTTGGTTGTGGTTTTGATGAATTATTCTGTAGCCCAAATTTTCTTTGTGGGGAAAAGTGTGACAGTTTCTCGTTGTCGTATAGAACAAAAAGATGAACATCACACCTTTCGCGATCGTTCGGATGCTGACAGATTTATGAAGAAATTCATCTACAATGTCCTGCAGGCGCTTCTCAGACACGTTGATTTCAAGGTGGTGCGCCGCGTTGTGATTGCCTGCCCCGCATACTCAAAGGGTTGGCTTCATGATCAAATGTTGCTCGAGGCCAAAAGGAACAAACTTAGCGCGATTACGGAGAACAAGGCACGCATAGTTCTTGTGCACACCAACGCGCAGAGTTTGAAGGCAGTTTTTGATGCTCCGGATTTCATGAACAGGATCAAAGATACAAGAATCTCAGAAGAGGTTCGAGCCCTGAACGAATTCTCCTCAATGCTACTGAATAAGGATCCTGCTCGAGCATGCTATGGACCTAATAATGTTGAAGTTGCCCATGCGAATGGGGCTGTCCAAACACTTCTCATCAGTGATGAACTCTACAGGAATTCGGTTATCGGGAAGAAGAAAAAATATGCAGATTTGGTAAAGTCAGTGAAGGATTCAGGGGGCACTGTATACATCTTCTCATCCATGCACGTTTCTGGAGAAGGATTGGCAAAGTATTCTAATATTGCAGCAATTCTCCGTTTTCCCCTGGCGGGAACTAGGAAGCATTGAGTACTGCAACAGAAGAACAAAACCAATAATTCCGTCTATTCCAAAAGAAAGAGTCACGTTTGTTGAACTACAACGGTACGACCACATTAAAAGGATGATTTGTAAATTTTGAATTTCTGTCTCTATCTATGTTCTGCCCCTAAAGTCATTTTTGGTCCTTAAAAGGCTATCTTTCTAGTAGTGCTTTCAACTTCGTAAAATATTCCAGTTGCTTTTTTCTGAATAACATTTGAATGGTTTCCCCATTTGGAAATTGGAATGCGTTACTCTATAAAAATATCTATAAAGACACTATAGATTTTTTTCCCCAAAAACATATGGATAGATAGAGTACTCTGTAAAAACATTTGTATCCCTATTCATAACCAATACACATGAGCTCTAGTAAGTAACAACACAATACAACAACGACAAAGACCACGAAAAGTCATTTTTCGGGATCATAAGACGTCATTGTACTTGATCATCAATACACATATCATTATGCAAATTCAGATTTTTTTTTCAGCTTTTTTTTTTTTTAATAATGTCTTCCCTAATATTTTCGGTCTACCCGTATCCCCTATAGTGCTATAAAACAAAAAGTGAAGAAAAGCTAATGGACTGATAATCTTCAACCTGTAGTCCTGGACAATCTGTCATTGATCATGTACAGTGATCTCTATTACTTGACATTTCCTTCTTGCTCTGAATTTTGTTTTATTGATAGTGATATCTATTAATTGCATAATCCAGTTGCATATCGTAAAGGGCAATTATTACTTTATCATCTACGACAAGTAAGAAAAATACTTTCGGCATCGAACAAGGATTAATTTCAAGCCTTCTGTGGTGATCTCCAATCCAGAACGATTCCAATAGGCAATAATGAAGATTGTCTGAAAAGATCCCTTGTTGGTGCCAAACGGTCCTGGTAGTGTGGAGATGGTGCCGGAAAATGCAAATGATTTACGGGTTGCTTACAATCTGATTGCAAGACGGGATACAGTCAGGAAAGTTCAGAAAAAAAAAACCACGTTGTCTGGAAAAGGTGAAGTCAAGATTGGAAATTTTGATTGAGGCGGTGGGGTAGGAATTGGAAGGGTTTGGGTTACAAGTTCGGGGCAAGAATTTTGCTGAGAATGAATATGTGAAGAAAGGTGTATTCCACATCCTTGAAATCGATCCTGGTTGAGCTTTTAACTAGAAGAAAGAAGCGCGGGATTATCCCTCTGCCAATCCTTTGTTTCTCCGTCTGCCAGCAATGGTGCTTGTGGCTTTTATGGATTACTTTGCAGCCCAAATTTTCTTTGTTGGGAAAAGTGCGACAGTTTCTCGTGTTGGGGTAATGCTCCAAAAATGCTAAATCAATAAACAAATAAAATAAACTATTTCGTGCAAATTGAGTCGTGCAAATTGCACTGTCTTAAAGAAACTATTTCGGTCTAACAAATGTTCCCCCAAGATAAAAGAAGCTTTCCTCTTTTAAGTTTAAAGGGCACAGGAACCAACAAATATATAGATTCAATATTTAAGTGAGATTAAAAGAGGAAGAAAAGACTCAAAGAAAAGTTTACTTAAGGGATGATTTTGAAAGACGAGAAATGGTACTATTTATAGGCTTCAATTCCCAAACCATGTAGCTGGATGTCTCTTGTGATCTCAAGTCATAACTTTCATTTATGTAAGTAATATTAATGTAAGTGTTAAGTTAATGAATCAAAAGATCATATCTTCTTGAATTAATAAAACTTAGAAGTTAATGTGTCAAATTAACTCTTTTAAGAAACCAAAACCGAAGCAGCAAGTCATACTAGTCATAAAAAGGTTTCACAAAAATTAATCGATCTTTTGAAATAAATTAAGTTAAAACGCCAACATCTCGAACTCTTCAGAGTATTCTGGTATTGCTGCAATTCTCAGTTTTCGTCTGGGTGTATGTAGAAGACGAGATGTAACAGTCGTTCGTCCCAAAAGAAAGAGTCGTATCTAGAACACGAATTTCCCAAACAAAATGTGTTGTGAAGTTTTTAGGTACTTACTGACTCTCCCTTTGTACAAAAACAAACAGTGGAATAAAACATCAAACTCTGTTTTTGAGATGGATTGGATTATTTAGTTTACATTCGCATTCATATACAATACATGAGCTCCAATAAATCACAATCACTGACGATAAACCAAATAAACAATCAGAACTGATCAAACAATCAGAACTGATCATGTCTCGTAACTCTCTCAGTCTCAAAATTATTGTCTAGTTTAGATTTCACTTTTATTTTATATCAAAAATGAAAATACAAACTAGGCAATAATTTGTGACGGAAAGAGTATCTAATTGGCATACCTTTGTTGTAGCACTGCATCGTTCCAATTTTCTGGGATGTCTTTCGAGGGGCCCATATTCTTTCTTCTAAGAATTTTGATTTATTGCATAATAGTTGATCCGAGTAAGGTCTTCATATCTTTCAGGAGGATGTCTCCTGTCCTTGAGCCTCATTTGCATGTATTCCTTTAAAAGGAAACCCCTGTACTTGGGCAATTCTCCAATTTCTTTAGTAAATTGTGGCAATGGCTCCACCCATTTATCTCCCTTGAGATTATGAAAAAACGCTAACGAATAACGATTTCGACCTTCACTTCTCATCACCTTGTGAGTTGCACTTTTAAATCTGTCGTTGCTCAGTACCTAATCTCCACATTCATGACAGATTAGATTATCAAAAGAAAATTTTGTAAGGGAAATAAGTCAGAGAATTAACACTTTAATTATAAAAAAAAAAAAGAAAAGAAATCCTCTCTGCTGTCATAAAAAGATGGGAGAGTTGGGTGGTGTGGTAAGGGCAAATTGTTAGCGCTAAGAGGTAAGGTCAAAACTTCGTTGGGCAATTAAATTTAAAATAATTTTCTACAGCCATAGAAATTTCCATGAAAGAATGCGACTTTGTCTTCTTCCTCATCATAGAGTTCTATTTTCAACCAATAGTCTGTTTTTTTTGCCCTTCACTTCATATAGTGATATTTAGGACACATATAGATGTGAATCAGACACACATATTCAATTGTGCTCCAAAAAGAAGTACTATGCCAATTCTAGAATGATTGTCTTCAAACAAAATGATCAAATGTAAGAACTAAATTTTTTTTAAAAAAAAAAAACAAAAAAAAGGTTATTTGGTGAAGGGAATCAAATATTGAATTATGAGGGATCAAATATTGAATTATAATAATTCACGTAAAAGGATAGACATCCCCTAGGCCAGCGCCAAAATGTACCAATTTTTCACACCACCCCTATATTACATATATTTAATCCATGAATTATCTTTGTGAGCATCTGAATATCAATCCACAGATTTTTTTTTAAAAAAAAAGACGATAATGATACACATATCTAATTTTATTAGGTGAAACAACCACAATGTTGTGTCATATCTTTTTTATTTACAAACTCTTACTATTAATATTCTTTCCATTTTTCATACGAATACTCCCAATTTGGAAAATAAAAATCAACTTGTGACGTGAAATGACTACAATACCCTTAGAACAACTCTTTGATGCAACCAAATAACACGTGGAGGAGAGATTGGAGGGAGAGCAAAGATGACTCACCCGAAGGACTTCGCCAATGTTGACAACCAATGCGCCTTCGATCGGCGGCACCGAAATCCACCTCCCGTTGTGGCAAACTTGAAGCCCTCCGACGTCATCCTGGTACAGAATCGACACGCATGACGTGTCTTCGTGAGCAGATTTCCCGACGGTCTCCGTCCCCGTCGCCGGAAAATAGTGCAAGCCCAGAAGGAAATCGTAATCCCTCTCTCTGTTGTATTCTTTCAGGAAATTTGGAGGAAAACCCAACGAATCATTTATTATGCTCTCCATCACTGAAGCCAGCTTCAAGAAACTCGGATATATCTCTTCCAGACTTCCCCTGAATCACATTAAAAAAAAAAACATTTACGTAGTTTTTCGATCACTTACATTCCTATTCCTAATAAATACTCCTTCCGTCTTAAAATTATCGTCTTATTTGTAATTTTACTTTTAGTAAACTAAAAATAAAAATCCAAACTGGACATTAATTTCGGGAACCGAAGAAAGAGTTAACTACTACCAAAAACAAAAGAAGGTAATTAATTAACGAACACTAACTGGAATCTGGGAAGACATTTGGGGTAAGAATTTAAGCCCAGCTGAGGAGAACGAATCAAGAAATGCTCATTCCCTTCCTTTTTGAGATCTGGGCTCCTGAAGTAGCCACTAGCTGGAGTAGGAACCCTGGGATTCGGAACCAACTTGTGTTTTTCTTCATTCGACAAATCGAAAAAAGCCCGGTAAGCGTCTAACGTTTGTTTCAACAGCTCCAATGGAATCCCATGATTCACTACTTGAAAAAACCCGCATTCTGTGCATGCTTTGCTGATTTCTTCCACCACCACCAACTTTCTATTCTTGCCATCTTCTTCATCAACTTCTTTGTTGAAGAAAGGTGCCAAATCAACAACTGCTAGTGAATAGGCAGAATTAGCCACCATTTTTTTTTTTTAAAAAAAAAAAAATTATTAGCTTTTGTTCGTTGATTGATGATAATATGCTTTTTGATGGATTGACACAGTGGGATTTTTAAGATGAAAACACACCTATGGTCCTAAGTATTTATCTTATGTCCCCTATGGTCCCCAACTCCCAACAATCTAGCTGTCTGCATAATTGGTTCTTTGTAATGTGACCTCTTACTTTATTTGGTCAATACACTATTTGAAATGGCTAATGACTAATACTCCTGTCACAGTTAATTAATCAATCATGCATAGAGAAATACTCCCTCCATTTCAAGATAAGTATTATTTTAACAAATGAGGAAATTCTAAAATAAGTATCATTTTTGATATTAATATACGTTTTGTCCCGAATTTTCAAATTTATACTTAAAAGAAATAGTATTATTAGTAAGCATTTATTTTAAAAAAGTTGGTTGAGAATATTCTAATAGTTTATCTATCCTATTTAAATGTTTCTTAAATTATATACAAACTCTCCAATAACACTTATTTTGGAATAGAGAATTATATTCTTCTCCGACTCATGATAATTGAATGAATTCATATGGATAAATAACTAGATTAAGTAGACAATTAACATAGAATACGCTTATTTTAGAATAGAGGATTATATTCTTCTCCGAATCATGATAATTGAATAATTCATATGGATAAGTAATTAGATTAAGTAGACAATTAACATAGAATGAAGAATGTAGCAGAGGATTGGACGAGTTCATCTTTGTTTCATATTATGGATCTTGGATCTTTAAAGCCAAAAATTCAATTCGAAACCTAAAATGCCCCCGTTTTCCTTTTTTTTTGGAGGTAAAACAAAGAATAAGTTGTTACCAAACATGCCTTCGTTCTGGCTGAAATTTTTTTAAACAAGAAAGTTACATAAGGTGGCATGTGTGCACCATCTACATTACACAGGAACACGACGGAGAAAAATAACAAATTACTGTGCGAAACAGTAATTTAACTAATTTAATAGACAACTATTGTTGATGGCTACCTTTTACGTTCGGCATGTATATGAGTTGATGACTCCAATTAAGACAGATTCTACATTTGTCGGTTCTTATTCACCGGTGGGTGAGGATGAAACCGAAGGTAATTTTTATTTTGTTCCATTTTAATAATCTATCTCAAAAAAATAAAATCTATTAATTTCGTTCTGGAAAAATAATTCACGTTAAGTTTTGAAATTTATATTAATATAAACTTAAAGGTTTAATGTGAACTTATGCATTAAATAATTTTTTTTAAAATATTAATGTGAATTTATTGGAGTGATTGAACTCAAGGGCGGAGCTACATACAAATAGCACCAGCTGAAATTTTTAGTTTTTTTTTTTACTAATATTCCCCTAAAATTTAAGAATTTTTTGTATAAATATAATTTTTGTCCCACCTAAATTGAAAATATTAAGGGGCAAATATATTAAATTATAAATTTTAAAAATCTTGTCCCACTATATATTTGGGACTTGGTTCCACCCCTGATTGAACTATTTATTACTTACGCGAGATTTGACATCATTTCAACTCTATTGATTGCTTCATTTCTTTTTCGTATTTGTCACATTCACGCTAACAACCATTAAATCTAAAATAATGGCAATATTTTATTTTGAAAATAAACTAGCCGTCATTCGATTCATGGATAACCTTCACTTTTGTCCTTTTCATTCACATCACTAATGACACAATGGTGTTCGTCTCAATGCCTTTTCTAAGCAACCTTGTTAAATGTCCTAAACTTGTTTAGCATATTTCGTATAAAGTAACTATACAAGCAAGAACAAGCGCAATGGTCGAGTAAAAAATTGGTCCAAGAAGATGCCACATCTCCGTAAAAGATTATCCCTTTTACCCTATTAAAGCAGAAAACAGGATGCTGATGTGACATTTTCTTATTAAAATGTTTTGGCTCCAAATGCACCATATTGCATTAATCATTCTGCCACGTGTCACCTCCTTTTAAAAATAAAAAATATATTTACAATATTAACGAAGAGATCAGATGGTCACGTTCATTCAAATTTTGTATTTGACAGTGTATGAAATTTTCCTTTTCCATTTATTTAGGACTTCCGAAAAAATTAATTTCTGGTCAATCAATTATTTTCATCAAAAACTAAATTCATTCCTAATCAATTTTGATTATTTACATATCGATTTATTAGGTGGGACGCCCCCGGACATTTGCCCGGGACAAGCATCTAGTTTGTTTTAAAGAAAATTACCGGGAACTAGTAACAATTGCGGACCTATTTGTAGTTGTTTTTTTAATTCAATTATTTCCTTTCTTTCTTCTTTCTTGTTCACTTTTTTTTTTTCTGAATTTGTCAGGTAAATACAGAGAGAACACCCCTCCACTTTTCAACTCTTTCTAATGGATTGGGTGATAATTGACATAATTTTTTAACCATTGACCAACAACAGTTGGTCTAACAAAATTACTAGAGAAAACTCAAAACAATAATATTAAGTTAGTGTTTTAATAGTACAACGAACACACTCATCTATGAATCACACTCATAACAGTCCTTTGACATCAAATACACGCTCATCCATATCACACTCATTATCATTATCATTATCGTCCATATCATAGTCATTTGCGTTATTATTGTCGGGATTGAAGTCATCCTCATAATAATTATCATTGGAGAAGGAGAATTCATTTACTCCTTCTATATCAAGCACGTATTTGTAACTTTTACACTTTTTCCTTGCGAGCATTTTTCTCTAATGACAGATTACGTTCTTCATAGCTGGTTTCCTAGTAAAGTAGTTCGGCATTTCAACCATCTTTATTAAAATTTTAATACTATGACAATGATCATAAATCCCTAATGATCACATGAGATTCAACGTCTTAAATAGGGTCGAGAAATTCACCCCCTTGAGAAGCCATATAAAAAAAATAAAAATACAAGAAAGCCCCTCTCCTTTTTCTAAATCAAAATCGCTCATCTTCCCAAATTAAAACCTTCTATCCCTTATTAGTTAAATTAGTATACTCTTATTGTCTCCATGCATGAGTTATTTCCTTGCCATGTTTCCCTCAAGTTAGAGGGAGTTTTCTTGTATCTATGCAACAATCTTCTTTCTCAGTCTCCACAATAGAACGCCTCAAAATTTATCACATATAACAACTGGATCTCCAGCAGTTGCTGTAAAAAAACGTCGTGCACATAGAAAGCAGCAATTTGAACAAAACCTTTCGGATTCTAAGTCTCAAGTTCAACCCGCAACATCTGCAGGAAAAGGGTACATAAACAAGTGAATGGAAAATTGAGGAAATTAAAATTTTTCTTGACATCTGTGAAATGAACTAGAATAGTATCATTATCATCATCAACAACTTAATGAAGAAAGTAACTACAACATCAAAGTCCTGCTTGAAACAATTCCAAGGGATCGAAGAGGTGAAAATTGAATGACAAGGCAAGGTTAGTGATTTCTTGAGTATCAAAACAAGCTGTGGAAGAAACCACAAAGGAATGCTGCAGATCAAGAAACCACAAATGGTTTTTGGGGGATCTGGTCGGAAGACCAACATCTTTATATGAAATTCAATTTGGTTCTAGTTGGAATATCAGAATCCAAAAGGAGAATACATTTTGATAACAGGTTTTCTTTGATATCTGCCAGCCTCCATGAAATAGTACGTAAGCAAAAGGTGCATTAAATGAATAAAACAGCATATATATGCTTACACAAGACACATACAGATCTCAAAATATGTCACATCTTCTATGCTTCTATAAGCTAAAGAACAGAAACAAACTGCAGAATTCGACAAAATGTAGAAACGGTTGATACAACATAAATGCAGCAAATGAAACAACAGAAAGCTTATGGAGTGTGATACTACTGGCAATCAAGTGAAAACTGAAACTTCAAAATCAAGATGAACTACACCACAGCATGTGCAGTAAATAGTTGGATTTTCTTTCCAGCACGAAAGTGGGAGTACAGTGGCCTCAGTCTTACCCACTCTAGAATCAGGACTATAATGTTCTACTAGCTGCTCTCATACCAGATGACTCATCAAAGTCAGTGCCCCATGTTCTCTCTGAAACTAAACTTCCATTATTTCAGATGCTCCTATCTCACCATTTTTACCAGTAAACCTAGTTTCACTTATTGCATCTCTAATGCACCTTCTATTATCTTCTACGCGCCCCACCAAAAATTAAAGTTGCAAAAGCTAGAAAAAAGTGTCTGTTTCCATAAGCTGATAAATGATTTTTACAGGAGATAAATTAACAAATTGTCAAGGAAATGCTTATTCAAGTATCCAGTTGAATCAAAGGAAAAATAAACAAATATATAAAAATCATGAAGATAAGAAAACTAAAAAATTCCGCACCTTTAAGCCAGAATATCTCATAGACGATAGATTCCCAAATAGAGACATCTAAAAACATTCTCTATAAGACTTTATAGCCTTCGCAAATCAGGACATCTGCTATCACATTCCTAGACTCATTGCACAAGAAGTTGGCATCCTTTCCTAATATTGGAGGGTGAACAACAACTTTAACTGCTCCCGGATTAAGTTGACCTTCCATCCCTGCAGGCATTATTTTACCAGTTCCGATAAGAGTAATCGGAATCACAGGCACTCCAAGTTTTGCAGCAACGGTGAATGCACCTTTCTGTAAACCAAAAGAAATAACTCAGAAAGTTTATGCTCCTCAATACACAAATTCAACAATCCAATGTACCAAGGAAGGCAATGAGGAGATAAAGAATCCCTAGTTCTGGACATTACCCAAGTGTATTTCTACAGGTCATCCTCATTTTAACGAAATTAAAGAGAGAAGAGATAAGGAATCCCAAGTTCTGGACATTAACCAAGTGTATTTCAACAGTCATCCTCCTTTTTACTAAATTAAGTAGACAGTGAACCTCATTTAGCTCATTGCATCTATATAACTGTGTCAGCTGTATGACCGAAAGCCCTAAAATGGGTGTTCACTAATGATGGATGTATCCTTAATTGGAAAATTCTGTTACAGCCATCACCTTAAAAGTCCCCAATGTTCCATTTCTACTCCTAGTGCCCTCTGGGAAAAAGAAAACAGATGCTCCCTTCTTGACAAGATCCATGCATCTTCTAAGACAATCCTGAGTACATGGAACAAAATTATGGATCAGTGTCTCGTTGATGGAAGCGACAAGATATCTAATTGAGAGAAACGGCAAGGAAACACGGCAAGTAAACAAAGAACTGGAAAATCAAGAATGAACTAACACTGTGGCATTGATTTTGAGGTTACGATGAAGAAATTACCAACTGACTTCGGCTATCCATGCGCTTCAAAGGAATAGTACCGAGGAGATACATGGCCCAACCAATGATGGGGAAGAGAAATATGGAAGTTTTGCTAATAAACTTGAAGCTTCTCCCAAGAGTAAGAAGGGTATATATGTCCAGAAAACTCTGGTGGTTGGATACATATACAGCAGGAGAATCCTGAGCAGGAAGGTTTTCCAAACCCTCAAACTTGATATTAAAAAATGGAGCTATAGTTAATGATGCCCACCATTTTGCAATTAGATGTTGTGCTTTTCTATTGTACCGATCAAATAAGAGAACAAAAGGATGTGAAACCACCATCAAAACAAACAAAAAAATGGCAACAAAAGAAGTAACAGCATAGAAGCAAATTCCTCTCAATTTGGAGCCTGCTTGAATCTCTGCAATTAAAGAAAGGAAAGAAAAGTTATGCAGGTTCAAAAGGAAATTGGCACCAGCTAAGACACTCAAAATGTACCTGGCAATGGATAGGAAGAACCGACAGACCCAGTTACAGAAAGATCAGATCTAACAATGTGTCTTGAAAATTTGCAGATTTTATTCTTACTGAGTTCTTCATATGTTCTACAAAATTTCTCAAGCAGCCCAAAAGAGTTCGATAATTCATGACCCGGTCTTCTTTTGTTAGGGAAGTCACCTACAGAAAAAATGCTCACCAAATTTAAACATGAAAATGAAGAGGAATATGAAGAAAATTCCACAAGGAGACTTCAGAAAGTATTAAAAGGGTATTGGAACCAAATACAAAAGAAAGAAGGCTATTGCACATATAAATTTAGAAGACTAAAAGATACAATGCGTGTGCATTAATCAGTATGTGGACAAATTGTCCATAAGGGGATCTAAAAAGATTAAATAAAACAGGGAGGATAGGAGCAGACAAAAGTTTTTAAGGTTCTGAAGCTAAAATCAAAAAGTAGAAAAGAATTTTAGACAATTAAAAAAATAACAAAGAAAATATTTAAAAGGAAAAGAGATTGGGGGTTTAGGAGGAGGAATAAATATTAAGGTAAGGAAGATACAATCCAACGTCATATGAAACGTTTGTATAATGACATGTTCATAAAGACCGACAGTAAGAAAATATGACAGTTAGAAGGAACAACATAATTAATGTGAAACTTGGTCACTTTCCAGAACTATCTCCCAAGTAAACATCCGGTTATTTATGAACAGTGCAGAGTTGATATAGAGATTAACCTCAAAATTACAATGATATACTACATACGTACTAAAAGAAAAACTGATAGTGTGAAATGTATCGATCTTAAACAATATCATATATTCAACATAAATTCAACATTTGCTTACATATATTTCTGGTTACCGACGTTGAATGTGTCAGAGAACAGACCTTGAAGCAGAAACTATTATGAGTCTTCAACTGCAGTAGAAAAAAGATATAAGTCAGGAAAAAACATATATGGTGACTAAACAATTAAGGATCATAGTACTTTAACATGGAACTAGTATATTCTCCGCCGTACCAGTTTACAGATCCAAGATAACTTTGCCCCCCAACAAAACCCCAGAAAACAAAGAGTAAGTTCTTAGAATTAAAGATGCTAATTCATCCCTCGGCCAGTGAGCGAGAGATGAAAAGAATTAAAGATGCTAATTCGTCCCTAGGCCAGTGAGCGAGAGATGGAATCTAACTTAATCTTTTTGTGTATGACATCTGTCCTTTTATGGATATGTTGAAATATAAGCCTAACAAATGTTTAGTCATAAATTACTAAGCCCGGAATCCTATAATAACAAATTGGCATAAAACTTTGTACACAAAACAGCTACAATCCCTAAATTCTAACGTGTAGCACAAACTACCAAAGATAACATTTCTGACGAAAAAAGAATAGTACAATCTGAGTGACTACTATCAAAAAAAAATCTTACAGAAAATAAGTAGTAATTTCTATCTCCAACTTCAACATTTAGCAAATATATCTCATAAATTAACTGTTGAGCATCATATTTGTATATTTAAACTACACAACAAAATGGCAAGAATATTTATACCCCGCGATATCGTCAGCCTAAATAGATTCCTAGACATAAAACTATACTACCACATTGGAATTTTAACAGTAATACACGATTGCCAATCGCGTATAATCAATACTAGTCACAAACTCTTTCGAAGATAGCAATCCAGAAAAATTTCAACTAAGATTATAAGATTGGAAATTGAAAATTGATATTTGAGAAAGAAGGAATTACAGGGGGAAGTGGCACGCTGCAAAAATTCCGGGATGCTCCTTCACCTGCAAAACGAAATTAAGGTGATGAAAGAATTATCTCAAAAAGAAAAACACAAATTACCGTTAAAAACTCCGGCAGTGAGTTATAAAGAAAAATAGTTGAAAAGAGGAGATGAGCAAAGAAGCATTTGGGGGAGCGTTTACCGAGACGGCGGAGTAGTGGTGGCAACGGGTGGAACTGGAAACAATTGAAACTGGAGCGGTGAGTTAGTACCACCATTGCCGCCTTCTCACTGCGTCTTTAATCACAATCTTCCTTTCTCTCTCACACATACACACACAGTAGTAGTCTTTGACAGCGCAGAGCTATTGATGAATTCTATGCAGAGAGATGAGGAGAAGAATCGTTGATGAGATGGGGGGATTTCGAACTTTGGAAGTTGCGTCTGAGAAAAGTGACAACAATAGAGAGAAACAGTCTAGAGTTTGACCACTTTTACGGAACCGTCCCGTTTTATCTTCAACTAATCAAAATTTAGGATATAAGAGGTAATCATGTGGTGAATAACATTCTATAATATCATAAATTAATTGGGAAAATGATCACTTTTGCTCAAAACATCAAGTTTTTGGCCAATTTGACCCAAAATATTTTTGGGAACCAAATTCATCATCTAAATTTTAATTTTTTGCCAGTTTAATTCAAATTGATGAGAATTCTGTTAGATTTAATATTTTCACTGACATTCCGTTACTTTGTACAATTTTTTATTAGTAAAAGACTTTGTTGACCCAAAATTTTAATCTTTTATCCCTACTATTTTGTTATTCAGTAACATACGTTTATCTTACCATTTAATTATTATAATGTTCCTACCACATAATTTATCTTCTAATCTACTTCATTGCTCCCTCTAAGCCTCTTCATTTTCTTCCTCTTTTACTTGTTTTCCGTTGTCGCATCATTACCGCCCCTTTCCTCTTCTCTTCTAAAAATTACCATCACCACTTCCTAAATCTGTGAGGATTTCAAACCATCATCACAAACATAAAAATTTGCCTCCACCAATAGTACACAATCCTCCCTTCATCACTACCCGCATTTTTGTCGCCGCCATTTTTCTTCAGTTCCACAAAAATTACAAAATATTTTACTTATTTTTTCTTTTTTTTCCCTTTTTCTTTCTAAAAAATTGTACAAAGTAACGGAAAAGGAAAAAATAGTGGTTACACCATTTTGACCCTGTCGTCAATTTTACCATATTGATTTTCGATTAGCCAATTGTGTCCTTTATCTTTGAAATTTTTGTCAATTTCATCCAATTGGTCAAATTTCGGTTAAACTTAACTGATCTCCATTAGTTTTTAACAAAAATGCCCCAATAGTTTCAAAATATATAAAGATAACTCACAAAATATTTTTTGAGTTATCCGAAACCTGAACATCGTTTTCATCTTTTTTCTTGCTTAAAAAATGTAAAAATAACAAAATATCCTCTTTTCGCTTGTATTCATTTTAATCTATTTCATTTTATTTCTATTTACTACTTTTCGTAACCATCAAAATATGCTATATGATCTTTAAAAAATAATTATTTATTTTCAACAATATTTTTCATGTGCAATACACTTGAGTTGGCTTTAGAAGTAATTTTGTCTTTTTATATTTTTTAAAAATTTTTAATTTGTTTTATTTTATTTTTTTAACAATTTCCTTCTTGTACTCTCTGACTTGTATATGTTGGCACTAGTATAATTACTATATTACGAGAAAAAAAATTTACCTTTTGTTTTTCAATTTCAAAGTTTAAAAAAATATTAAAAAATATGTAGTTAAAAAATATACGTATTTATCTTTGTCATGAAATTCAATGATTGCTAATATAGTTTAGCCATCGGCAAAGTAACAATAACAATCACTTAAAAAAAATAAAAATTGTTTAACCAAATTTAAAACAATTCATCGTTGTGGACTAAATAAATTAGCACTTCTTCCTATTTCAAATGATTATCTAATTTTTATATTATTTTTACTATCACAAACAAAATAATCATTTTAAACTAGATCGAGTAAAATTATTATTTCATAACTTATCTTGAATTACAAGAATTCAAGGAGGAAGGACTTGTATTAGCATTTTTTTTCGATTTTTTTTTACTTAGAATGATAACCTATTAATTTTCGTATTTATTTCAACTCGATTTTTTCTTCCTCATTTTCTTTATTTTTTAAACCTTTTTTATAATCTATGAACTAAAAGGTAAATTGATTAATGAAATTTAGTAATTATACTAGTAGCAACAGATACAAGTCAAGAAGTATAAGAAAAAGAATAGTAAATAATAAAAAATAAAAAAAATTAATTAAAAAATTTTAAAATATGACAAAATTACTTCTAAACTAAACTCACATATTTGCACATGAAAAATAGAGTTTGAAAATAAATACTTATTATTTTAAAGATCTTAATATATTTTGATGGTTATAAAAAGTAGTAAAGAAAAATAAAATGAAATAAAAATAAATAAATAAATAATAAAAAGAGATTATTTTGTTGATTTTCCATATGTTGGGGTTATTTTTATAATTTTTTTATACTATTAAGATATATTTTTGTTAAAAATTAACTGAAATCCCTTAAGTTTAACGGAACCTGGGCCAATTGGATAAAATTGGTAAAAATTTCAAATGTAAATAACAAAATTAGCTAACCAAAAATTAATGGGGTAAAATTAACGATGCAAATAAAACATTGGGTACAACCGTCATTTTATCTGTAACAGAATGTCAGCGAACGTGTTAAATCTAACGGAAGTTTTGTCAATTGGATGAAATTGACCCATTAATTGAAACTTAGATGATGGATTTGACTTCGCAAAAATCTTTTCGGGTCAAATTGGCTAGACACTTAAAGCTTTGGGCAAAATTAAATAATTTCTCTAATTTTTTTAGTTTAATCAGGTGTGTTTAGGTATATTTACCTATGATGCACCCTCATTGTAATCCTACGGTTGTTAATTAGCCTAATTAATCCTACGGTTATTATCTTGAAATGAAACCGTCCCGTAACGGAACTCTAGTTGCTCCCTATATATATAGGGATATATATATATATATATATATATATATATATATATATATATATATATATACCCCAAAATTTCAATTGTCAACATATCCTTAAAAATCTCCACACCCAAATCCAAAAAAGACTTATTGAAAGAAAAAAAAAAAATTGTGGTTTTAGTTATCAAAAAAAAAAAACCATCCTTAAAAATCTCCACACCCAAACCCAAAAGACTTTTTATTGAAAAAAAAAAAACACATTTTGTCCAAGATTCCAATTGTCAACCTATCCTTAAAAATCTCCACATCCAAATCTAAAAAAAACTTCTTATTGGAAAAAAAAACTTGCGGTTTTAGTTATCAAAAAAAAAAAAACCATTCTTAAAAATCTCCACACCCAAACCCAAAAGACTTTTTATTGAAAAAAAAATTCGGATTTATAGTTACCAAAAAAAAAATCAATAACTTTATCTAATCTTGAAACTGGTTCATGACTTTAGCGGTTACACTTAATCTAAGTCATGATTCTATCCCCAAATAAATTTTTAAATAAATCACAATATCCTTAAAGTTCTCTAGCATTTATTTATCCAAATTAACTACCTGTTCAAATCTAAAGTCCTTGAAAAATTTATGGATCAATTCTTTTCAATCAACAATCAATCACAATACAATCTCATTGTGAGAATTCATGTTTGATGGAGTAGTCAAAATCGAAAACGACTACAAGACTACCATTTAGAAACAGAGTACAAGGTAACAATCCAAGAATATGTTTATTCAATTTGTAATTCGTGTAAAAATAATATGCTAATATCTCACCCCATCCTTTCACGTTGCTCCATGATCCATGTCAAACATAATAGTTCAAAGGGATGGATCTTTTGACAAAGTTGCTAATTAATTTTGTTAAAAAGTAAAAAATTAGTGATGAATTCTTTGATTTATAATTATTGTTCTAAGTTTTTCTGTAGTTTTTGATGTTGGAAAGAATGATATATAGTTTCTCCTTTCATGAATTTTCATATCTATATATTATATATATATATATATGTTTATATATATATATATACACACCCCATTATAACAAAACCACATTTTGTCCAAAATTCCAATTGTCAACCTATCCTTAAAAATCTCCACACCCAAATCTAAAAAAGACTTCTTATTGAAAAAAAAAAAAAACAAAACTTACGGTTTTAGTTATCAAAAAAAAAAAAAACCATCCTTAAAAATCTCCACACCCAAACCCAAAAGACTTTTTATTGAAAAAAAAAAACTTCTGATTTATAGTTATCCAAAAAAAAAAATCAATAATTGTATCTAATCTTGAAACTGGTTCATGACTTTAGCGGTTACACTTAATTTGAATCATAATTCTATCCCCAAATAAATTCCTCAAATAAATCACAATATGTTTAAAGTTCTCTAAAGTCCTTGAAAAATTTGTGGATCAATTATTTTCAATCAACAATCAATCACAATACAATCTCATTGTGAGAAATCATGTTTGATGGAGTAGTCAAAATCGGAAACGACTACAAGACTATCGTTTAGAAACGGAGTACAAGGTAAGAATCCAAGGATATATTTATTCAATTTGTAATTCATGTAAAAATAATATGCTAATGTCTCACCCCATCCTTTCACGTTGCTCCATGATCCATGCCAAACATAATAGTTCAAAGGGATGGATCTTTTGACAAAGTTGCTGATTAATTTTGTTTTACAGAAATAAAAAGTAAAAAATTAGTGATGAATTATTTGATCTATAATTATTGTTCTAAGTTTTGCTGTAGTTTTTGATGTTAGAAGGAATGATATATAGTTTTTCCTTTCATGAATTTTTCATATATTCTTATTTCAGTGCCCAAAAGCATCTTAGGAAAAACTGAATATACAAAAATAGTAAATGACTTATGATGAAATTATATGTGTATTTATTCATGTTATGATGTCTAAGTTTCAATAATCTCTTAAAAACAAATTATTTGTGTATTTTCGTAAATAAATACAAAAATTTCAAAGTAGTTTTATCTGAAACTAATTTTGATACGGTTTTAATTAAGATACAAACAATTATAAGCCTATAACATACCCGTGCATTATCCAGAACCTAGTCTTTATTAATTTTTGTAGTAAAAAATGGTGAATTCACACTGGAACTGTTATTTTGGGTCAATTGCATTTACCACTTCAAGGATTTATACAAGTAAAAAAGAAAATACCGGGGGAATATGACACTTGTTAATGTAGGACTAAGAATGTCGTGTTTTCTTTTCCAATATAACATACTGTACTAATAATTGTTAATGAGTTTGATAATCTCCTTATCAGAAAAATATTAAAAAGTCGGTCGTCAATTCGAGAAAAATACATAACCAGTACTTTCTGTTCTTATGATCTAAATTCTGTTTTTACCATTTTCATTTCAAAGGGGAAAAGAAGGAATATTTTATTTTTTGTGCTCTAATACTACTAGCATTTTGAGTTTATATACAAACTTTTACTCCTTCCATTCCAACATAAGTGTCGTCCTACACTTTACACATAGTTTAAGAAACTCTTAAATAGGGTAATAAAATTACTTAAATATCCTCAACCAACCCCATTATAAAACTGTCCACCAATAGCATCAACTCTTTTGAGGGTAATTTTGATAACTTTTGACAATTGAAATGTGAGAACGACAGTTATTTTGAAATTTCTCTATTTTGCTAAAACGACACTTATTTTGGAATGGAAGGAGTACTAACTAGCAATAAATACTACCCCTCCCCCCCAAAAAAAAAAGAAGATAAAGACAGCCTCAAATTTTGTGCTGTAGTACCTCGTAAAGAAAATAACAAAAGCAATGCAACAGATCCAGACATTACGTTATTCATTACCATGATCATTTCCAAAGGATATTCATCACAACAAATTAAACAAATTCCAATTAGATAAAAGAAATTTGAAGAAAAGATCAAAATGAAAAAAAAAAACCTAAGATATTATAGATTTGAAAAGGCACAATTCAGAAGTATATGTTGAAAGTATTCCTCTAATCGCGAGGACGGGTGTTTTGGGGACTAGCAGTTCCAGAACTAACTCTAGCAACGTCGAGGGCGCTGGCCTCGGGCTTCTTGTGGGAATACAACGTGAAATAAGCCAATGTCATTATAACTGCGACGCCACCAACCGCCATCCGGGCTGGAGACACGCCTAGCTTCCTCGTCTGACCTAGTACCTCCGAGCTGTGCTGCGCCGTAGGGATGTTAGCCTGGTGCGCCACTCCCCCTGGACCGGCAGTTGGCTGACCCGTTATTGGGGTGGCCACCCCGGCCGCGTTCATTGTTTGTTGTCCCGGTGGTGGCGGGGCTTGGAAAGCCCCATGCTTAATGTTTCCTGGCCTTCCTGCTACCATTCTTGTTCACTTTTTAAAGAGGTTTACTAGCTTGCTTAGAAAGGTTTCTGAATGTGTTTTTGAACTTTTTTTTGTGTTAATTTGTTTCAATTGATGAAGGGGAATGCCAATTTTGAGTGTGATAAATATAGAGGTAAAAAGTAATGAAGGAAGATGAGTTTGACAAATGGCAGACTCTTCCCAAAAAAATTTCTATCTTAATGGTGGAAAATTCAGTGACCTTTTCAAGTGTTAGCCATGGAATAGGTCTCATTGCCAAATCCTCTCTATATTCAGACAGCAGGATCTAAGATTTAGGATAACTCTACACGTAGCAATTATTCTACTAGAATCCTGCATTCATATCATTGCACAAGATTTGGAATCCTTGGCTCCCTTTTACCTTCTTCAACAGAACATAAAACTTTTTGTTAGAATAAGGGGGTTTAAATCAAAACTATCAACACTAAGAGGCTGCGGAAGCTTCTCTTCATTCTACTGATTTAAGCAAATGGTAAATTTAATAGAGGTAGTCCTTGAATATTACAACATACTAGAAAACTTTTGTATTGAACGCAGAATGAGTGTAATGTAGATCTATTTTTTTTTTTTTTTGTTATGAAGTAGTTCAGATATGATAATTGAAATGAATGTGATTTCTTCCAATCAAACAGCCATTTCAGCTTCTCTAGCATTTTTAGGGATTCCAATATCTAACCTCATCGTGGGCTTATACTGTTCTGGCACAGCAGCACCAGCCTGTACACATATTTCTACTACAGCAGGGGCTTGACCATAAAAAGTTCTAAGCTCTCGCGACAAAGGAACGCTAACATCAGGAACATGCCACACATACCTCGGAGGTATTAAATCATCGAGAACAGCTGTCTGCCACCCGTGCTGTCCATTACGCTGCTGGTGCTTATGAGCTCCACAAACTTGCGCTTTGTGTCCACTAGGGCCAACATGCACTTCGGGGCAATATCCGCAAACCCTCACTTGATACATTTTCATCAATTTATTGGCTCCTCCTCTCATTTCCTCCCATGCTTTGAGCGTCTCCTCTGCCAGAGCCACAGTTTCTTCTGCAGTAGAGGGAGGAATAATTTCTGTGTCAGGTATTTCTGTTAATAATGGTGGTGAAGGATCTTCTGGGTCAGGATCCGGCAATTCACTCTCATCTGCATCGACAAACTCGCTTTTGCTGATTCTTATGATGGGTTTTCTTCTCCTTTTTGTAGGATATTCAGGCAAATCGACCCCTCCTTGGATGCAGAGTTCTACTACTGCAGGAATTCTGGGGATTGAAAATCTCTCTGCGTGGGTGATGCGCTTTTGGAGACGGTCATAGAGGTGGTAAGCTTCAACAGGCACGATTATGTCATCAACAACTGCTTTTGTCCATTCATGAACTCCATTTCGGACAGAGGCGGATGATCCTCTGCAGGATTTGAAAGGATGGCCAACTGGTCCCACATGAATTTCATTGCACCACCTGCAGTTGACACATTAGTACTCAAAGTAGTTCTGCGAAGAACATTAAAGTGGCTCTCTGTAGGGGAATACAACTTTTCAAATTGTCTCATCAAGCTACTAATATTTCTATAAATGCTTGCACAAGTTTAATCCGAAAAGCAATGGCACTTCATGCTAGGAAATTAGTGATAAGTAGGTAGAACATACTTGCAAGCTTGGACAGGCACCACTTTCAACAGCTTTCTGAGATTGTTAATCAATGTAATTCTTGCATTATAAACAGTATAAGCCAATGGAATCAGACTCTTCACAAGCAAGCCAATTTTAGGAGGTGGAAGAGGTTTCTTGGGTTGGCCTCTACTGTCCTTGAACCTCTTCCTAGCAGCTCTTCTTAACTCAACAATAGGTACAGGGAATGGCTTCTTCTCCTTCTTTGAGTAGTAGCGAGGAAAATCTGCATTTTGTGGATGATCACATTTGATGACTACTGATCGGACAAAGTTTTGTGATGGGACTTTGAATTTGAACTGAAGTGTGAAAGGACTGCAGTATTGCTGTCAGGAAAAGCAAGTTAGCATGATTCGCATATGGGTTTAAGGCATAAACTCACTATTTAGAACTTCAACGTGCAATTCCAATAAATACAAGCATCTCAAGTGGTGTCACACTAAGGTAGCTAGAAAAGTAGTCACTGATCAACAACACAAGTTCAAAATCTTCATTAGCACACAAACTCAGGGTTCGCACAAAATCGGTTGGCGAGCTCTAAAAACTCCTCATCACAAAGAACAGCTAATCTATTCCCTTAATTAAATACCAGAATATGATGCTTATAACCATTTCTCTCAAATTAGTCTGCACTTGACCATGCAGGAACAAAACAATCAAGTGGATGATATACTTTATTATCTTTGTTTACTCATATTATTCCATATTAACCAAAATATATATAATTTATGTGACCATCGAAAATCTAATAAAGGTACTCAGATAGTGGAAACTAAAGGTAAAGAGAGTACAACTGAAAGAAAATATAGAGTTCCAGTTTCAAAATATGTATCAGCCAATTCTCCAGCCCGGAAAAGATGATGTCAGGATAACAAATAACACCCAAAACCAAAAGAAAAGCTTTAGCTTTTCGGTTCAATTTGATGTATCGACTCAGCAGTAAACAAATGCGAACTTAGGGTCATAGGAAAAGGAGGTCTATCTATTATTGGAGGTTCAGAATTAGAACAATCACGACAGAAGATGCAACCGCAGTTACTAATGATCAAAGACTGCAACATAGCAATGAAAATTCTGAATCAATTTTGAGTGACAAATCATATCACTATATATCAGTTTTCAAGGTCTGGATATGGTCAACAATTTTGCAACCTTTAAGATCATACTAGCGAATGATACAAAATCTAAATACCTACATAATTTTATAAATTTTGCACTTAGGCGATAACAAGCATTTCGGTAGCCAAAGAATTGATGTTCCGTAACCCAAAAGAGACATCTCTGTACACCAAGCAGAGTTTTCGGATTATTTATCAACCAAGGTAGATGTTATATTGTTAACTTCCAATATATGCACACACACAGTCATTCAAATTCAATTATCTAAAAATGTTCTTGTTCACTATAGTCCACCTCCTTAATCAATCAACTGAGATAAATTCATCGAAGTTAAAAATGAATTCTTTGCGTTACTTGATTTAGAATAAGAACTGTTACCAAAAACTGAACTACATATATACATGGATTGCTGACATACCAGAAGATACAACTTCCACAAACCAATTATGTAAAATTTAAAGAGCAAGAACTAATATTTCATAAAGGTCTCCAGCACGCACAAACTCCAATCACTTTCACCTTCCAGTTTTCCCACAATTGCAATTGAAAAACATAGAGGGGAAAAGGGCTGTAAAATTAAGATATGCTCACCCTTAAAGAATCCAGAGAACTGAGTCTCAGTTGGGGTTTACATTTGGAGAGCTCCAAGTTTGAAGATATGCTCTGCCCTTTACCATGCCACAAAACTACAGCTCCAAACTGGGAGTTTATACTCCCGCAAGCCATCCCTACAATCAGAAGGACAAGAAGAGATGAATGATTCAGAAAAGCACTCATCTAAATGAAATTGACCAAAGCCTCTGAAACCAACAATGCTACTTGCAATGAGTTGCATTCATTTGCCTAGGAGCAGAACTCAAAACAACAACAAAAATTACAGAAATTTAACAATCAAACAGGGGTAAAGGGGCTTACAAAAAAATCAGAAATTCGGGATATTACTGGGTTCTTAACCCAAGAATCAAGTAGAATAGTGTTGTCCAAAATTGCAGAACTCCAGAATAAGGGAGTTTAGGTGGATTGGGAAATTTTGTGATTGAGTTGGGTGGGAGTTGGATATTAAAATTCTTAATTACAGATTGCTCTTAAACGTTTTACAAAACTACGAATGAGCCCTCAAAGTCTTGGGAAATCCGCTGATTGTATCGGAACTTTTTATTAACGAAAAACAAACTACGGACCACGAGATTTTGTAAACAAATTACACACATTTTTATCTTTGTTTATAGAATTGTTTTTGAAATTTTTATTTTTTGGGTATTGAACTCCAACCAATGCACTAAATAAATAGGTAGACGCTTATAGCTATCTCTTGATTGATTTGGTCATACGTTTGTTTTTTCACGCGTGTCCATTTTCTTTATTTCATTCATATCAGTGTATATTTAGATGTCAAGTAGCACCTTGTATAAGTTGGGCACGAGGTTAATTAATGAAGCGAGCCCTTATCAGAGAAAACCATGACGCATTCTGAAATTTATAACTCCCAAATTATCAAATCCTATATATATTAAAGGAGAGTGGTTCGTAGAAATTAATTCGGTTTAGTTAGACCATCAATAGCTTATAGGGACACATATCGCCTCCACGTTTGAGTTTCATTAAACGGTTAAAGTAATTTAGTAATTTCGTTAATTCGAATTTTATTATTTTAATGTTTGACCTTATTTATTTCTAAAAATAATAAATAATGTGATCATTATCTTCTTTAATACGTTTTAAAATTTAAAATATTTAAATTTGAAAAATATATATCAAAATCAAATCTTCCAAATCTCTAATCTTCTCTAATACGATTCATTTAATCTTCTCTAATACGTTTCTCTTTCTCTATAAATAAGATGAATGTAAAATCATTCACCAAAGTAGATCTTTTTCTTCTGCCTCTCAAATTCTGTCCTCTACCTCTTACGCTACCGCCCTCTGCCGCTGCTACCGCTATTACTAATGTCATAACCTTTGTCGTCGCCGCCGTTGTAGGAGGTATTAAGCTTAATATCCTACTCTCTTTTCTTCTCTTTTGTTTTTTTATTCCTTTCTGTTTGAATAAAAATTTTCAACTCACGACATATATAGGCCAATTTTAACTATTGCATTGATTAATTTGGTTTGAACGATTTGGTTTGCTAGTTGCGACATCGGTGATGGTTATAGAGAAGGTTCGGTTTTTTTCCTCTCATTTTACACATCCACGCAACGCAACGCGTGGGACAATTACTAATGACATTAAAATGAAAGTTAGAACGAGATGGTCACCAACCCTTATAGTCGGGGTAATATAGTACTAGCCACCATAGTTGTTACCATGCAATTATTTGATGGCTTTCTTAGTTCAGCAAAAATAGGATTATCTCCATTGGTTTTGCAAATCAAGATAGAACAACGTACGTAATGATTTACTAATTGTTTGAATGAGTTCCAAATTCGTATATGACTTGTTGACTGTATGTGACTGTCATTGGCTAATATACGACCTTCGAAATTAATGCCTAATTTTTAGTATAACAAATAAGCTAATGATCATTTTGAAACATAAGATCAATTTATACCTTTAAAAACCCTTATAAAACGATTGAGGAAACTAACAACTTTCAAAATTAAGACTAAAAATCAAAGAGCAGATCCAATTATCCAAACCATATATAATAGTCATAGACTGATCATAGACGATACCACATTACATTAGGTACTAACTTTAACCGTCTACTGGTCCTTCATCACATTGTCTCTTAATCATCATATCCAAAATGACCAAACTACTTAAAGCATCAATGCAAAAGCAACCAAACTCCCAAGGACCACAGCACCAATCTCAAGCTTTAGCCCTAAATGTCCACCGTTGGCTGGAGCAGGCGCCGGAGCATACGCGAAAGGAGCTGGTGCCGGAGAAGCCTGAACCCTTGAACCATGTCTCGGAGAGAGGACACGGACCTCCAGTTTCTGGCCTTGCTGACAATGGCCATCGGCACCGCTGATGAAGTAAAACGGACCGGATCGGTCCAACTGGATCCTGGTTCTCCCGTCATGGAAGGCTCTGATCGGGTTATCCTTGTTGCAGGTGTTGTAGTCTGCCTCAGAAACTTCCAGAACGGAATCATTGTTTGCATCATACTCCAGAACTAGTGTTCATGCAAACCGAACAAATAAACAAAAATCAGTAATCAAAGCAAAACCGCTAGAAAATGAAAAAAAAAAAAATAACGATGCTAGACGTTACCGCAAAGGAAATTTCCACTATTTTTTCTAAAACGAGTAATACATTAGTAATTCTTTTTCTTTATTTTCTTTGGACGTACTACTAAGTTAAGAACAGCAAAAAGGTACTACTAATTAACTTTTTAACTTAAAAAGCGTGACAAATAAAACGTGAGATGTGAAGCAATAAATAATACCAACATTGGGAAAATAACAAAAACGTTTCTGGGGGAAAAAACCAAAATGGGAAATGACAAAAATAAAGCGTACTACTTCCGTTGAACATTGCTTTAATTGTAACTGTCAAATTATAAGTTTCTTTTACTTTATTCATTTTTCATTTTTTATTACTAGTATTTTTTATTTTTTTTGTGATGGGCATCCAAACGTTTCTAGTCATCTTTCTCTTTTGACCACAAATGATAAAAATTTTAAAGGAAAAGAAAGACCTTATTATGGAGATTGAATCACTAAGAATTCGCAGATGAATTACTGAAACTAAGAACATACCAAAGAAATAAGAAAAGAGACCAAAACAAGTGCAGAATTAGGGAGAAATTGAAATGTAACTGATGCTAATCACGATAAGGTTCCAAACACAAATGCTTAATCAAGAAACGTAATAGTATGATTTTAAGGCTTCAATATCCTTACTTGCACGGAAAAAAAGATTGATCCAAAAATTGAAAGGTTATATATTAAAAAAAAAAAAAAACAGACTAATAGAATTACCTAGAGAATCTCCAATTTGGAACCGAATAATGGAAGACCATTTGTTGTAAGCATCTGGAGAAGATGGGATTTTCCAGTAACTCCCTCTTCCACCTACACCAAATTCCCTTGCTTGGGAACAAGAAGCAAACATCAACACCAAAAGCAGCGAACACTGAAACAGAAGAAGATCACCAGCTTTGAATGAATTAGCCATTTGAATTTTGATGATCAACAAATTAAAGGGTTTATAAATATAATTCGAAGAAAAGATGATAAGAATGTCTTGAAATTTTTTCTTTCTAAATGTGAAGAAACGAGTAACGGAAGAACCCTATTATATATAGAAGTGGCTGCTGGGCTGAGGTTTAACGTGAATTTATAGTACTGTACTATGAGTAGGATTAGGCCTGTAATGTGTGGGTGTGTGTGTGTGTTTTGCCTAGGAAAATCCGGAGCTTTCAAAATGCGTTTGGCACGTGAGAAACACATGGAAGTGGCACTTCCGTAGTTGTTTGGATTTGGAAGTTGGAATGTTGCTGGATATTGGAATTTGAATTTGAATTTTTCTTTTTCTTCTTCTTGTTGATGACCGTTTTAGTTATTTTATGCAATTAAGTGGCGAATTAAATGAAATGTGGTTGTATAAGTGGAAGTTTTGAAACTCACACTTATTGTTTATCACCTGTTTTGCATCATTAAGGTTGACAGGTTTGAAGTGAAATCGGTTGCTAATAGTTCAAAAGAGTAGTACTCCCTCCATTTTCAAATATAGCTCGTTTTGGGATTTGGTGAAAATTTTTGAATATATGTCAGTTTTCACAAATCGAGTCAAATTTGACTACTTTTTACCAATATAATCCTTGCATTGAAAATAAAACAGTATTAATAATGAATTTCTATTAGTTAGTGATGAATTATATAGACAATAAATAAGAATAGTTTTTTATTTTAACTACATTAATTAATAATTTCTTGATTTTTGATGATTTCTCTAGAAAGACATATAAAAAAAAATGGAGGGAGTAGTAAATAAATATATGAGCTATTCCCTCTGTCCCACATAAAAATTTCATTATATTTATTGTATGTCAAATTTTCTAGTGAAAAGGGGCTTTCTCTCTCTCTCTGTTTTTTTTTTTTTGGACTGGATGAAAAGAAAAGGCAAAGAGGGACGTTTTTTTCCTATTTACTTTGTGAGAGAATTATTTAATTCGATGTGAAAAAATTGCCGTGGTAAAAACGTGATTGAAAACGGGTAAAGGATATATGCAAGACCAATACCAATGTTTTGAAACGCTTACATATATCAGTATCTCAACGGCTTCCTAAAAATCATGGTAGCATTTTCTTAAAATAAATAAATAAATAGTAAATCTGAGGCGTTTAATTTAAATTATGCATCATATATAGCCAACTCATTTATTATGCATCATATAAGGAGCTCCTAGAAGTACGATGCAAGGAGCTCCTAGCGAGCAAGTGTAATACAATCTCCTTCTAATCAAGTTGATTTTGTTCCTCATAAAATTTCAGTTACACTCTCACCTATTTTCTAACACATATTTGTTTTTAATTTTTTTATTATATTTTTTCTGAATAATTTTAGTTATACGTGCACCTATTTTTCAGCACACACTTTCTAAATTATATTTCAAAAAAATAACACTTCTTTTTCTTAATGAATAAAGGTGTTGCACTGGTGATCCATTGTGGTTTGCCTAGAAATGGTCATAAACAAATTACTATTATATTTTGAAGGAACTTCGGATTGATGGAAAAATTGGTTAAGGAATTGAGATTTTCGACAAATGGCAACCTTCGACAGTATATCACAACTGTCAAACGACTTCTATTGCAATTAGATTCCGCCACTGTTGTACTCATCGGTGCCAGATCAGCGATTTTGAAGGTCGTCACTACGGTTGAGCTCCTCAAAATTCAACTGGAGTTCCCTATAGCTGCATCTTTTTCATCGACATTAAGTCAGGATTGTGGGTTTTTGGGCTTGTTTGCATCGGGGAGAGGGTTAGTCATTCTTTCTATTTTGGTTTCACGTATAGCCAACACAACAGGTCCTCCTCAGTCGTTCTCACCGGCATCTACAGCTGTTCTGCCGCGTCGATGTAAATGGAACCGAAGACCTTGTCGTCATAAGAGAGGTTTATCTGAATCATCTTCCCCGGAACCAAATCGTTATGAAGGGGCCGACCAATCTTGGAAATTTAGAGGTTCAAAGGCGCCTTAAGTCACCAGGTGTGGCGACCGGTAAATTCACAAACAAAGGATGATGCCATGACCAGAGAAGTTGAACCTGAAAAGCTTTACAAATTTGGAAATAATGCTCTTAAATCAAACTCCACCATGGACTATCAACAGCCTAGTAACCATATTCTCCGCCACCTGAAATTTGTTCCAACTTTATGTCGCTTTGTAATAAGGAAAAAAACAGTTCCACAGTGGAAAGGTTTCAAACTTTGGAATCATATTTTTTGTCCTACTTTGCGGATTGGTGGGACTCAAGGACCTCAAACATATCATCAACCATGAACAAATGTACTGATGGCAAACAAGGTGGTTCACAGTGGAAGGGATAAGGAGTCAAATGTGGCTATAGTAGGGTGGCGTTGGCATCCTTGACAATATGAGTGTACCAATTCAGCCACTCATCTTACCTCAATTTCGACTAGAAAAAAAAAGAAAGAGAAGAAGGAATATCAAAGGAATCAATCTCCAGCTATTTCCTCAGTCCATTCAGACTACTCAGGGAAAGAAAAGAGGAAATGTAGATTTGCTGGAGGCATCAGTAAGTTCATGGAAACATGGACTATCCTTCAAGAGAGGAAACACCCAGTTGATTTCTCAGGTAACATCTTTTCAACCTGAGTTTGATTTGAAAGTATTAGATGCATTTGCTCAGCTGAATGGTTTTACAATGGCTGCACCAGAGCAACCGCCTCTGTTGTCATGAGTATTCTTTCTTGGAATTGTAGGGGTATGAATAATACCTCTTCAAAGTTTGCTTTAAATAGGTTAGTTAAGAACTATAAGCCTAATATTTTGTTTATTATGGAGACTAAGTCTAGTAGTCATAGTATGGCTGTTTGGCAACAATCTTCTATTTTTACAAATTCTGTTGTAATAGATTCAATAGGATCCAGTGGTGGCTTTACTCTCTTTTGGATAGATGGTATTCAGTTAAGTGTGCACTATCACAATGCCAATGTAATAGTTACTAAGGTTAAGGAAACTACAGGCCTGGAATGGCTGGCCATTTTTCTGTATGGTCTCCCTTCGCAACAAGGCAGGGCTAAATTCGATCACATTTAAATGGGATCCTCCAGGGCTTTAGTTACCCTACTATCTTGTTAGGGGATTTTAATCAAGTCTTAGATCAGGAGGATAAAATTGGTGGGTGTCCAGTTAGGCCTCAAGACACAAGAAACATACAACAACTACTGTCTTCTAATGACTTAGAAGAATTGAAACATTTGGGTTGTTGGTATACTTGGACAAACAAGAGACCAGGACAGGAGGCAATTTTTGAAAGGCTGGATCGTGCTTTTGCCAACAAGCAATGGCTCAACACTTTTAATAAGGCTATCATCAGGAACCTTCCAATCATAAGCTTAGATCATGGCCCAATTCTTGTGGAAATTAAGCAAAAACGCTCTCAGAAGAAGCAGCAGAAATTAGAGCAGTTCTGGTCGAATTGTCCTTCTTCAAAAGATTTGGTAACCCAAACTTGGACTCATTCTTCACTTCATATTGATAGTTCCCAGGAAAGTCTCTCATTCCGACTGGATAGAACTTTGCCAAAACTCTATCAGTGGAGTAAAAGATGTTATGGCAACCTAGACACTCTGGTCTTCAAGCTGACTGACAACTGACACAAAGTTTTTTTTTTTTTTTTGAAATCACTGGCACAAGTTCGAATGCAATGGGAAAGAAATAAATCAGATGAGTAGCTTAGCATGTAACTGGAACAACACCGAGTGGAATTGGAGGAAGCACTACAACTCCAACAGGATTATTGGCATTAGAAGGCCAAGCTTTACTAGTCACAATTTTGAGACAGAAACACCGAATTTTTCCATAAATGGGCTACTAGAAAGAACGGGAACAAATGAATTACTGAGCTATGTGATGCTCAGGGATTGTGAGTTCAAGAATACGATCAACTTCGTACTCTGCTTCTAAGTCACTTCTCAAATATTTACATGTTAGTGAAGTTCTCAGAATTCGTAGTCTTTTTCATTTCTCTCCAGTCTTCTTGCAAATATGAGTGAATCATTGACCACTGATCAAGTAGCTTATTTAGATGTTCCATTTACTGAGTCCGAAGTCTGGGCTACCCTCAAGCAAATATCTCATTGGAAGTCCCTAGACCTGATGGGATGCCCGCGGGATTCTATCAACATTACAAGAACATAATTGGCTCGGACTTCCAATCTTTAATTCTGGATGCTTTCAACACTATGTATTCCTCCAGAATGAAATCAGGCTCATTTGGTCCTCATCCCTAAATCGTCTACTTCGACGACCCCAAATGACTTCCGTCCAATCAGTTTGTGTAATGTCAAGTATAAGATCATGGCAAAGATGATTGCGAATCGTCACAAGCATGTTATGAATGATCTTATTGACAAGAATCAGAATGGATTTGTTCCAGGCAGAAACATGAGTGAGAACATTCTCATTGCTCATGAGGTCATTGAATGCATAAGGAGGCAAAAAGGCGAGATAGGTTTGGCTGCCATCAAACTTGATATGAGTAAGGCCCATGATAGGGTTTCTTGGCCTTTTTTATAGGCTGTCCTTAACAAGGCAAACTTTTCCGCAGACTAACCTCCTTAATCATGCATTGTGTTTCCTCAATCTCCTATTTCCTCCAGTTAATGGTGAAATCTTACCACCTTTTTCTCCAAATAAGGGATTGAGACAAGGATGTCCTTTGTCTCCATACTCATTTATCCCTTGTCAGCCGGTCCTCTGTTCTGCAATTACATCAGAGATTCACAACTTTCCAGGGTGAATCATCTCATATATGCTGATGATAGTCTCTTCTTCATTGAGTGCAAGGAATCTTCTGTTTTTAGCTTTAGTAGGATTATTGGAAAACTACGCCAACTTCTCTGACCAGCACATTAATTTTCACAAATCTTCAATCCTCACTTGTGCTAATACAAGACCGAAAATAAAGAACTTCATTTATTCCACTCTCAAGATCCCCACGGGACATTTTCAAAGTAAATATTTGGAAAAAAAATTCTTGATTTCAAGGAAAAGAAAATGACTATATTCAAGGAATTCACTGCTTAAATCAGCAGCAAATTTGCTTCTTGGAAGACAAAGCTGCTATCATTGCCTGGTCGAGTCACCTTGGCCAAGTGCACCTAGTCCTCAATGTTAGTGTACCCAATAGGAGTATTCAAACTTCCTGCTCACCCCTTACATAAGGCATATCAGATTATGGGTAATTTCATTTGGAAGAGAGACAACCAGGAACATAAAATTCATTGGAGAGCATGAAAGAAAATTACAAAAATCTCTTTTTCTTGGTGGTTTGGGTCTCAAAGTTATAAAAGAATTCAACCAAGCACTCTTAGCCAAACATGCATGGAAGATAACCTCTCAGCCCCACTCTCTTCTGGCTAGTTGTTTCCGTGCCAAATGTTGCAACAATGACACTTTTCCTCCAGTACAACCTCCCAAAACTTCCTCCTGGGGTTTCAAGGGTATCATGTGGGGAGCTGAACTTCTGCAGAATCATACTAAATGGAAGGTAATCTCAGGCAAGGACATCCCTCTATTAGCAAACTGGATTCCTGATACTCAGAATCCGATTGCGGCTCATTTCATTTTAGCTATGTCCAACATGACTGTGGACCGATTTATTAATCCAAATAGTCAATGGAAGATTCTGCCTCTTAGGAATTTCTTTCCAGATCATATTATCTCCCGCATTACTGGGATCTTTATAGACCCGGCAAGACTACATCAAAAGGATAAGCTCCATTGGACACTTACTGATCATGGAAATTATACAGTCAAATCAAGGTATCAATTGGCCATCAATGCCCTCCTTCCACAACCTGTGCCAAGTCCCGCAATTCAGAATGCAGAGAAATTAGCTTGGAAACGACTTTGGAATTTTAGAGTTCAACCTAAGTACAAGTTATTCTTCTTGAGAGCATTACTCAACGCTCTTTCTACTCGGTCAGAACTATGCAAAAGGGGAGTTCAAGTGGACTTATTATGCCCCAGATGTGGTAGGCAGGAGGAGGATAGCTTACACTTATTTTTTAAGTGTGAAGCCTCCCAGGCTATCTAGGCCTTGGCTTTTCCTCAGTTTGGCTCAATATACAACTCTACATTTGAATCCTTGCATCAATGGTTCATTCAATGGACTCAGTATCATCCAGATAAAGAGGAGATTGATTTGTTTTTTATCATCATCTGGACGATCTGGTTGGAAAGGAATGATAAAATTTGGAGAAACCAATCTCATAATCCGACGGTATCTTGGAGACTTATCCAAAATGAACTTACTCTTCACAAGTTAAGCCTTGAGAGACCGGTAGTTGGAAGACCTTCTCCCAACACACAATCATCGCTACCACAGAGGGGTCCGGATGATTCCTTAGCCATTTTAATGGATCCTTTAGCCATCGAACACGCAAAGCGGCTAGTGCTTGGAAGATACTATCACATCATGGTATGGTGATGCAAATCAAAGCGGTGGATGTAAGTGTACTCTCTCCTTTTCAAGCCGAGTCCATGACTTGTCTCTTCGTTAGTTATTAGTATTTACTTATTTCAGTCTTGCTCACTGATTAAAGTGAGCAGACAAAATGTTGTAGAAGTTCATAATTGGCATTCCATAAAATGCGATGTATTAGTTCAGGTACTTCTTAATTAATATACAGGTACCTTTTCACACACACACAAAAAAAAAAAAACCTTTTCATCAGGGAGTATGAGATACCCCCTAATTAACTCTAGCCAGCTTAACACTAACAAAGGAGGTTTAGTAAGGTGTCTGTTGCCAGATCTCACACTACAAATGCTAAATATATAAATTAATTACACTTGAAATTGATTAAATTATATCCTAGTAAATGTAATCAAGACTTATCTAAAAGACTAAACAGTGTTCTCTATTTATAGATTCATTATTTATTTACATATAACTTGCTAATCATGATCTAATAGCAACCACCAACAGTGTAGTCTTGCCGTAACTCATCCCATAGAACCTGTAAAAGATTAATCCTAAAAAGGTGAGCTAAATCCAGTGAGGTCCCCAAGTTTAGAAAACATTTTCAAGTAATACTCGGGGGATCACATGCACGCAAGTGATATAAACAGGAAAAGTAAATCAAGCGCATGCACAGATAATTTTCAGGCAACAGATACGACTTCGCGCGAAGACCAAACAAGTCGAGACATAGCCAGACCACACAGTAAGCCATAGCCTTCCTATGCGAGGATTTAGCCAGACCACACAGCAAGCTATAATCCTCAACTAATGGATTTAGCCAGACCACAAAGCAAGCTAAAGTCCATATAACACTAAGCACGGGTTTAGCAAGTCCACATAACAGGCTTACACCCATATAACACTAAGTTGGGATTTAGCTAGACCACAGAGCAAGCTATAATCCCGTATTATATATCACACAGCATCACAACTCACGGACCGAAGTCCCATTTATCATACGCACACAATCACTCAGATCGCAACAAAGGCACCCATGCACACCCACGTGCTAATCCACACACAAATTTTATAAAAATATAAAATATTTGAAATTAAAGACGAGATAAAATGGAGGAGAACACTCACTGGGCATGTCTTGCCCGTGATCTCTAACCGTCACAATTTAACTATCCTAAGCTCGACTAGCTCTTGATTTATTCTACAACATGATAGACAGCAAAAGTAAATAAAACAAATTCTATGAAAAAGAAGAGTTCGGATTCAAGAAGGAAGGACGATGCAAGTTTGGCCTTTAAGTTATAAGTTCAGAATTTTCAGCCCTAAGGTGACAGAGTGTCAAATTCAGTATCCATTTATAAACAAACCATTAGCCCTTCTAACCAGCCGGTAAAACAGAGTTGCACTATTATAAAGTAAATGAAGTTCTACCAAAGAAATCAGAGGAAGAGTTCAGAAATCGTGAGGCACAAGTCTCCCCAAAGCAGTAACTCAGACCAACTTTCAGTGACTATTATGTTATGTTAAAACCCAACTTCTTAACAAATCAGAGATTTATTTATTAATATAACCTGTAAGAGCCACTTTAAAATAAGCTCAACAAGGAAAAGACTCATAGAAAGAAATCTTGAGAAAGGATTCAACAAATACGAGAAACGAGCTTCTAACAAGGAAGCTCAACTCTGCTTTTCTAAGTTTCACATATTACCAACAGCAAACATGCCTTATTTCAAGCAAATATTTCGAAAGATCCTCCAAGCCATTTGACATGCCGTAAAAAATACAGAAGAAACACTGATCACCAGGAAAGGGTTTAGTAAGACGCATATATAGGAAAAGAGCCATAAAACATAATAATCGACCCCTCAGAACAGCTAACCAATCTGGAATTCTTTTTCCCAATTCCTTTGTTCAGAACTCAAGTTTGTGCTCTCTTTTATTTATTTGTTCACGATAGTGCCTAACTCCCAGGTCCCCTACTGGAAAAAATGAAGCCTTAAGCTATGGAAATCAAATTTGGAAAGAAATCTCTCAATTTCAACATGTACGGAAACATTTAAGATCTAACCAACAAATTCAAAGAAATACAATAGCCATAGCTCTAATCCTGGCCATCAATCAGTGTTTCTCAACCAATTGTTAAAATACTAAGATTACTTAACAAGGAATGAAGCTTACTATTTGGGGATTTCGATGAGTTCGTTAACAAGGATTCTCTGCTGCGTTGTTGCTTCGATTTTACAACTTGTTACTCCTATATCCCCGTAGCATGCTCCCTCCCTCGACTTAAAAATTATTTACTTAAAACATAAATAAACTAACCTAACTATTCATGAACAATATAACCTGATCAGATGGCTCCTTATTTGGTTTTGGCTAGTTAATAAGACTAAGTTGGTTTTAGCAAAGAATAAAAAGAAATAATAGTAAAAGACTTCAATTACTTAGAATCTATTCTTCCTAATGTTTTAAAAGTCTAAATATTTTTATTGAAGCTATATTTTATGTTTTAAAATGTACTAATATATTAATTTTGAATCTATGTTGAATGTTTTATTTTTTGTGCATAATTAGGTTTAGTTAAATAATCTTATTTTTTAGATAAAAAAAATAGATTAAAAAAATAATATCATTACTGTTAAACCATATTATTAAAAAATTAATATGTTCATGTAAATCAACCATGAGTTACGAATATGCATATCTATAAATTTGCACAATAGTATTTTAAAAATAAATCGCTTTTTTTAAAAGATTATATAATATATTTCTATAGTTATGAGAAATAGTGAAAAGAAATAGAAAACAGAAAAAATTAAATAAAAAGTAAAAAAAGACTGTTTGGTTATTTTTACAAATTATTTGGGTATTTTTTGTAATTAAAACTAACGGAATTCCGTTAACTTAAACGGAAATTGGCAAATTGAACAAAATCGGCTAACGTTTGGATAGTTTATGGTAATATTGGCTATTCGAAAAAAGAATAGGATAAAATTGACAACGCATATCAACCTTTAGGTAGATCGGCCAATTTTTCCAACTAATGGATATCCTTCCGGAACCGACCTAAGGTTCCCTATTACTTAATTTCTTTAACCTTTAGTTGCTTTGTATTTCTAACTTTGAAGAAAAGATATAAAATTAAATCGGTGCGTATGTGTCTATATGACAAAATGGCCATTATGTCTAAATTCTAAAGGAAGAAAATAATAAAATGATTAAAGCGGCGGTGTTGAATAATATGGAAATTGGACCACGCAACTTTTGTATTATACTTCAAAAAAAAAAAAATGAAGAGATTTGGTAATGCTTTCTACATGAGCTTGTTTTAGGATGTAATAACAAGCAAGAAAATGGAGGTAGTAGAGAGAACGTTTTCTAAAGAAAATTAGATGAGTTCTCTTTAGTTTATTTACAAAACCACATATTTAGGATTTCTCTTCTCTTTTTTTTTTTTTTTAAGACATACTAATTCTTGTCGCTAATATTTTAATATATTAAAATAAATTTCTGTAACTCCAATTTAACAATAACTAATACTAATGTCTAACCTAACACATGAAAATTTTAGGGTATTACAGATTCGGCTGGGATTGCCATGTAACTTGGCTCTTTGTATGAACAGGGGAGTTTCGTATGCTAAGGTCCGAAACCGGTTATGTTGTCGAAAAGATCGCGAATTTCAGAGCCTCCTGTTAATAAAGATAAAAAAAAAAAAGGAGGTGTTACATATGAGGAGATTCAAAGGGTCTCAGGGGAATCCCTTGTAAGAAAAAGATATGAACCGTTGTTTGATTAGTTATGATAATGAGGAGGCTTTCTGGTTTTAAGGCGACTGATTTACATGGCGAAATTATTGATCATATCACAATTCCATCTCTTCGCGGTCCTGAATTTGGTGTCCTTAGCCGCGTGAAGGATGTATTTGATTGCTGGTTCGAAAGTGGATTATGCTTACATCCATTATCCATTTGAGAATGTGGAACTATTTGAAAACAGCTTTCCAGGGGATTTTGTGGCCGAGGAGGGGCTCGACCAAACTCTCGCGGATGGTTTTACACTCTCATGGTTCTGTCAACTGCGTTATTTGGGAAACCTGCTTTTAAGAATCTGATCTGCAATGGACTTAATTATTTTGGCTGAGGATGGGAAAAAAGATGAGCAAAAGATTGAAGAACTATCCTCCTTGCACATAATATCCGCCATCGTCACAAGAAAACTCTTGAGACTCCACTCAGGGAGATGGTGATTGTTCACCCTGATACCGATTTTCTTGAAGACATTGCGGGAAACGTGAAAGAGTATGTCCTCAAAGAACTCAACATTAAGTCCTTGGTCCCTTGCAACGATGCATTGAAGTATGCTTCGCTGCGTGCAAGTGTTTTAAATGTGTTGGGGAAGAGACTAGGAAGGTCAATGGAGGGTGTAAAAGAAGCGGTCAAGGCCTTGTCGACTGAAGATGTCTTAGCCTCTGAGAAATCAGGAGAAATGGTTCTTGCTTCGTGTTCTGTAAAGTTCAGTCAGGTTAAGATTACTCGAGTCTTTAAACGTCCTGATCACATGAATGAGGGAGAAATGGATGCAGCCGGAGATGGTGATGTTACGGTGATACTGCGCTTGCGTGGATGAATCAATGTTTGAAGCCGGGTTCACTCCTGAGGTTTTCAACAGGTCCAGAAGATGCGGAAGAAAGCCGGGCTAATAACCTACAGATACTGTCGAAGGTTTTTTTTCGAATCATTGGACGTGGATAAGTCGATTTCTCAATGGGTTGTTGAATATCAGAAAGCATACATCAGGGAAGCTCTTGGCTCCCCTTTGCTGTCGTCAATGCCGATTTCACCAGATGCTGTCATTCTTTCTGAGACGGTTCATGGAATCTCTGACTTGTCTTTTGCCATTACAGTGTCAAGATGTTTCCATATTGTTGGTCTTCGTTCTATTAATAGTTTGTTATCCCTTAATTAGTTTATTGATAGCATTTCCCTGTTCTGGTCCTTTTTGCTGTGAATTGGCGTGACCAGTAGGCAATGCGGCATATGATTGTGAGAATTGTATTTATGATAATTTGAGCAAAAACTTATAGAAAGAAGATTGGTTTTCAGCCTTGAATGGTGTAGCTATGTGACATGACAACTTAGAACTGCAAAATACATACCACTCCGTCCCCCCAAAATTATGTTGATGTTGAGTTAAAGATCAAAGTATTCCCTCTTACGCGTATTTCCCCCCCTTCTGCTTTTTGGAGTTAAAGATCAAATTATATAATCCCTCATCCTCAAAATTATTGCCAGCCATGTTTGTTTAAGTGGAGGAACTCATTGTCCTTGCCAGTGTACCAGTAAATCTTGGTGGAGATGATGTCTGATGATGTTTTGGTTCCTGGCAGGACTTATGTTTTTCAGTTTCCATTGTTTTCCGAAGAGGAGACACGGTGGGAGAACGTGTTAGCTTTGCTTGCTAAATGTGAATTTTGAAGCACTCCGTGCTGCTCCTTCAGAAAGAAATGTGGCCCTAAATGTACTCATATAGAACCGAGGAATATACCCGTACTTATCAAGAAAAGAAACACCATCGCATATGCATAAATATAATCAAGCAATTAACGGATGAGGCAAAGAGGGCAAAATGGGAGACAAATATATGAATTCACCTTCAACAGTCAGAGATTAAAATGTGAGATCATAGAGGGGACAGAATGTGCTGCGGCATAAACACGAACACCACTAGTGTGGTGAGAATGAAATCACTAGCACAGGAAAAAGCAGGGAGCAGAAAAGAACACAAGCACAATCTTTCATCACTTAAGTAGGGTCTTCACTATGGCCTTGGCATTTAGCTTCTTCAAATCCGTGTAGGATTGACCACATCCAACGAACATGACGGGTGCTCCAGAAATGTAGACCATCGATAGTGCAGCTCCAACCTGGACCATTTAACATAATATTTTCATGGATAACGACCATTATAAAGATGAACAATCAAATAATAGGACCAAACCGGTAAGGGAATTATTATAAAAAAAAATTTAAAAAAAAAAACCACAAACAATCTATATCACAACTTCATTACCTTGTCATCAATGGTATCAAACTTGGTGAGCAGGATTCCATCAATCAATCTGGGATTTGGAGAAGGTGAAAGGTCGCCCAGTTTCTGAATAAAAAGCCAGAGAGAAGAGGAAAGACCTGAATACTCTGTAGAAATAAACTTACACAGATCTCAAATCAAAAGACAAGAGGATAAGCGTCACTCAATAGAAAAGACCAACCTGATTAAACTTTGACAACTGATCTACGGCATCATTACCAACTAGAGCTTCACCAACAAACAATATCAGATCTGGATTATTGACGTAAACCAGCTTTGAAAGTGCTCTCATCAGCGGTTCATTATCCTGTTGAACATAATGCAACAATTATAAGCTAATTTGCCATCAGTATATTCTTAGGAAAATCCTGAAAAAATGATTGGAATCTGAGGACAACCCCAGATACAGAGCTACCCAAAGTATATGTTAGAAACTAAAGAAACTATCCCGAATTTTCTAAAGCAGCTATTGCATAACACAGGTACACAAAACTAATTATAATTGATTGTACTAACAATAACACAAAATCGACTTACCTGCATTCGACCAGCAGTATCGACGAGAACCACGTCTGAACCATTTCGAGCGGCCTCCTGTATCGCTTCCTTTGCCACAACTGCGGGATCTTTCTCATAACCCTTCTCAAATATTGGAATCTGGCAAGGTAGTTAGACAATCACCTCCCAATGTGAAACCTCACTAAGGAATTGCAGATAAAATTCACGGGAATCAACTTAAGTCAAATATATAGAAAAAAAGATAGGCGGGATTTATACCTGGAGTCTACGAGCATGTGTGCGAAGTTGCTCAACTGCTCCTGAGCGAAAAGTATCACAAGCTGCCATCATTACACGGACATTGTGCTGCAGCAGCCAATAAGCAACCTACAAATGGAAAAACAAAATCTCAAATAAACAGGGTTTGAAAGGCTTTAACATATTAAACCAACTGTGATAATGAAAGTTACCTTAGCTAGATTAGTAGATTTTCCTACTCCATTGACTCCAACAAAAACAACCACGTATGGTTTCCCTTGATCCTTGGCAGCGTGAACATCCCTCAAAATGTCAATCGAGCGTCTAGGAGTTAAAATACGAACAAGAGCCTCTTCCATGGCAGCCTGTTTGCAGATTTACAATCAGTGCTATCAATCTCATTTCGTGGAGGGGAAAGAACTTTATCTATATATCAAGTCTTACATACCTGCACAGTTGAGGAAATTCTTGTAAAAGAGGCAAGCTTTTTACCCTCCAGACTTGCCGCAACTGACTCGCAGAGTTTCTCAGCTATTTCCTCAGCCTGTTAATAACAGATTATTAAACCCTCATAAGTAAATTCACCAAACCGAATAAAAATCTTGGGCTCATGTGAATAGAACAAAAAGAAAAGTAAAATAAAAGATAAGACTGAGAAAAACAAAAGATCAGGGAGATAAAACCCCCCACATACCACATTCTTAGTCATGAGCCTATCCTTCAGAGCCTTCAAAGCAGGTTCAAGATCTGCCTTATCCAAACTTGCCTTCCCAGCAATACTGTAATAGGGTGACAGAAAAAACATTGAGATATTCCAAGGCACAGAATACAAGGAACAAGAATTCAAATAAGTCTAATCTGATGGCATTCTCCAAATAAATGGGCATACGGCCAGCACCATACATGGAAAAAAATTATTGTTTAACAAAAAGACGTCACTTGACCGCAATTTCACTCAATCATAGTAGAAACTTAGTAGGTGGCTGAAAAGGTATCTACTAGTGGAAAGACCAACGCTAAAACATAGAAGTACAAAACCTTGCAGATAATAAGAAAATGTTATTCGCAACAATCAATCAAACAGTATGTCATGACCATATCTTCAGTTATTTTATGTCACAAAACATCCAAAAATCATATAAAGACTTAGTCTCAAACAACATCGACAAAACTTACCCATCATGCAATCATCATAATGCTGCCACATACATCCCAACGAACCTTTCCAGGTGTTTCTTATGATTATCATTATGAATACCACACATACATCCCAACCAACCTTCCCAGGTACTTCTCATGAAAATGGAAACTTCTAAATTTTGACTCAATTAGTGCTCTAAGACTAAGATCAGCAAGAGAGAGTATCTTCATTAAAAGCATCCACATCTATAAACAACTCTATATAGTGAAAGACAATCTATCAGAACATATGGTCAGTATCGCTAAAAACTGGTGATAAGAATTGAAAATTGCTAACAAAAAACTATACATCATTTTCAGGTCCATCGGGGCACCTAAAATGTAACCTTTTCCTGAATCATTAATTAGTACTCTACCATAATGGCAGATGCGTGAATATTCAAAACTTCGATTGTCACCACAGGCGTTGATGCAAATATATGAAACCTACTTTCAACCCTACATGCAAATTAGCGAATATATGGCATACCAATCAAATCAGATCAAATTTATCAAAATCGAGAAAGAGAAATATAAGGAAACAATAACTACCTATTGAACATGGATGCGAACCACCCCTTCTTTGTTTCTGTTTTAGTGTCCTTCTCAATTTCCTCCTCTTCACTCTCACTGTCACTGCTAAGAATCTCCTCCTTGTCCATCATACTCTCACCATGATCCATTGCAACAGCAGCAACATTTTCATCCCCGTTCTCACTCACAGGATCAGTAAAATCCAACTTTGTTTTTGAAGGTGAATCATCCCAAACTCTTGGGGCTTTCTTGGTGGCCTCCTTCGGACCCTTTGTAACTGCAGCAGTTGTAGCTTTCTTTCCAGGTTTATTACCTCCACGCAACTTCTTCAGCTTATCTTTGTCAAAAGCCACAGTATTCGAACTCCTGTTCTCTTTACCATTAGCATCATCTGCTGCAGCCACCTCCCCATTTACTACATGGTCACCGTTGGAATGCCCATTTTCAATTGGATAACTATTAGTTTTTTTGCCATTCTTATCACCATTTCCATCCTCACCACTCTTTTTTTGTTTACCTCCATCAGCTCCACCACCATTACCACCTTTCTGCCCAGCCCCCTGCTTCTTACCCATATTACCACCGTTTGAAACCTTCACAGGCTGTTTTGATTTCTTAGCTTTCTCAGCACGATCCTCGGCCTCCTTTTTAAGCTGCTGAAACACATCATCGAAATCGTTGTAAACCATTCGCTTCGGCTCATAAACTTTCGAAAACTCTTGCTTAACCATCTCGAGCAAATCATCCACATACAAAAGATGGAGAACCCGCTGATAAACAGCAACAAACACAAGCCCTAATTCGTTGTGGAACGTCCATTTGAGAGTGTAAGAACCCCCAGGTACTTCGTAATTGTAAGAAGCAGCACCCGATCGCTCCTCCAATAGACAAGACCTAATAAGGGTATCAATCGGCGATCCTTTCAAAGCATTTCCAAGTTCTTTACATGTCCAGAGGATCAACCCTCCCCGAGTAAAAATCAATAACTGTTCCAACATGGTTAACCCTGCAAAAATTTCAAAACCCAGACCCAATTAAACTACATGATTATGAACAACCCCCGATCTTGATACCAAGATGACAAACCATAATTCCTGATTCAAAATTAGATCTACATCAAGATAATTTTCCCAAACCGTAAAAATGCGGGAAACAGGTATCAAAAATTGGATTATGAATCGATGTGATTAAAGATCGAAAACCTATAAAAGAAACAAGCCAAAAGAAAAAGGCGAAACGTGATCTTTAGAATAGAGAAGGTACCTGGGCGGAGCGAGACGCGTTTCACAATGAAGAAGAAAGTAAATTGAGAAAAATCAAAAGGATTTCTTGTTGAATATTTATAGTGTGTTGACCTTTTCTTTTTCGGAAAAGAGGAGGACAAGAATATTTCACATTTTACTGTTACTGTATTACTATTTACTACTCTTCTAGAATCTAGAATTGTAGTTCTAGTGGCTCGAAAAGGGGTAAAAAAACGAACCAGGAGAAGGGCCTTGTTTGTTTATTGTTACATTTTACTTTTTGTCTTATCTTATCTTTTAAACACAAAACACAATACACTATCCAAACACTAATTTAACTTACCTTTTAAACTATTGTAAAGTTTACTGCCGATGGTCACTAAACTATTGTAAAGTTTTAAGTTTGGTCACTAAACTATTGTAAGTTTTAGTGCCGATGGTTACTGAACTATTGTAAAGTTTTAAGTTTGGTCACTAAATTATTGTAAAATTTTAAGTTTGGTCACTTTACTATCCTACTTTCAAAAATGGTCACTATAATATAATACTTTTTAAAAATTGTCATTAAACTACATTTTAAATCTCCTTCCAAATTTAAATGAAAAACTAAAATAAAACGTTTTCCAAACAAGCACGAAAACTTTTGGTTTCACAAAAAACCAGAGTAAAAAATAATTTTAGAAGTAAACTCGAAAATTCGAAATAGAATTGTCAAAATTAAAATTGTACGAGATGATATCTTCTAAGAAAAGAATATTTTGAGAAGAGGGGGAAAAACCTTAAATTACATAGAAGCAGCAATACATAATTCCAAAAAAGTCACCAGTATTGATTAAAAAAAAAAGTGGGAAATCAAAGAAATCTCATAACACTCCAAAAACCTAATTATGTCACTAAGGTTTTGCCTCCCATTTTGTGTATCATAAATTATTAGAAAATAATTAATAATGGTATTCTAGGGAGACAAGATGTACAAATTATATCACCAATCTTATTCATTACTAATTAATTTACTATAAAAATTTATGTATTTTTCTATATCTATGTAAAAATGGAGGAGTTGGACTAGGACTATTCCCGTTTAGGTACGGTGGTCGGTCACTCCCCCTAGACGTGTCGGCTCCTGATTGGAGACTTGGGTTATAGATTGCGGCCTTCACCGTCTCTTTCGGTTTGGCTGCCTACACTTGTCAGCCCCCTACACTTGTCAGTCGGCTACTGGTTGCTGCTTTTGCTCTGGGCCATGTTCACCGCTCCTCTTCATCTTTCTCTTTCAAAGTACATTGTCGAACCAATTTTTTTCTTTTTTGCAGCTTCACTTCTCAATCATGAATCATCTAATCTAAATCAACCTCTAAACAACGCAATTTCTGAAATCAGATCATGTTCCGATCCACTATTGCAACGTGACTGAAGAGAAAACCGTGGAAAGCAAAATATAAAGAGAGGAGACGATGGAACAACCATTTTTTTGGCTAAACAAATTAGGTAAATTTCGTTCAACGATTCTGTTTGCTCTCTTCTCTCCCTTTAATCTCTTCGATTTGTCCATCTCTCACTGGAAGTCTGGAACTATGTTAATGAAAACAAATTGCTGGTTGATGAAGAAATGTGGAGAGACCGTTAATTTAACAGGTGCATTGGATGTTTGATTTTTAGCCTGAGAGAAATTGTGTTCATTTATCAGTGTGTTATTAGTTGAGTGATGCCAAAATGATGTTTTTAATTTTATTTAATTTAAAATTGATATCTTCAGTTTCCCTCTACTATCTTCTAGATGGTGAAAACTATATTCGTACGTACATGATGGTTGCCACAACTGAACCACCAAATTTAGAAGGGATGGAGAGTACACTTAAGATGGAAAGTACCTAAAGGTACATCCAATGATACACACCAATAGTTAAAGGCACGTAATTTCCCGGTAAATTGGTACATTCAGATGCCTCCATTGACTTCTGGGTGATGAAAAAGGAAAACTGTACTTTGTTGGATCCTTCATCGTTGTGGTGGTGCTAAAAATGCAGTCTTTCATAGATTAAAAAAATGTCATATATATATGTATAGATTGTATGCCAACTATTTGATTTTTGGTGTCAATAAAAATTGACCTTTTATAGGATTGATATTTCCTTTGGCTGAGTTTGAATACTAGAGATTTAATTGCTTTTGAAGGTATGGTGACAATCCCAATTATTATTGGAGATTTAGTGTAGATTTTAATAATACCAAAGAAACAAATGATTACCCACCCTTATCTCTTAACAGGTGCCAAAGGTGGACACTCTGCAATATGCAAGGAAAAAAAATAAAAATGTTACCCAAGCCCGAAAATGGTTATCCACATGATATTTTACTATTTTAATTAAAAACATTATAAATACAAAATATAATGTGGACAATTTATTTTGTTTTCTGAGAGTACTATATCACCACATAACGTGGGGACAAAATACTAGTTGTTATACAATGTAATTTAATAAATTTATAATTTTACATTAAAAAATTATCATTAAATGATGGAGTGATGTGGTTGCGACATGTGGACTTGACTATCTAATTTTTCGCCATGTGGATTAGCATATCTTATTTTGCGCCATGTATCCGATTGAAAACTCTCCCTTAATGTATAGATATATATATATATATATATATATATATATATATGTAAGGGAGCGGCTAGAGTCCCGTTACGGGACGGTTCCGTTTTAGGATAATAACTGTAGGATTAATTAGGCTAATTAACAACCGTAGGATTAAAATCACGGTGCATTATAAGTAAATATACGTAAACACACCTGATTAAACTGAAAAATTAGAGAAAATGATCAATTTTGCCTAAAGCTTCAAGTGTCTTGCCAATTTGACCCAAGAGATTTTTGGGAAGCCAAATTCATCATCTAATTTTCTATTTCTGCCAATTTCATCAAATTGACAAAAATTTCTTTAGATTTAACATCTCCGTTGACATTCTGTTACAGATAAAATGACGGTTGTACCCAAAGTTTTGATCGCTTCGTTAATTTTACCCCATTGATTTTTTTAGTTGGCCAATTTTGTCCTTTATGTTTGAATTTTTTTGTCAATTTCATCTAATTGGTCCAATTTCTGTTAAACTTGATGGATTTCAGTTAATTTTTAACAAAAATATTCCTATAGTATCAAAAAAATTATAAAAATAATCCTCAAAATATGTAAAATCAACAAAATAATCTCTTTTCATTATTTTTATTTTTTTTCTATTTCATTTTATTTCTCTTTACTACTTTTAGAACCATCAAAATAAAATTATAAGATCTTTAAAATAATAATTATTTATTTTTAAACTCTATTTTTCATGTGCAAACATGTGAGTTAGGTTTAGGAGTAGTTTTATCATATTTTTAAAATTTTTAAATTTTAATTTTTTTTATTCTTTGTTATTTACGATTCTTTTTCTTGTACGTCCTGACTTGTATCTGTTGCTACTAGTATACTAAATTTCATTAATTAATTTACCTTTTATTTCATAGATTATAAAAAAAAAGTTTAAAAAATAAAGAGAATGAGGAAGAAAAAATCGAGTTGAAATAAGTATGAAAATTAATAGTTAATCATTCTAAACAAAAATAACAAAATCTAAAAACAAAAAAAAAAGTTCTAAGACAAGTCTTTCCTCCTAGACTTCTTGTGATTCATAGGTAAGTTACAAAATATAATTTTACTCGATGTAGCCTAAAATGGTTATTTTGTTTGTGATAATAAAAATAATTTAAAAATTAGACAATCTTTTAAAATAGGAAAAAGTGCTATTTTATTTAGTCCACGACGATGAACTGTTGTAAATTTGGTTAACACAATTTTTATTCCTTTTTAGTAACTTTTATTGTTACGTTGCCGATGACTAAACTATATAAGCAATCATTGAAATTCATGACCAAGATAAATTCGTATATTTTTAACAGTGTATTTTTTAATTATTTTTAAACCTCAAAATTGAAATACAAAAGTTAAATTTTTTCTTGAAATATGGTAATTATATTAGTGCCAATATATACAAGTCAGAGTGTACAAGAAGAAAATTGTTAAAAAGAATAAATTAAAATAAATTTAAAATTTTCAAAAATTAGACACCATATGTAAGGTACAATGCAATTTATTTTAAGTGATTATAAAAAATTTAATGCATTAAAAATTACTATATTCAACAAAATGACTTAGAAAATTTCGTCATTAACCCCAAAGATTCTATTAATTTTGAGAGATTTTGTTATCCAGCATCAATTTTTTTGTTCATGATCTTCATTATTTTGTTATTTTCTTAAAAAAATGTACAATAAAAATGGGTATCTATCGTCACTTCCAGTTGCCAACACCACTATCATCACCTTTTGCCGTCTTAACGGTCATGTGGATGCATTAATTTTCCTCCTTCTGCATAGTATATCGATTTAAATGATAGTACTTGAATCTAAAGTTAATAATTAACTGAGTTTAATGAAAGAAAAATGTTTTTAGTAAGTGAAATAACATTACCTGCTAAATCAACACTCACAAAATGTAAAAGGATATTTTCTAGGTAAAGAATTTTGAAGAATGGAACGGTAAAAAGAAATTTCGATAACAACCTGCTAAAAAAGATAAGTGTATCTCTGCAATGATTTCTTTTTCGGTTGCCATGGAGAAGAAGTGGGCAAGGGACAAATGGTGCAGGTAGAGGGAGGACAATTACTTCTTTAAGATTGAAGAAGGAAAAAAATCGAAAAAATATGTAAAGTATTTTATAATTTTTGTGGAATTGAAAAAAGTGGTGCCAACAAAAATGCGGGTAGTGATGGAGGGAGAATTGTGTTCTGTTGGTGGAGGTAAATTTTTATGTTTGTGGTGATGGTTTGGAATTCTCACAGATTTAGGAAGTGGTGATGGTAATTTTTAAGGGAGAAGAGGAATAGGGCGGTGGTGGTGCGACAGCGGAAAACAAATAGAGGAAGGTAGAGGAAGAAAAGGAAGAGGCTTAGGGTGGGAGCACAAAAAAAAAAAAAAGGCTTCAGGTGGGAGTAATGGATTAGATTAGAAGATAAATTTTGTAATAGGGACGTTATAATAATTAAATGTTAAGATAAGCATATATTACTGAATAACAAAACATTAAGAATAAAATGTTAAAATTTTGTCAACAAAATTTTTTACCAATAAAAAACTGTAGAAAGTAACGGAATTTCAGTGAAAATGTTAAATCTAACAAAATTCTCATTAACTGGATTAAATTGGCAAAAAATTGAAATTTATATGATGAATTTGGTTTACTTAAATCTTTTGGGTCAAATTGGCTAGACATTTGAAGTTTTGAAAAAAAATTGACCATTTTCTCAATTAGTTTTGGAAATTATAGAATGTTATTAACCGCATGGTTACATCTTATACCCTCAATTTTGATTGGTTGAAGACAAAACGTGACGGTTCCGTAAAAATAGCCAACAAGGCTCTAGATTTTCCCTATATATAATACTACTGATGTCTGGTCGCGCAATGCGCGACCCTGGCCCAATATATGTGTAGATCTTAGAAATGTTTGTATTTGAAAAAAAAAAATTTTGTATTTGGTCCGATATATTTTAGAAATATTTGAAAAGTTTTAGAAATGTTTTATAAGTGTGATGTTTGTATTTGGCATAAAAATAAATTGTATTTGGCCCGGTACGTTTTAGAAATGTTTGAAGATTTTAGAAATGTTTTATAAGTGTTGCTTCTTAAATATAAATAAACTTGATCAAATATATGTCTTGAAGTAAATGCTAGAAAAAATATAAAAGCATCCTAATAAGTTTAAATATTAGTAAGATAATTTATTGATGTTCTCCATTGGTTGTGCCAAATCAACACTTAGTTTTGGAGATTTATAATAGCTTTGTAGTTAGCTTCCTCCAAAGGGTATACGCTTAATTGTTAGAACTATTTCTTCCAAAAGTTTATAGGTAGTAAAATATCAAAAATATGATTTTGATACTGGTTAATTGTTGAAATTGGTTGATCACAAATATGAGAATGAAAATTATGTAAATTTTCATAGGTTTCAAGATATAGCAAAAAAGAACTCACCTCACCATGGCAAAACAAAAAGAAAAAGTAAAAGATAGCCCATTAAAATTTGAGAATTTTTATTTTTTTTCTGTAAGTAAAAATGATGTATAAAAACACAAATAAACGTAGAAACATCATTCCTTCCCTCTCCACCTCAAATTCATAAAAGGCTTCCCCATAAATTAGTTAAAAGAAGCGACTTGAACTATTTATATGATGAGGAACTAAAAAAAGTCTAAAAACTAAATCCAAAAAAGTAATTGAAACCCCAAACACACAAAAAAAAACGTGCTTCATTTGCAAATAAAATAATAATAATCATAATAATAATAATAATAAGTCAACTGGGAGTATGAAACAAAATCAAAAGCAATTAGACAAAGAAAAAACACATTTCATAACTGACCATATACGAAAAAAAACCCTGAGACTCCATAATTAAAAAAAAACTACTCTAATTGAATGAAACATAAAAAACAAATTTAAAAAAGCACACTTTGTAACAAAAACCCAATCAATCAATTCAATCCAAACATAACTAAAATCATACAAAAATTCTAGACTAACTAACCAAATAAGAAATCACATCATACTACCTGACAACGGCTCCGGTAGCTGTAACGGATTGACGCATAAAAATAATAGTAATAACACTATTCTTGAACGGGAAAATAAAAAATAATAAAAGCCAAACTAATTATCTGTGGAAATAAAATCATTTAAATTTTAATCCGTGTAATGGCACCACCACAACGGCCGAAGCAAGATCAATGAGAATTTTTTTTTTCCTTTGTGTTTATATAGAGAGGTAAAGAGAATATTTTTTGAAGTTAAAATTTTATCCGATTAGGATGTAGTTGATCATCACTAATGAAAAGATTGAACATGCTAATAGGAAAGGAGTATATTTCACCACATATTCTCAATTGATGATTGATGAGGAATTTATTTATTTTTTAATTCTGGAGAAGAGATTGATTAAGGAGTCGATTGTCGTAGCGATGGGGATGAGGATTTGGGTTTTTTATGAACCCGTGATTTTTTTTTTTTGTTTGTTTTGACGAAAATAGAAGGTGGAAATAAATTTGGACTGCATTTGCCTTTTAAGCTTAGGAGATGTGGAAATAAAAATTTATTTTAAAAATATGATATGGAAATGCCACATGACAAATGGTGGTGATTTCTCTTAAGTGTGATTTTTGTTTCTAATATAGTAAGATATAATATAGAGATATAATCTACTAGTACGATCGCAAAATAAATGAGTGGTGAATTTTACTTTATATTTGATTTATGAGAGGGTATGAGACTATGGGACTAACACATGAACTTTACCGAACACTGTTTTCTCCAGGGGCGGAACTACGTTAGGGCTGGGGGAGTCTCGAGCCCCTCCGGTGGCCGGAAAATCCACAGGGATACCGCCGGAAATTATTTTCGGTGGTTTCCTCTTTTACTCCAAGCCCCCCCAGTGTTAGTGTGAGAGAAGGCTTTCTGATGGAGACATCTAGGCGGCAAAGGCTAGAATTATTCCAAATTAAGGTTTGTCGGCGACGGCGGGTTGCAGAAACACATCGAAGGAGAAGAACTTTTTATCAAAAACTTTGAAAATTCTCTTCAAACACATCGGGCTAGAATTATTCCAAATGCTCTTTTCCCGGCGGAGAACTTGGGAAAAGATAAACCGTTGTGGCTCTTCAATAGGTCCGGTAAGTTCTCTTTGAAATCGGCATATTCTTTGGCACTTGACGATTTTATTTTGCAGGCAGATAAAGATTGGAAGAGGGTGTGGTGCTGGAAAGGGCCTCAGAGAATCAGGTCGTTCCTGTGGCTAATGCTCCATGATAGATTGGCAACTAATAAATTGTGTAAGGAAAGAGGAGCTACCATAGCTGATGTTTGCCTGTTATGCAACGCGGAGGTGGAATCAACAATCCATGCGGTGAGGGACTGCCAACTCGCACGGCAAGTGTGGCTGCAGGTAGTACCTGGATCTCGGAGTCAGAGTTTCTTCCATCAGGATATCAAGCAGTGGATTAAGAACAACCTAGATGCAGATGATTTCAAATGGGGGATTAGTTTTGCCATTACATGCTGGTTAATTTGGGGTTAGAGAAATGACTCTGTGTTCAATGGAGCTACCCTGTCTGTACAAAAAGCAATCAGAATTGCAGCAAAAAAAACAGCAGAGATCAGGAACTGCAATGACATGCTTAAATGGCAACAAAGAGGGATTACACCCCAGGGATGGAGAACCCCGGAAAGTAGAAGGATAAAGGCGAACTGTGATCGGGCTCTCTGTCTATCTTCTGGCAAAGTTGCTGCAGGAGTTATTTTTAGGGATGCTCGTGGTCAGTTTTTATATGCCTGCACCAAGAGAATAAGGGGTACATGCTCGATCGAATCGGCAAAAATAAAAGCGATTCGACTTGCCATGGAAGTGGCTAGCAACCGAGGAATCACCAACGTAGTCGTAGAAACTGACTCTCAGGTGGCTTTTGATCTTATTAGTAGATTGAAAGGCCAAACACAGATTCCTCTGGATCCGAAATTAAGGCGTTTATACGACCTTCTACTAGCTAGTCCGGATACCGATTTGGGCACACATGCAGAGATAACAACATGTGTGCGGATGCCTTAGCAAAAAAGGCACTAGATGTAGATCCGGGGGGTATATTTTTTTTATGTTTCCCCGCATTGTATTAGGTTTTTGCTGGAAAAGGATGCTAGGATTCTACCTGGCATTGTATGATTAGTCTATCTTAGCTTCCAAGTTAAGTCTTTTTACCAAAAAAAAAAAACTTTGAAAATTACATATTTAGTCCTTATACGTGATAAATGCGACATTACTAACCAAGAAAGTTAAAAATCTTCCCTTTGGAATATAAATATGACATTAGTACCCCAGCCAATTAAAAATCTTCCCTTTGGCTTTTTCCAAGTAGTTTCTCCCACTCTTGATTTTCAAAAATAGGAATAAAAATCTCAAGGTTTTATTTATTGTTATTATGTTTTTTTTATTTGTATATTAAGCCATATTAGTCAATCTCGAGCATTTTTTTTTTTTTTTGTGTACAAATTTTAAGGAATATATGGGAAAATTTTATCAAATCCTAAGACTACCAATAATTTATGTAACTTTCACATTGACCTTATCCTTAATGTTCTCCTATTATGTCATTACTTTCTTATCTTTTATTTATAGTTTTAGATAAGAACAGTTAATGTTTTTCTTCATTCTTTGTACTTCAGCTAATGTTAGTGCAATCCAAATTAAAATGTCCGTATTATAAAACATAAATTTTTATTAATACTAATTGAAATTGTATTTAGCTTCCCTGCATATCCAAATTTATAACTTTTTAATTTCAAAGTATGAACTCTATGCCGATAAATATGAAAATAAATATGATAACATAAATATTTATTTTTTTAAAATATTATTTCAAATAAACTTAAATAAATTATAAAATTTTCTCTCTAAAGTCCACAGACTGCGAACCCCCCAATTGTCATGAGGCTGGTTCCGCCACTGGTTTTCTCCCACTTCATTAGAAGTCATAATCCATATTAATACAGGCGAACTATGTAAGTGTAACGAAAAGAGTAACACACATTTATAAATCAGCTCAGCTGCTCAAGCATACGAAAGCACATTAATTAAGTTAATCGATAATTGAGAAATGAATAGTGCAAAGCCTTATTCTATAGTAGCTAATTTAATTAACTGCTACCTAGCCAAAGTAGTAGAGGTATCTGAGAAATTGCAATCATAAGCAAGAGGTAATTTCTCTTGTTGTTAGATATGGAGTAGTCCACGCCGCTCCTGAGTTCCGAAACCAAGATCCTTTTCATGGTCTTGACCAAGAAGACTCCCATGCACAAACTCTCCCACAAAATGGCTGCCCACAAAAGATGATCACAAAGAAGGATTCGGGCAGTCATAATTAGTGATGCTGCTATGAATGTGTATCCACCGTATGCAACCAAGTCCAGCAATGGAACTTCTCCGCCGACTCCGATTCCGGCACCGCCTCCAAGAGTGTGCAATGTAGCTCCGAGAAGTAGGATTTGCAACAACCAACAGAGTATTGCTGTTGATAATTGCACTCCTAGAGCTTCTGGACTAAACCTGATCGATCACACATGTACGATTGATTAAAACAGGAATGCTTTACTATGGATATTGTTCTTGTGAAATTTACTTATAATCACTGTCTGTATAAACACGCAAACTTTGTAGTACAATCAGTTTAAGTCAGTCATGTAATAATTTTTAGGTCCAATGGGAGACTTTTTGTTTATTATATACTCCCTCCGTCCCATAATTATTGTCCAATTTAGATTTTCATTTCTAATTCAAATTACATTAAAATCAAAATCTCAAATTAGACAATAATTTTAGGACAGAGAGAGTAACATTTTAGTACAATAATCAGGATATACAATCATTTTGAGATAAAAACAAATATAATTATATTCGTATTGATTAACTTCATGAGAAAAGTGGAGCACGTATTTTCAGTGTAAACCAAAATTCTAAAGAGAAAAAGGAAAAGGATATAGCAAGGAAACAAGCTCTGAGGGAAAATGAACTTACTTTCCTTGGGTCCCCAAAAAGAAGCCAGAAAGAACAACGTAAGTACCAAATGCCATCAAGGGTATGTATAAATCAGGCGCATTAATATCATAAATGGCTGGTTTGTAAGTAAAATCACGTCCCACCACTTCCCTTGCTCTTATCCAATGCCCCTATACATCATATTTAATCACGAATTCATGAAGCGGAACACAAAAAGTAATACAGATGATTTTTTTGACTAAATAAATAGTATACGAATGTATGCCATATATACCTTGTGAAGAAATGGAAAGAGAATCATCTTGACTTTATTCTTGACGTACTCGTCATTGACTTGGAAGTAATATTGGGTGTTGAAAATGCAACTCCTGCTTTGTAGAAAAGCTGAGCTTGATTCCAGAAATTTCTCGCCATAAGCACTTAGCTCATGTCTCACGACATTGCTTCCGGCTTCAATGAACAAGTTCACGTTATTTGGATGATGATGATGGATTTGTGTTTGTTGTAGGGGTGAATTATCCGCGGCGGCGAAAAGGGTGGTAATTGTACCACTGCCGCCACTAGCTCCTCCTGATTGCTGGTGGTACATCGCCGGCCGGCCGGCGGGATAAATATATTTGAGCACTTCTTTTTTCAGGCTTTGGGAGACAATAGTCTAGAATTAGTTTACTATTACGGGTATACAAATTTAACCCCAATGTCGGCTTCGACGGCTCCTTTGTTTTCATTCGGAGATAAGATGGTTTATACCGTTTCGAATTTCAAGGTGCTACTGCTAGCCCGCGTTTCGAAATCGATGCTTTCATTTATTTTTCTAAATATATTATATTATAAATTATTTTTAGAGAATACTCCATCACATATTTAGTGAGAAGGTTTAATGAATACATGTTCTTTCCGTCTTAAAATAATTATTGTATTTGAAATTATACGTCTCGTACACATTATGCTAAAAATAAAATTTGAAACAATCAATTCAAAGTGCACAATCAAAACAACAAATCTCGATTCCACGTCTTGGAGATTTCTTCCCAATGGAAAGGCACTGATTAATTAGTGGTTACAGCTTGGTGAGAAATCCAGGATCCCAACTTTCCTTTTACTTGTTTCACTCATGCAAGATAAGTGTATGAAACGGTTAAAGTGGACAGAATCCGCTACTTGTTATGTGCATGAGACGTTTTTTGCTGAACAGAATCCTCCTCCTTGTTCTTGATGATTGTGGACTATATGTGGAGTATTCTACTATGAGGAGAATATAATCTCACTGAGGCTTTGATCTCCTACGCCTAAATTGTTAGGCATTTGAATTTGACCATTACTTGTTAAAACTTGTTATCAAATTTAAATTTCAATAAATATTACGTACACGACTGTGAAACCTTGATCGCTTTTTGGTTAACAAAATACCATTTTGGAATTTTTTTTTTCTCCAGTATTCAAATTTTTAGCTATTTTAACTAAAACATTTGGTTCTTAGTCACGGGTGTAAAACAAAAGAAAGAAATAAAAAAACAAATGCCCATTAATTATTTTGGTACAAAGAAGGAGGTAACGTACTAGACCACATCCGAAGGTTTCCTCTAATTTCTGTATAACTGCTGGACTTTGAGGCTACTAAAGAAGTCAAGCAACATCGTCGCAGAAGAATTTCGACAGGCATGTACGCTAGACCAATACTGACAGTGAATAACTCGCACTTCAATAGGAGCATACTTTTTTCGGACAATCTACATCCCCCGCGTCACACTTGATAAAATGATCATGAATTTCCTCCTTCGGTCTCGAAGATGATTTGTTTGTACTCTCTCCGTTCCAAAATTATTGTCCTGTTTGGTTTTGTATTTTTAGTTCAATTTATACCAAAACTGAAAATCAAAACTAAACAATAATTTTGGGACGAATAGAGCATATAGTTTACATTTGATTAAATTTCAAATGAGGCACATTCATTGAATCCTCACAAATGCTGTTTTCCTCGTGGTTTCAATCGTAACCTCTATACCTAATGTATTTCCCAAAAAAGTTTAAAAAATCTAGTTCAACCAATGTTAGAACATGAATGATGCAAAACCCTAAATTGCATGGAATGAAAATGAATGATTCAACGACTCTCTTTGTGTGGTCTAAGCCACTTTTGAGTTCTGAAACCAAAACCCTTCTCTTTGGTCTTTGTACTAAATAGACTCCCGTATACATAGTAGCTGGTTCCCAGACACACGCTCTCCCACAAAAAGGCTGCCCACCACAAAGAAGGATCCTCGATCGCTTGCTAGAATAATTTATTGATGCATCAATATGAATGTGTATCCACTATATAGACAACCAAGTCCGGCAACGGAACACTCTCAACCGAATCCGACTCTGGCACCGACGTGGTGCATGCCTCCTCTCCCGGAATGTGCAATGTAGCTCTGAGCGTACGGAGTATTCCCTCCGTCTCATATTGTCCAGTTTAGGTTTCATTTTCAGTTCAAATTGTACTAAAAGTAAAATCTCAAACTGGACAATAATTTTAAGACATAGGGAATAGAATTTGCAGCACTGAGCAGAATATTGGTGACTTCTTGTTGTCGTAGATTGCTTCTCCTCTAGAAAAAATTAATAATTAATGGATTTTTACTTTTTGTTCAAATTGTCCTAAAACTTTGGACGTAATTTATTGATAAGAGAATTAAAACTTTGGATGTAATTTATTGATAAGATCTTTTTTTAAAAAAGATGATAATTCCGTTGCCGGGGTTCGAACCCGGATTATTTGGATGGCAAGAGAAACTTACCAACTGGCTGTTCTCTCAATTTCAATAATTTGCCAGTGCTACAACGGATGCTTTTTGTTAATTCTGATCGATTTTTATTTACTTATTAAAAACTTCAGTAAAGAAAATAAAATGCCGGCTAATTTTCCTGCTATTATTATTATCCTTATTAATTTTTGGGAGTTCTGAATCGAAGTATTAATAGAAAGCACAAGAGAGTATAAATTTATAAAAAGAAATTCGAACCTTAACCGAAGAAATAATTAACATTAATTCTTTTTTAATTAATAAAATATTTTTATGTTGTAGTAGTATCCCCTGTGTACCCAAGAAATACGTCAATCTGTTACATTAAACTAGGTTATTTTTGGGGTTGGAAGGAGTATAATTTTACTTTTTGAGCAAATTGTCATTGAATCCTATTTTTATGGGATCAAAAGTTATTAATGTAAATGATATATATGTTTAAAATGAAATTAGTTGTTATAATTTTGTTCATTAATTAGCTATAGGAGATTTAATTTCACTTTATAAAGAAAATGAAGCTGGGGCAATCGGGAGGGAATGATTAAGGTTTTAAGATGAAAACTCGATGGTACCGTAAATTCGATAATCTGATTTTTGGTTAATTAAAATAATTTTTTTTCTAAGAAAAGAAGTGAAGTTATGTTTTGTATTGTTGGGGTTGCATATTTTTCGTGCTTCCGTGGATGCACTTGGAGTCGGTGCATGCCATCAATTAAGCTTTTCATTCCTTTCGCCTGAGAGAAATAATTCACTTTTTTTTTATATACATACAAAGGAAGCCGTTGGCTTATGATTACAAGACATCTTTATGGTCGTGAATGATTCTAATTTATTTACTAATAGACATTTTCTAATTTCAGACGGCGGTATAAATAGAATATGGAATCCATCCGGGCAGGAGAAGTCAAACTTAGCTAAAGCATTTGCGACTTTGTTTTGATTCGGTCGAGTATGTATAATTATAACCTGCCAATTAAGATTGGGAAGTTCTCTAATTCTATAAAAAAAAAAGAATTGGTATTGAGAAATAATTCACTTTGTCTTCTTGTTGCTTGGAGTAATTTTTCGGAGACGAAAGAATATAATAAATATGCATTAGACTTGTGTATTGGGCTCGTACATGATACCTATGTTTTCAAAACCGGACCGGAAGGTGAACCGTTAACGTGACCGAGTTGGTGGGTTTATCGGGTTAACCGATTAGTTCGTTCCTCGAAATCAGTAAAAATCGGTTGAAATAATATTTAAAAAATATTTAAAAATTAATTTTTTAAGAAATATATGCAAAAAATTAATTCAACCGGTACCAGTTTCTGGTCAAACCGCGATTTTGCCCGGATTTAATCGAGTTTGACCGGGTTATATAGAATCTGGTTTATTATGGAAACTGGACCGGTGAGGCTTCCGGTTCCCGGGCTAACCGGTTAAACCGCCTGGGCCGGTCCAGTTTTGAAAACACAGCATGATACAACCATACGTCTCTTTGGGCTTGGTCAACAACAACTGTACCTAAAAAAAACACATTATCACTATTGAAATTCACTTGGTTTTATACCTTGTAATTAATTTCTGCAAGTCAGATAAGAAGTTTCCTTGAAATGCAAATTGATATTTGATGATCATATGTTAATTTCCACTAAAAGAGGGGATTGGACACTCTGGACAGCAATTGGAGATGAGGGCTTCCTCGTAACTTTCAAAGAATATACACTACTGCTACCCGAATCATATAAACAATATAAGTATTTATATAGATAGATGTTTAATTCGAAATTTGATCAAATCGTGCCGACAGGATATCAATCAGAATTGGGTTGTACCGATCCCATCTGATTAATTTATTTAGTGTTCATACACACGAATGAAGTTTGATGGGAAGTGTTATCAGCATTCTAAGTTGAAGCACATGGGATATATTCATGACTCCTTAGTAATCAAAATGAACGTAATATATGTCATGTCCAAACTCAAGACCTTCAAGGCTTCAAACAAACAAGTCTTGTTTGTAGGAATTGGTTGGCTTACCAACTGGGTCTCACGAGGATTTAATGCACCACCGGATCTCAACATCAGATTAAGTAAAGAAAGTTTTAGTAACAAGTACTTTTTCTCCGGGAATGAGGCAATTTGATTTTTTGTAAGTTAATTGAAATAAAATTTAAAAATTACATTGTCACATTTACTGTTTTTTCCTAATTATTATAAGCATTTTTAAAGTTTCAGACTTTCAGTTTCAGTTGAAAAATACGATAAATAAAATTTAAAAGAAATCAAAATGTCTTATAATTAGGATCGGAGGGAGTACATTGTTATTTAAATGAGAATTCTGTTTGTTTAACTATTACAATAAAATAGATAACATTTTATTTTAGGACAAAATAAGTACTCTTATTTGTACTTAAGAAAGAACGCCATTCCATATTGTCAGTTCATGGAGACACAACGGACGACCAACCAGGAATTCTATTGGTCCTGAAAAATTCCAAACACATCAACTTCAAATGAGGAGCATCGATATTGTAAGGGTTCCCCCCTCTTCTTTTTTTTTTTTTTTTTTTTTTTGATGGCATGTGATATGATTATAGTTGTTGATTGTAAGGTTGGGAGGTTTGAGATTATAGCCACGAGATTTCGCATTCAAGAATTAAAAATTTAATTGATTGGATTTTATAATGAAAACTTAATAAATTTATTCGATTACTCAATACGATTTCGCTTTATTGAACTTAAATCAAAACAATACAAAAAAAAGCATACTCATCTCATTTATTGGACTATCTTGTGTTTGTTTGTTCTGTTTTTTGGATGGTTTTTTCATAATAATAAAATATTAACTTTCTCATCCCAACGTACTTTTTTACATTTCCAATAGAAAAAATACCTAAAAATACATATTTAAAAAATGAAACAAACACACACTAATTTTTCCCCATTCACTAATCATGTATCGTATAATACAATACTATTCTTTTTGTCTTAAAAAAAAAGTCAATATTAAATTAGTATCGATCTTGAAACTCAATGTTGACTAGTTTGTTTAGACAGAGATAGTGGTATATATTGGAGTTAGTTGGCTCCTATTAATGTTCAAGTGTTTGTTCAGTTTCCTTTCTTGAACCAGCTCATCTCTCTCTCTCAAAATAGTGAGTGTGAGAGAGGAAGATGATGAAGGAAAAAAAAAAGGTCCACAAGTCTGAGCTGTCTGCAAAGGAAGTAATGTGGCTTCATTTAAGGTTTGAATGAACCCCTCCCTCTCTTTCCCTATTAGCCCATCTCCATAATCTGCTTCCATCATCATCAACCATTCACCATTCACCATTTTACCTGTCTTTATATTGAACTTTATACATCCATATGAAATTACTACCATAAATATTATCTTCTCCCTCTATATATATTCATCTACAGAGTCTAGAAGAGAAAGAGAGAAAGAAAGAAAGAGAGAGACACAAATTAAAAAGGTCCCTTTTGATTTTGAAGGCTGCAGCTAACTGTAATGGCAGCCCAAAGGAGCAGTAGTGGTAGCATTACTCCATTAATGCTCCATTTATGCTGCTGCTTCTTCCTCCTACTCATAGTTTCACCATTTTCAACTATCCTGGCTCTGACACAGCAACAAGAGCTGGATCGGATTATATCACTTCCCGGCCAACCAAAGGTCTCGTTTGCTCAATTTTCTGGCTACGTTACGGTCAACGAGAAGAATGGCAGAGCTCTTTTTTACTGGTTGACAGAAGCCATTACCAGCCCTGAGAAGAAGCCTCTTGTTCTTTGGCTCAATGGAGGTAAGTCAAAACCTCGTACATAAATTTTCACTTACAAAAAATGTTAGTTACTATTTACTCCTTTTGTTCCAGAAAAATAGTTCATTTAGTTTGTCCGTTTAGGTACAACATGCCATTTATGCTTGCTTTGATTAGTGAAATTGGAAATTTAGCTCATTTATTTACTTTGACTGGCATTTTCATAGCTCATATAGGCAACCCTTTTAAAAGCATTGGATTTTCAGAAGAAGTATAAAAAGGATTAATGCAATTCTGTGCACTTAAAAAAAATTATTGAAAATCGTGAAAGCTTTGTTGCAAAATACTACTAGTAATAGATGGATATAGATATAGATTGCTTATCGGTGAAGATTCGATGAATTTAATTCCATGTCTGGTGGCGTCGAATTTGGATTCTGTGTTAATTAAACAGTACTCACATGCATGCACATTAAGAAAAACTTCATGTATGGTAATTAAGTACTCACTTCGTGTGAATGATTTCATGGAGCTTTTGATGTTTATCGAAATTAACCATCATTTCTATTTTGTTTTGTGCTTTGGTCTTTGCATAATATCATTTGGTATGATCTGTGATAAATTATGAACTATAATTCTCTCCCCATCTTAAACACAAAAATCCAAATACTACAATCATTTCCGGACAAAAATAATATTCCCTCTGTCTCAAAATCATTGTTCAGTTTGAGATTTCACTTTTAATATAATTTTAATTAAAAATAAAAACTCAAACTGGACAATAATTATGAGACGGAGACGGAGGGAATATATGATCTTTATGTGTAATTTGATCATCGTTCTTGGGTGGAATGGAGTAAATTTTTTCTCTAACCACTAGCGCGCCCCACTACTTTGCGGAAATCTCAGTCCAGTGCACGCTTAGAAAACTACTACACTATTCCCAGCTAAGCCCCAAACAAGAAAAAAACACAAGGAACAAATTTTCAATGTGAAGCCAAAATTTCTGAGCCAATATACTCCAACCAAAATGTCACTAAATTCTAAAACTGTAAGAGCCTTTTTTTCTGGGTGCTCGTGATAACTGTATGTCTCCTTCCTTTTTAAGGGAATTATTCCTTCTATTCCTGCAACTTATTATTTGTTTGAATTCGATTTATCAGAACAGCTTTTTTCTTTTCTGGTTGGGGAGGGGGTCCTGATGAACTTTGATGCTTTTTTGTTGGGATCATACTCAAATGAGAAAACTCCAAAAAAGTGAAAAACTAGCTACCACCAACAGAAACGTTCGGGGGAAAAAAAAAGTGGAACAACTTTTCACAGTTGATGTTCCATTGCTTTCAATGCTGCTAGCCACCAAAAACTCTCCCATCTCTCTTCTACCCTTTTCATATAGGGTCACTGTGTCCATAATTAAGAGCCTTAAAGTTAGTCCAACCATTTCACACGCCCACACACACACACACACACACACACACACACTCACGTTCGCGAGATTAATAGACCGTGAAATATCATAAACGGATACATAACACAACGTAAATTTGAGGATATTAATAATCTTCCAACGTGCTCAAGAAACCATTTAAGATTAAAAAACCCGTTTATGGACTTTCTAAGCCATGCATGCGTGCTCAGAAACTTACACAGGGAAAAGGAGAAAGATTGTGATGATGAAGGTCAGGATGTGCTGTCTGATAAATTCTGGACACAAAGATGATTGCAAAACACGGGTTTGATTAATTGATGTCTTTTGAGTTTATAGTACATTGTGAAATTGACTTTAGGGTAAATGGATAAAAAAAAAAAAGTAAGCATTCCTAGTACAAGTAAAAATAGAAATAACAACTTGTATCTGTCACTGTCGTGTGTGTTTTAATAATTTTGATTTTTCAAGAGCTGAAGTCGACTGTTCAGAAATGAAAATTAAAAAAAAAAAAGTAGAAAATGAAGAAAATTAATGATTCTATGCACTGGGGTAGGTGTTTTACTTGAATGTGCTGCTTCCTCAAAGGATGCATACATGTTATGGCCTCATGTGTTTCATTTCCTAGCCAAAGAACAACCCATTTTAATGTAACAAAACTTTGTACACTAAAATTTATTTTCTCTGTTGCAAAATAATTATCTATTTTTTTAATTATTTTTATTAATACGATAAATAGACAATCATTTTAAGGACGCAAGAGAGCAGTTGTTGCCTCGGTATAAAAGTCCTTCAACTATATTAGTCTTGGATTAAGTAGCTAGTTATATATGTTAGGTGGAGGATTGTTGCGGAAATGATCGATAGAACATATTCACCTGGTAAGACAGATTAAAAAGGTCAAAATGAGTTAGTAATCACCTAATTTCACCCCCAATAGTGCTTGTGTTAACTAGAATATATTCGGTATTTCATCCGTTATTGCAAGGCTATGTAATCAAGTCAACCAGGGTGACCTTGGAAAACCACAACATTAAAGAATTAAAATAATTGTAAAGGGAATCCGATGAAGAAAAGAGTCAAATACTACTCCTGCAGTGCAGCTATATCTATAGACTCTGGAACTTGGTTATGACTTGGTTACCGAACTCTCAAACATAAGTACTCCCTCCGTCCCATAATTATTGTCCAGTTAGAATTTTCATTTTTAGTTCAAATTGTACTAAAAGTGAATTCTTCTAATTTATTCATTTGTTTATACTCAACAGCCTCCCCACGTTCACGAAGTTTTTGGAAAATTACTTATTTGGCACACGAAATCATTGTCCTTAATTTTTCGTTATTTTTGACTGTGTCTGTAAGCAAACAATACGTGTTAATAAAAAGAATTTAATTCTTTAATGTATTTTTGCGATGATGATTTATGGGAAATCAAATTGCAGGACCAGGGTGTTCATCTGTGGCTTATGGGGCCTCTGAGGAAATCGGACCATTTCGAATCAATAAGACATCTTCATCACTCTTCCTTAACAAATACTCTTGGAATACAGGTTAGTTAATTAATAATCCATCAATAATTATTTTTTCTTTTTTTTTTTGAATTGCAAAAATAATAATAACCTAACTTGATCATTTCATGGATAAATTTTCAGAGGCAAATCTTCTGTTTCTGGAGTCTCCAGTTGGTGTTGGTTTCTCTTACACAAATACAAGTTCTGACCTCAAGAACTTCGGTGACAAAAGGACAGGTATGGAATATTTGACCTCCTAGATTGTAATTTTAGAACATAAGAAACAGTACTATTTCATTGTAGAATGAATAAATTGACGTCACTGAATTCGAGTTTGTATCAAATCATGTGTCTCAGCTCAGGATGCTCTAATTTTCCTAGTTAGATGGTTCTCGAGATTCCCTCAATACAAAAATAGACCTCTCTACATTACAGGGGAAAGCTACGCAGGTATGTTATGTGTAGTTATAATTTCCTGTACATTCTTTTTTACTCTTTTGATTGCTTTATTAAAGAAAAATTTGACATTCGGCGAAATTTAAATATTGAAAGAGACGGGAATTTAAATAGATGTCTGACTTTTTTTTTTAAAAAAAAAAAAAGAAGAAAATTTGACACTCTTTTCTATATGTGCTCATCAATTACATCAGGGCATTATGTACCCCAGTTGGCCTTGAAAATCCTGGACTACAACAAACAGTTTCCCAAATCAGCCATCAATCTTAAAGGGACTATGGTAATTTTAATTATCAATTGAATTATAGTGTTATCGTCATGACAGAGATCATCTCACGGAGCTAATTTTTGTACTGACAATAACAGCGAGACCTAATTTCGATTCCTCGTTTCATTTGATATGAATGCATGGTCTAAACTACCTGACCTCATTTTCAGGTTGGAAATGGTGTAATGGACAACAAATATGATAGCTTAGGAACAGTTTCATATTGGTGGACACATTCCATCATATCAGATAGCACATACACATCAATCATGAAATCGTGCAATTTCTCGTCGGACAATTCATCGCAAAAGTGTGATGATGCAGTAAATTATGCGCTGAATCATGAATTTGGCGATATTGATCAGTACAGTATTTATACCCCAACTTGTAGTTCAGGAACACCAGCAGCAAACAAGCACATGAGGCTGAAGAACAGTCTTTTGCGTCGAAGGGCATCTGGATATGATCCCTGCACTGAGAATTATGCTGAAAAGTACTATAATCGACCAGATGTTCAGAAAGCCCTTCATGCAAATACTACTGGGATTCCATACAAATGGACTGCTTGCAGGTACTACTAATTAAACCAAGAATGCCTAATCATTAATTTAGATGAACATGTTTATGAAAATTCGCTCGATACTCAATTCTTTTCTGTTTCTGGTCTGTTTAGTGATGTGCTTATAAAGAACTGGAAGGACGCTGATTTTTCAATGCTGCCAACATACAAGAAGTTGATCGCAGCCGGTCTAAGAATTTGGATCTTCAGGTACAACCATCCAACCTTTTTTTAGAAAGAAAAATGAATTGGCCCAGCAAGAATCGAACCTCGATCGACCTCCTGATAATAACCATCTATATTCTAATCTCCTGGCACGACCATCGAAGTTAATTGAACTCAAGACTTTTTCAATGTAAAAGACCAAAGCAAAAACTAAAGCACTAATAAGTTTAATAAGCATACTAGTAATTTTGCAAATACATATTTTAGACTTTAGTTGGAAGTTTTCTTGAAAACTTAACCTCAGAGATTTGCATCCTGTTTTCCGACGACATTGCAGTGGGGATACAGATTCAGTAGTACCAGTCACCGCCACAAGGTTTTCACTGAGCCATATGGACCTGAAAGTGAAGACAAAATGGTATCCATGGTACCTTGGTGGACAGGTTGGAGGCTGGACAGAGGTTTATGAAGGATTAACCTTTGCAACCGTAAGAGGGGCCGGACATGAAGTCCCTTTGATTCAACCAGAGAGAGGTTTGGCTCTGTTTCAATCATTCTTGGCAGGCAAAAAATTACCAAATTCTTAACCCCTTTTAATATATCATGCAACCAACACAGAGCTAGAATTCAATGTCTTTTAGGGGTATGATCAAGCAAGCAAATACTATATATTGTCCCAAAAGTATGTTCCCTAGATTCAAATAGAATAGAAGAATATGATTCATTTTAAGGCCTATTCATGAATAGCCAAAATTGTAGCAGAGGAAAGGAATATCTTTGGAAGAAAGAAAACAAAGTTGATTTAACAGCCTCGTCAAATTTAATTGTAAATTGAAAATGGAATATGAGCTGTTGTATGAACATTTTAGATTATAATAATAATAATAGTAGCTTATTTGATGTTTATCTCGATGCGTTTATCAATAGACCGGTTCACAAAAATCATTTACCCAACACTGTGAAAACACAAACATAAATGAGAGATGCAAAAGGACTTACTTGTTCATCCACAAAAAGTTTATAAAAATCTTCATCTAATCACCTTGCGAGCACTTCTAGTTAGACCATAAAAACAGAGAGAAAAAAGAGGCCATCATTACATAACAGATTTCTAGCACATTTCTAGCATTAAGAACAAGAATGCTCCATCCGTTTTTTTAGGCGGCACCTATTAGTACTTTATAGGTACCTAGGTTATTACTGCGGGGTAGAACCTAATATGAAGAGGACAGTACTACTAGGGGGAGACTCTACTCACGTGCGCTTCTTGTTCGGACTACAATGGCAGGCCTTCTGCCCGCTTAAACTGGCTGCTGGTGAGCTACATGCATCCTCCTTCAACTTCTTGCTTCCTGCATCCGCGGTAAGAAACGAACCTTCAACCTCGCAGTTAAAGGTAACCAGCAGGGCACGACTCGATTCCTCTTCATCCCCTCTTACATGTTCTAATTGGGATGTATAACATCTGGAAATTCTAATCTATTCATCAATATAATAATAGCAATAAGACTGCAAAAGATGTGATTCTTTCAGAATAGTTCAAAACCCAAGAACAGCAATAGAAGAAACTTGCCTTTAACTGGTACCAAACTGAACAATGGAGCTCTGTTGTTAAATTTTAGACATGTAATCATGTTCCACAAAAAGAATCCCTTTCTCCCAGAAACGCAAACAAGGCCATTGGAAGTACCCAACAATGTTGCAATCACACGATCATCCACGAGCAAGAGGGAATTGCTTCGTATCAAGGTTAAAAACCATCATGTCAATCATACATCGAAAAATAACCCAGCGATGAGCATAGTCATCTTCTCTGGAAGACTTTGTGAGGTGGGGCTTTGATGAATTTTTGGCAATGAAATCAAAGTACGCCAGAAATGCATACGCACCCTGAATCAAACTAGGGCTTTAGCAGGGAGCCAGATGAATGTCTAAAAATTATGTCTTTGTTTAGGGTTTTTGGGGGATTCTTCCATGGAAGATCCCCGATTTCTTGCTTTGGATGCGAAGAGGAAGCAATTGATTTGTAGAATTTCCATATCGGCGCCGTGAAAGAAATGAAGATAAGTAAATATGATTTGTATTTGTGAAGTTGCAGAACAGTATCATTTGGCCAGACTTCGGGTGAATCATAAGGATGTTGTTTTGCGACCAGACATGGCCAGAGAGTCACAGGTTTGAAACTAGAATATGGATGTATACAGACATGTCTAGACGTTATGAAATATGGATTTCGTCAAACTGCCAAAACTAGAAGAGTTCAGTTCTTTGAATTCAAGAAAAAACCCATCTTCAACCCAAAATGAAATACACAAAAATAAAAACGAAAAAATAAAATAAAATAAAAAGCAAACAATACATTGGAGAAAATCCTGATCACATAATGTTTCCTATGCCAAAATTGGTCAATTCTTCTTTTTATACTAAAAGAAAAAAAGTTAAAATAAAAACCAAGATCAAGTGTATCTGCCTACAATTCCTCCACTCTATATTTTCTGGTCTTGGAATCCTGCTGCATTATTGCTTAAATCCCTCACCGAGACCTGGAGGCATTCCCAAACTCTGGGCAAGATCGCTCATCCTCTCCTTCATGGCCTTAAAAATTTATAGTGGAACAATACTTAGACAAAAGAGCAAGTCTGGGCTTTCAAGGCCCTTTTCTTCTATGTTTGAAAAACCATAAACATGTTCAAGTCAAGGGACATCATCTATTTTTTGGAATAAGATCCTTACCAAAACACTCTTCTGATGAGCATCTTTGTATGCCTCGGTGATCAAAAGGGAAAGTTTCTGCACAAAAAATAGTGTACAAATTGTCATTATGTTTCAGTCATTTCTCTCTAATGCCAAACTGTGCATATTAGGAAAGGATAACATATAGCCCACTCAACCATCTGAAGAGAAATCAGTGAATTGTCATTGAATGGGTACAACAGTTCAAATAAGATCAACCGCCTACGAATATAAATGTCTAACTTTAGATGCGATAAGGGAAATTCTTTTTTTTTTTTTCTACCTAGCCACTAGAGCATAAGTTATTAACCAGCCACCAGTGAAATAATCGAGTGTTCAGGACAATGGTGCAGATAATCAATCAGTTAACCATCAGAAAAAAACAATAGAAGCACATTAGAAACTAGACAGTTACAGCAGCATCTTCTTCAAAAAGTGACAACTAGAAGCACCAGGGAAGTAAAAGGGGAAATTCCAGCGGTCCAGCTGTCACTTAAAGGAAGCTAATGTGTCCCAGTCCCAACAAAAACTGTCACCAGAAGCTAAGTAAACAGAGAACTTAATGCAGGCGCATTTAATCTGAACAATGCCACTAGGACAGACAGAAGTCAAATACTTGCATGTAGTAGACAAGGTATACTGCAAATTAGTTAGGAATAACTTGGATTAATTGTGATCTGAAAGTGCCTAGTTCCAATCTAAGTACTGTAAAAGGTATAAGACTTAGTAGGGAGAGGAATTTTACAGAACTATTCAAGGTCTTAGTTCACACGAGGCAAACAAGCTGTGAAAAGTCATCTCATCGAGAAGAAGAACAAAAGTCGAACTTTTTCAAATTCAACTGAAGGTCAAACTTGTTTAGAAGATAATCTTCAACAGTAGAAAATAAGAGTTTCCAAAGGCGGGCGAAATAAAAGCCATGTATGACATTGCTATTGTGTTATAGTAAAAAGGCCAAAAACTAGAAACGATCCCAAAGAGCTTTCACCTGATATTACTGAGTTATGACTTAAGAGAAGATAATCTCATGTTCGGTCTGGATCTAAGGTGTTTACCCCTATCTTTTTGCCAAACTTTTCTATAGGTTTGAGCTAAGGAGCCAGATAAGATGCAGGAAACCGATATATGCTCTCCAAACTCCTAAAGGAGCTTCTTGGCTCGTAGCAAAAATGACACCATCTTGTTGGTCAAGGTAGCTTTTTAAGGAATATTTCTCTTTTTCTTACACACAGTACACAGGAAAAGCATATACAACCCGACCCTTATACGCGGATGGATGATGATCTGAAGCAAAGACTAAAATGCTTCCATTGTATTATTACTGCTGATTAAAGAACAAATAAGCAATTTTAGCATTGACATGAAGAGAAAAGCATTGGGAGTTGAATGAAAGTTCAGATTACATGAGCTTCTGCTTCAAGTTAACAAGGACCTATTAATATCTTGGATAGTTCATGCAACATATACCAGCAGCCATCTTTAACACCTATACTTGACCATGCCAACTTAGATACCATTTTCATATTAATACAGAAATACATGTATAGCCACAAAGGCTAGGAGCTTGCCACGTCTATTCAAAAGCCTATCAAGAAAAGTAGAGGCCAAAAGGATTCACAAACATCTGCAGTGAAAGGGCTGAGTATAATATGATACTTACTTCAGACCCCAAATCCATTGCAGCCTCTGTGATTTCAGTACGTACTGGTTGTTGGTTCCCTGATAAAGTCACCTGAAAGATAATTGAACTCCAAACTTTACCTAAATCCTCACAAACCAGTAAAATGTAAGCTAGAAATTCTCTAGCGCATGCTCATCCAGGCAACATACTGAAAACATGGAAGGAGGAAAAATTACACCAGAAAGTACAAGATCATACTATCATGTCAGTAGGATACTGTATGTGGCAAGGGCTTTAGGTAGCTTAGTCACGCAAAAACAAAAGTGCCACAAAAATCAAAAGATTACAGGCGAAACCGCAGAACTTTGTTTAATAAGATGTAGTAGGTGCAAACTAATTCTCTGGCATACTGTTTTACGTTCGAGTAAACCAAACACAAAAGGCTTCACTTCTCCATTTTTTTGTTTTACCGGTCTGAGGACCAAAAGAGATATGTTTTAGCAGTGTTAAATCATCAAATTAAAGGCTACGGCATTTCTAAGCTCACCACCTATCCTTAATATGACTTTCAGATATTGAGAAGACACTTTTGATTATAAACTAAGCCGCCTTTTTTTCGTTCCCTTTTAACAAATGTTAACAATGACAATGATATCTTAGGCACATGGATGTTGAGTTTAGAGAGGAATGAAACAAGAAAAGAAAGTGGTAGATCTATTATCACACACTACAACCTTTTTCATATTACTTTTCCACCCAATCCATCTCTCCCGTGCCTTCAGTAAGGTTAGGCTTGACAGTTGGACACCAACTAAAGTTCAGAACCAGAGATCCATGAATCAATTTTCATGAGATTAAACACAAACATAATTTTTCGCTCAACAGTTAAAAAAAAGAGAAATAGAAGAAAACGATTTCCTTGATGTGTCCCTTTTTGGGAGAGAAAGGAGAACAAGATGTTGAAGTTTACATAAAATCCGGAAAGAACTTAAAAAAGATCATAATATGTTTACAGATACTAGGACCTCATCCCATAATTTTCTATAAAGTTGAAGCTATGGGGTAACATACCTTGACGAGTTCACCTTCACAATAACCATCAAACTCTGCTCTGCAAAAAGAACACAACAGTAGCAAAAGTAAATAATAATGATAAAGTTGCAAACAAGCCATGAAATGTGGAGACATCCTGAAACTTACGCAGCAAGTTCTTTTTGGACGCGTACTGCTTCAACTTGAACAACCATTTGAGCCTTTTTCACAGTCTCATATAAATTTTGCATGTTTCCTAGAATTCCTGCCTAAGAGCAGATTGAGTTAAACTTTATCCTCAATGAGCTGGGGAATATTATCCAGAAATATATAGACAGTGAGAAGAGTGATGATATAGAAGATGTAAGAAGATAACAGAAGGTAATTTCATGCACATACCTTAGCGGGACCATCATCACCCGCCTCATTTTTATCCTTTTTCCCCCCTCCAAACAGACCACAAATTTGTAACTGTCTACGGGTATTTTTGTGACAGGTAGACCAAGATAAGTTTCGTGTGCCAAATCCACGTTTGCAGAGATCTGCAAATAATACAGAAACAAGACAACATTACAAAAAAACAATTGGTCAAGAACGGAACCTCAGCTGACAGTTACACCAACATCATTGATGAAGCAAATAACATTGAGCAGCATGAATCAAGAGAGTAAGAAATGCACAGACATCTAATCTCTTTAAGAGAAAGAAACATTATGTCTCAATGCCATTTAAAGTGTCCTTTTACAGTAGTACATCACAAAAGTAGCCAAGAGGAAATCCATGTGCATCTGCAGATAAAAAGCAGAGGTTTTCCTTCAACAATACTTGTTATCTTGTAAGGCATTATTGAACATAAGCATGGATAATCGCATATGGTTTTTGGATGATTTTTCTCTGTTCTGGCAAGATGTGACAGTTGAACTAACCCCTACACGAGATGTCATATAAGTTTGAAAGAAATAAAAGGAAAAAAAAAAAAGGAATTGAGATAAAGATTTCCCAATTATCAAAGATTTCACTTCACAACAACCTAATGAGTTGAGACAAAAGCAATTGTATGAAAGAAATATCAGTAAAAAGAGGCTACAACTAGCACTCTCTTGCAACGGGTACGGGTAAATCTAATTTCAGTCTTAGGTCCATAAATTTCTCATGATCACGTTGTCCCCAAAATGTGATGTTAAATTCAATTGAACATAAGTTAAATTGTAAACACACACACACACACAAACACAAAAAGAAAAAGGTCTTTTCTACAAATCAGCAATTCACATCTATAGCTGGTTTAGCTTCCACTGGCTGTAGCAAAATATAGATCAAGAATTTCAATTCACACCTATCCGTGCTCTAATTGACAACATATGACCTGGTGCTACATACCCCAAACCCAAGCAATGGAGTCACCAGAAATCCAAGTGAGTAAGCTCCATGAAAGAATAGCAGAGGTGCCATAGCCCCCTGCCACCCAAGAAAGTAGAAATTCCATTTGAAGTCTAAGGGATTTTCAAAGCTAAAAAAGGCATCCAAGCAACGGAAACAACCCACATCCATTGGTGCCAAGTCCAATTTCAGTCCAAACTGGATGGCGCCCATCTTAATTAGCAATTTGCTTACATGCAAAAGGGGTTCGAACCATTGCCACAGTAGAAATCCAAAGACAAGTTATCCAACAGCATCAACTTATCAGAATTTGGCATATAATCCTCTAGGCAGAGTTAAGCCCCAAAATCAAATGGCACACATTTAGATAATTACTTACTTCATCAATTTGTTTTACGTATATCTGAGCTCGTAAACATCAATTGTATCAGTATGATTGGTTGAACGGAACAATCTAGATTTGCAGCTCCCATTAAAATTCAACATTACATTTGTCAAATTCTCATTTCAAGACCGAAACTGTATAGCTAAAGTGAAACTGGGAAGAATCAAGTAATGAAATTAGACACCAATTTTTAAATTCTGTTTCCTTTATTTTCTCTAAAAAAGGACACTTCTGAATGAACCCATTTCTCAAAACGTACAAAATAACAAAAATCATCACAGATTGACAATCTATATGCAATAAACAAGGAACACAAGCATCAGCACAACAGATTACCGAAACCCACAAAACCCAAAATAGAGAAAGAAAGAGAGAATACAAGATGATGGCGGGGAGAGCTTCGGCTTAGTAGACTCGTGAAGATTGGGGTATGTGAGTTGAGCGGTGACAGCAGCCATTGACGCCATGTTTATTCAACCAGACACACAGTTGGACTTCGGTGTTTGTTCGGTGGGCGAAGAGGATAATAGAGTAATAGACTGGACTCTTTTTTTTAAAACCTCAGCAAAAGTCTGCAAATTTATTTTGTTATTTTGGGAGAGAAATATCTTCACTTTTTTTTTTCTTTCTTTTATTTTTTCCCTCTTAGCAAATCCTATAATGATGAAAATACCCCCATTACCTTTTTATTTTTCTTTGGGAATTTATTTACTTTCCACTACTACTACTAGTAGCTCCATGTTCAATTTTGTTTTACGTTCTTAATCCTCTAAAAAAAAATACATATTGAATTTTAAAATTTTTATTATTTTAAAATTTGTATTGTCTTCTTAATATAAATATCAAAATTTAATACAAATAATTTTTCTGAGACAGAAAGAGTATTATTTTACTTGCCTCGCTAACAAAATAATGTTCTTGTTTTCTTTTCTTTTTTTCTTTCTTTTTTTTTTTTTTTGATACTAAAATGTTTCATTCTGTGTTCGGGAGCAAAACTTGAGAATGGATTGCCCATAAGTTTGTGGACCTTTTGGCATCAGTTGTTTCAGTTGAGGAGGAGGAGGAGGAGGAGGAAATGGAAACCTATGATGATATATTGATGCCGAAAGCAGCAGTCTTGGTCCTGTAGATCTCATCCTTGTTCCTCCAGAGGTTTGTTTTCCTTTGCGTAAATTTGGGCTACTTGTCATATGCAACAAAATACTAATTGCATTGTCTTAATGGATCCTGTTACTTTGGAAACTGCTTTTTTGGATCCTGAATTAGAGCACCTTTCAGAACTCTGTATTCTAGTGAGCAGCTCGTGGAGAATGTGGTGCAGAAGATTGAATCTACTTCTAAAATAGTTACCCTGGAAGAAAGGGAAAGTAAAAGGTTCAATAGAAAATGAATGAGCAATGTTTTTCGCTTGTAAACGTAGGTACTCCTTTTGTCTCAAAATTATTGTTCAGTTTGATATTTCGCTTTTAATACAATTTGAACTAAAACTGAAAACTCAATCTGGACAATAATTATGGGACGTAAGGAGTATTATTCTTTCCACTCGATAACAAATTCCATTTGGAGCAAGATTAAAAAAAAAAAATGTGTTCTAAACTCTTTTCTTGTACTACTACTATTCATAAATGATGTGATTTATTTGATTATCATTCCTTCTTTCTTTCATCTTACTTCTTGATGACTTTACTCCTTTTGGTCATTTGTAGTCTCATATATTTTTACTTTTCGGCTTTTAATATGATTCTTTTTTTTTAAATCATCGAAACTTTTGGAAGTCAACCACCAAGAATCTGTGTAACATGAACGATTTTTCTTTGTTTCTTTTTTTCTTTTAAGAAAAATGTCTGAGAAAATAGTGGGAGGTCTTGCAAGTTGGTGTAGTTTGTTGCATCCCATGCGTGAATCACATAAAATACCATTGTCAAAACTTGCATGACTCATGTGAAATTGTTGGGAATACGGTTTGGTGTATAATGTATTCTATGGAGTACATTGGTTTCCAAAACTTCCGTCCCAACTGATTCAAATTCAGAGCTAGATAAATTTTTTATTTTATTTTTGTTTTTTGACAAATAAAACTCTGTCAATAAGTGGTATTATGAATAATGAAAGTAAATTTATCCTAGAATAATGAAATTCTTTTAACAAGTACTTCCTCTGTCCCAAAATTATTGTCCAATTTGAGATTTCACTTTTAGTACAATTTGAACTATAAATGAAAATCCAAACTGAACAATAATTTTGGGACGGAGGGAGTATATTAGATAATGCAATTAATGATCCAACTGTTTGTCAACTTTTTTTTTTTTTTTTTGTGTGTGTTGTCAAGAGCTCAGCTAAACATACTAATACCACATCCAGCGCTTGTTAGCTTAAAATCATTTTGTGATTAAGAGACTTTTTTTTTTTTTCATCCCATTAGGCTTACTTGAATCATGTTCTAATGTATTATATTCAGTGTTTCACCTCCTCTATCATGGGGGAAAAAAAAAACCCATAAATTCTCAAGGTGTATACTGTACACACTACACATATATATGGTGTTCCTCATGATCAATGGATGTCTTTAGGGTTTAGACTTTGGACCAATATCTTTTAGACCAATATGAAGAAAGAAAGAAATAAGAAACTAATAAAGAACACAACCCTTTTTCCCTCGGAATTTTTGATTATCTCTCTCTCTCCCCCCATACCGTACGTCATATTCACATGCCAAGTTTGATTCAACATTTTCTTTAATGGCGCCATTAGCAAACACCTCCAAATGGGGCAAACTTTCAACTAGACCATTCTCCACTGACCATTCCCCACCTTCCACCTCTCTCTCTCTCACACACACACACACACTTTTTTGACACTTTCATAAAAGCAAACAAAATCCCAGAAAAGCAGATAGAAAGACGGATGGCAGATTAGATAGGAAACTACTTTGAAAGAAAAATAATGAGAGAGAGGGGAAGATAAGGTAGCAAGGAGCTCTGGACTTTCAAGTTTCAACCAAGTCAAAAATACCAAATTCCAAGAGAAACACAGCTTTTTTCTTTTTTTTGATTATAAATTGGGCCAGCCCTTTTGAAGGTATATCAAAAGATTAACCATGGTCGTGAATTGAATCAGATGATAGAAGTAGAAAAGAATGCACCTTGCAGCTTAGATAGGGACCATTTTTTCATCTTAAGGTGGGCTATGAATATTTTCACTGGGCAATTTGCAGGAATGGTAAAAATGAGGTAACAAATTTTGCAGGATGATGAGATTGGAATTGTGGGGATCTTGTCAAGATCTTCAATTTAATCAGAGTCTTTAACTTAATTTGATAAGATTTGAAGATGTGATAGGAAAGTTGGGTGGGGAGGATTGAACTAAATTTGGGAAGTTTTATTAGCCCAGTTAGGTAGAAGAAGAATGGGATTGAAATGCACGCTTGCAATGACACATTTGGCCACCTCATATTTTCATGAATGAAAGAAAAAGAAGAAAACCAAGAGGGTCAAAGAAAAAGAAAGGAACTTGAAGAAGAAAAGAAACCTTACCAAAATAACTCTCAAAGAAGGAAAAAAGGGTCTATATATCATCAAAATATCATAACACAGAAAAATAAAAAATGATGATGGGGGAATATGAAATGAATCATCATGAGCATAGTTTCCAATGGGTAATGTAAATGGCAGATAAAAACATTAAAAAGGTGGCAACAAAGTTGACTGATTCAAGGAAAGTGACCAATGTAGGAGGGGGCAAGAAGGTAATTTAAGTAAAACCTGGCCCAAACTGCAATAAAGAAAAGGGCATCACCATCATCAAAGCCAAAGCCATCATCCCACAACAAAACACACACAGTCACACACTAATATAGCCAGCCCCAAAGCCTAAAAACAAGGTACTTGCCAACCACTGCAAAACTCAGCAGAAAAATACAGAGCAGTGTTTTTTTTTTTTTTTCCCATTTCCATTTTTAACTCTCTGTCTCTTTCTCTCTCTTACTGCTGCTTTTTCAGCACCATCTCATATTCTGATTTCTTCTCTCTCTAAAGCCATATCTATATGTTGTTTGTCAAAGCTATCCTATTCCAATGTCCTCAGCAGAACAGGCAAAAATAAAGAAGGAGAAAAACCCTCCATTTTAACAAAGCAGAAAGAGTCAGTCCACATTCTTCCACACCATCACGCCATCCACCCCCACCCAACTCTCCCTAAATGGCCCAGCTGGACCAAAATTTATGTGAGTGTGTAGAACAAAGGAAAAAACCCAAAAAACTACCAAAAAAAAGCAGAGAGAAGAAATGCAAATACAGAAAGAAAGAAAGAAAAGAAAGAGGGAAGATGTCTTCAAATGTCCTCCAACCAAACCCACCTCACCCCTCAATTGCACACACACACACACACACACACGCAGTCACACACAGAAAGCATCAAAATTTAATGCCAGAAATGCCCTTCTGCAACCCATATCCATCTTCATCACTACTTCTCTCTCTCTCTCTCACAGTGTTTTCATTCAAAAAACAAACATACGGCACAAAAATGAAATATATTTTTCCCGATTTATGTGGGCTTTTTTGGGCTTTGTTTCTTGGTCAGTGTTTTTTCACAGAGAAAACAGGGAACAAAGCCAGAACCTTCTCACCCCCCCTCTCATCATCAATACCTTCTTTCTTTTTCTACTTCCACCATATGTCTTTACCCTCCTATCTCATCTTTCTTTATAGCCTTAGTAGTATTAGTCATAGTTGTGGTATTTCCTCATTTTCATTTCCTTCTTCCTTTTGTCCTTATCCCTCCTTTTCCCTTCTGTCTTGGTCTCATAAATATTCATTTGTTTCTTCCCTAACCCTCCGTCTTCCTTCCATTTCCCATCTCTTTGTATTCTCCCTTTATTGAGGGGTCTTGCTTAGTTCAAAGATCGGAACTTTTTGGGTTAAGGGCTTCTGGGTTTTATTCCCTTTTGATCTGGGGTGATGATGTCTAAGAAGATGAAGAAGGTTGCTGTTTTGGAAGCTCCTCAACTTCCTGTTTATGAAGATGCCAAAACCAGGATGAAGCATCAGGCTCTGTTACAGGATTATCAGGACTTGCAGAAGGTTTGTTTTTTACTGATTTGTTTGGCCCTTTTTTTGTTTTTCTCTCTTTCTTGGTGTGTTAAGATCTAAGAGGCTGCTTTTTGTTTCTGGGTGTTGTTTTGATCTGATTCTCGATGTGTTTGTGAATCCCTTTTGCTGCTTTTGTGGCTTGAGGATTGCTGTGTTCGTACTTGATTAGAATTCTCGCAGATGTGTTTTGGTGTTCTCTTCCCCTGTTTTTGGTTTTTGGTTGGTTGAATTTGTGAGTGGGTTTTTGATGTGTTGTGCTTTGGCTTTACTCCTCCAAAATCAGTGTTTCTGCCCCTAACCTTGCGGAAAAATTACTTCTTCTTGAGCGGGTTGAGAGCATTGAGCCTAAATTATGTTCTGTTTTTCTGGGGTTTTTAGCCCCTTGTAGTTCTAGCCTCAGTTACCGCGCTATCTCAGTTGATTTGTGTTTGGTTAGTAACGTCTATGCTTGGTTGAGCGAATGCCAATTTTATTTTGTCTTTCCGTTGATTTTGAGTTATTTCTGAGAAAAGATTTTACCTTCCTTTTCCTTTTTGTGTGGTATATTTGGTTAGTTTGTTTTTCTCATTTGTAAAGTAGACATCTTTTTTGTACACAAATATGAGAAATGAGTCTTGATCTTGCACCAAAGCTAAATCATCATGTTGTTGTGATACAGGAGGTAAATGACATAAAAAACAAGTTGGATTCTGCAAAAGACAGGAAGCTGAGGTTGTTGGCTGAAGTTAGGTATATTATTTTGCCTTTGATTCTTAAATTTGGTTACTAGATGATCTGTGCTTCTTTGTTGGTTATAATTTTTACCAAACTTTTCCTGTTCTTGTAAGAACGAGTGTTTGGAAAGTATGCTTTACTTCTATGCTTATCTCTCTGCTAATGCCGATGCGTGATATAGTTTATGGGTTGAGGTTTAGGTAAAGATTTGAGTGTATATAACAAACTTGTTAGGTCGTAAGGGGAACATATTGTAGGACTGGTAATTAACGTGCCTATATAACGGTTTAACTTTTCCTTTCTGTTTTTTTCTTTTTTGGCTATGCAATTACTGTTGCACGTCTGGCAAATGATAAATCCTTTGTTTTATTTGAATTTTGACCATATAGGTTTTTGCGTCGAAGGCATAAGCATCTGATAGAGATGAAGTCCTTGGGCTACTCTCAAGTTGCACCGCCCAATGTGGGAAGGAAAGGGAGTGAAAGTTCAAAGAGTCGCAATTCAAAGAGAAAGGATGCCTTCAAATTACCTCCTCGTCCAGAAGCAAAACCTAAAGGGAAGTTGTATTTTGTGAAGGAAGCAGCTCTGAGAAACACAGCTCCAGTCCTTGATTTGAACCGTAGGCAGTCACTGGATGTTGAAAATGGAGCTAGCCTGCGTAGTATATCTCTGGTTCCAGAGACAAACGGCCGAAGGTGGTCCAATCTCAATGAGCTTGCTGTTCAGAATACAGACACGGTTATGAATTTAAACAGCCAACAAAGGCAGGCAGGGAATGATACTGCCTTTGCTAATAAAACTCCAATCTTTGACTTGAATAAGGACACAAGTTTTAGCGGGAAAGAAGTTACATTGACTAGTAATCGTGCTCCAATCTTCGACTTGAATGAGATTTCGGTAAGTGGCTGAGCACCACCACATTGGAAGGCTAACTTTGAAATGGTGACCATGTCTTTTCTTACCATCTTTGTTTGGTTCCTGTTACAGGCGGAGGAGGAAGAAATGCAGAACGCTTACGAACCATTGAAGTTTGAGGAGCCAAAGATGGGTCTTACAAGAGGCGGAAATGAAGAACAACCTAATGACCTTAAGTTATCCGTGTGTAGGAATTCAGGGGAAGGTTCATCACGGATGGGGAAGCGAAAAATCTCATGGCAAGACCCGGTGGCCTTGAGAGTTTGAGCTCCTTGTTTTTCTGAAATGCAATAGAAGGTCAATACAGCAACTATTACCATTTGTTAGTGAGGTTCATCGGAAAAATCGTCTATAGTCAATATGGGATTGCAGTCGAAATAGACTTTTTAGGCTTCTATAGAATTTTATGAAGACTATCCCGTCTCCTGGTTTGTAAAGGAAATTTTAGCTCCATATGTCAAATACTAATGTTCTGTACGCTACTATTTTGCAACCGATATGACAGTAGAAATTAATACATGTATTTAGCGTATGTAAAAGGCCAAAAAAAGGCCTCTTTTGGCAGAGACTTAGACTGAGTAAACAAGGAAAATTTGGTGGGAAAAGCTGAAAATGCCATCTGTATTTTCTTTCATCGTGAAGAATATTCGAATACTACTAACAAATCAAGCCCCTCAATTTTGTTGTTGTAACTGCCCTTCCGGCATCATTCTTGCAGGGGAAAATAGTGGCCCTTTTAGGTCAAGAAAAACCAGCCACTTGGCCCCATTCCTAATGTTCTCATTTTTGGCCGGTTGGTGAGGCTGATTTATCAAGGTTGTTATTTGCATACGTAGGTAACAACTGTTTCCTCATCTTTTGCCTTCTGTTCTTGTGGAAGAGATTCTGGTTTCGTTTTGAATGTCGGTAGTACGTGTACGTGTGTGTTGATCGTGGCGGACTCATCATATTCGAAGGTTCTTCACACATTTCCCCCTGTTTACATACATACATATATATATATATATATATATATATATATATTTTTAATGTCTTCTGCTCTTGTGCTGGACGGCCGCATAGATTGGAGAACAAAGTATTCTTCCGGCCTTGACTTATTTGGATTGGTTCTTTTTCCAAATCTGAACCAAACATTTGAAAAGGTTTTGGAAAGAAACTCCCAAAAACCAAAAATTGTGTATTAATTGAGAAGATCAATCGTATAGCTAACTGTGTTGATTGAACCAGTCAGTTTGATCCAAAATTTATCAGCTACGTACTGAACTGTCTTCATGGCCAACAAAATGCAAATTTAGTTATCCTGAAGAATAATAACTATGAAAAAGAATTACAAATTCCTTGAAAAAGTTCAAAAGATACAAGGTTAGTCACCCTCATGGAGCCCTCTCCATTTTATTTTTCCATCAGTCCTGCAATATTTCATGAGAACCCTGGAACAGAAATCACATTGGAGAATGTTTAAACTTTAAAGTCTTACTACTACACTGCACAGCTGCAAGCAAACATTCCGGCTCAGTAACTCAAATTGACTCACTGAACTCTTCAAGGCGTTTTGTACTCAACAGTTCAGTGTGTCAATTGCAACTTCTGCTGCCTCACAATCTTTCGCTTCCTCAATGACAATTAGATCACAGCGTTTTACAGTTTCCTCTTTTGTAGCCCTATCAACATCATCAAATGCATGATTCTCTTCTTCAGTAGCTTCACTGGCATTATCCTCCCCCTGACTGGTGTGAGGGGTCAAAACAGCTTGACCTTTTTCAGCAGCCTTTTCAAGCAATCTCGTGTGCTTCTTACCTTTCCTATGATCTTCCATCACTTTTTCGTTCTTGGCTCCAACCTGGCACATGTCACACCAAAACAAGAAATTATTCTTTTCCTTGGGCTTCCTTTTAGGGGCTTTCTGTAGTTTAACCTTCTTTAGCTTTTTGTTCTTTGCATTTTCTGGCAAAATTAACACATTATTTGCATCCAAACACTTTGTAGAAACATCATGCAATGAGGATGGCTCACTTTGGCCAATCTGTGATGCTACTTCCCCTATTTTCACCCCTTGTTCCATGTCCACACTATGAGTAACTTCTATAACAGGCTTCAGTTTCTTATTCGGTACAACACCAAGCCCAATGTTACAATTCTTCTTTTCCTTCAATGCGGCTTCCTTTGACTTGTGTTTCTTTCCTTGGATGTGTTCATTTAAGGCACGCTCACTGGTGGTACTAACTTCACAAATGTCACAACTCCAAACTCCATTCCTTTTTGTATTCTTAACATTGAATAGCTGTTTTGCACTCACTTCTACAGGAGATACAGCTTTCCTCTTCATTCCAGAAAGATCAGCACCGGGTTTGGTCTATATAGAAAACTCAAGCACAATCCATAATTAGATAGATTTAACTCTAAACCAGCAAAAGAGAACAGAATATGATAGTTTTCAGCCACTGCTCCCAAAGAGCAAAATAATGACAAAATATTAAAACAATAAAAAGAATGTTTACAAATTGCTATTTAATAGCCCTGAGCTGTAAACGAAAAATACTAAGCATTTGGACTTGGGAGTTAATATGCATATAGTCCAAAAAATGGCGTTGGAGGTAATACAAAATACGCAAAAGAACAAATACTCATAAAAGATTACGAGGCAGCGTAGAAACGTCATTCACTAATCAGAGAAAGCATGACCTCTGTGAAAACTTTCAAACTTCTAAGCACTTGGCTAACAGCAGCTAGAGCTCTAAAAGACGAACTTCGATGACAAAATCAGTGAAGAGATGCCTAATATAAATCAGCTTCCAAATTTAGAAGCCAACCGACACCAAAACATAGTTTGACAAGTAAATTCTGGTGTACTTGAGATTGGAGATTCTAAGCTTAATACATCCTTAGTACAGTTTTGACTCTCAAAATGCATCATAACAAAACAAATTTTCACAGAAAAGGAGCAATAAGATCTAATGGAGCGTATTCAAACAATTTAGCCTTTTAAAGTGTCTTCACCATAGCGAGCAATGGGATCAATGACCAAAGCTCCGGAGATAATCATGACTGATGAGATTACCCCATCAAAACCATACATAGATTCACCAGTATGCACAGTTGAGCTAACTGATTCTTGAAAACCAGTTGAATTATACAGAAAACTAAGTACTGGTAAATACGCAAGCCTTTGAGACTCGGTCACATACCAAAGATAGAATAAACGGCATGACCTCTAACTGAAAAAATTCAATAGATTCCAGAAACTTCAATAATTCAGAATAAACACTGTCAATCAAGAGCTTCGGTTGCAATGTCACCTTTTATAATTTAGAATGTGATCCCTTGATTTCATAATGTCCATGTGTAGTGATAGAAAAGTTCAAAAAGATTACAAAGGGATCCACCTGAATTTTGATTCTTTGAATGACAATTTCCTTCTATCTAACTGACAAATTAACATGTTAAAGATTCACTAGAAAATCTAGAGCGAACATGATACAGAGATAACCGAAGGAACTCTTTCAAAAGAATTCAGAACTAAAATCCTAATCAGTAAAGGCAAAATTCAAGATTCACCTTCAAAATCACTTTACTTGTTCGCAAGTGATTCCAAGGAGAATCCATTATCTCACACCCTAATGATTAGAGTCAAAGTTCTTCATTCTTTCTATCAGACCTCCTAGATGCTCTACATTCACATCACTCAAGATTTTAAACTAAACAACAAGAATATGCATCACTGCATTCAGGCTATGCTTTCCTTATGAAATTTAAATAATCCTGTGTGGAAGGAAAAGGTCACAATTATGGGGAAAAAAAACCGGCAAAAACAACAAAGTGGCTGACAGATTAAGTTAGACATGGCTATTATGGAAGCAGAGAAAACTCAGTTCTGAAGCTAACCCAAACAATGATCAAATAAATACTAAGGAACATATAGAACAAGGAAGGTTTTGATTAGATAACTTGATGTTGGTTTCAACATGCAGAAGTCCATGAGTAATCTTATCAGTGAATACAAAGTGTACCCAAAGTGTACCCAGTAGAAGTCAATATCAATTAATTAGGATATGTAAAAGAATGACTCGCGTTGTACCCCCTTCTCCTTTGCCTCCCGTCCCCCGACAAGTTGTAGAGAAAAGCTAAGAAACCTTCTTGAAAGCAAATGTCAGCGAAATTAGGGAAAAAGTAACACAGGCTCTTAATTCCATAGGTGGGCGACCAACAGGAAACCAACTTCCAAAGGGCTTTGCAATTCATCGTAGATAAAAGTTGAAATCCCAGAACAAATGGCGAAGTTCCTAAAATCAACCAAACAATTCAAGGCACTAAAACTTGCTTAAAATTTCACTCCCAAACTAGAGTTTTTCAGTCCATCAGAAAAGTGAAAACCTTTACTAACACCCAAAATTACTAGAGAAAATATTCTAAATGGGATTATGTTCACTTTTGGTTCATAAAGAAGGTATAGATTTTTGGAGTTCCTACAAGAGCATAATAACATGCAATCTAGTACACAAGACAGTGATGCATCTTTTGTACCAGTCATGCATACAACTACGCTCTCATTAAGATTTTCCAAAATTTGACACCTTCTCCACGAATATTGATATTTATCACACCCCAAAAACTGAAGTTAATAGATGAACACAAACCATAAAACATGAACCAAAAGTATTTTCCACATGAAATCATTCATTTCATACCTATCAGAAAAAGGAAAGGAGTTGCATATACACAGAAACACAATATCAACAACACATGCCCAGAGACTAAACAAAATTTACTCAGAACTGCAGTTGAATAGCCTTACCACCAACACAGATTAAGGAGGCAAAAAGAGGGGAAATTCACACTGACCAGAAAAACAATTTTCTCCTTTTGTTGGCCATTTTCCGAATGAGAAGGTGCAGGCTCTTCAACCTTGGGGCTAATGGTCCTGCTTGGCTGAAAAGGAACAACATCAAATCCTTGAGTTTCACATCTTGCCCGCATCCTTAAGCTTTCTTCTGCATACATTGCGATTCTTTCCTCCAGTGATCGCCCCTTAGCATCTTGCAGGAAGGGAAACCCCCTAGATTCTGATGGTAACCCAGCTTCCATCGGATATGAAACTTTGCCAAAAGCATTGCCTTCTCTAACTCTCATAGCCAATTCTCTCTCCAATTTGAGTTCTGCCCGTACTTCAGCCTCCAATATTCTTCTCCGGGCAATCTCTGCAGCAATGATCTCCTCCCTAATCCTCTCCTTCTCTAAAGCTCTCTGAATTTCCTCCTTAACATTGTTTGAAGGACCAAAACTATTATCTACCCAGCCAAATCCTTGTCCATGATACCCACTTGTGTGCACAACTCCATGGTTAAGATAGTCATTACTCATCCCAAACCTGAAATTTCCGTGACCCGCTGTCACTATTGGCCTTAATTCCGTATTTCCTGCAATCAATACAACTTATAATGATGCAATAATGATTTTTGACCAAAATCGATCTCCTCTCTTTTTCACCCAAAAAAACTAATTCAAATAGATGGAACAGAGGGCTGTCTCTGACTCCCAAGATTCAAAGGAACTGGATTTTCTTTTCTTTTCTTGTTTCCTTTTTTATTTTTTGGCATCCTAACAAGCAGCATTATCAAGAAAATTTTAATTTTGTGTAGAGAAACTTCCCATCTTGAGGCATACAACAAACAATCACAGCTGAATTGATCAATGTACTATAAACAAACTGTACATGAATTTTTGAAAACCCAACTGAAAAACGAAAGAGAAGACTCACCTCCAGCGGTTGATTCAGCAGAGAAAACGAGGCCAGACTGTGGCGGGGGCAATGGCGTCAGCTGTTGCGGCTGCCCGTGACTGTACTGCAGCGGAGGCGGCGGTTCCTCGCCGGCGGTGTATCTGAATGCCATGGCCGGGTTTAACTCGGCCGCTATCAGAAAGGGTGTTTTTTTTATTTATTTTTTTATTTTTTACTCCAATTAAAGATTCGAGATTGAGTGCGAGACCTGCAAGGAGCGGGTTTAAGGTTTGGGGTTTTTGTCTAAAAATTGTGTACAAAAGTTGCGGTTAAAGATTAACGATATTGACATTTTTGACGGGTAAAATTGCGCACCCTATTTCAAAGTAACGGTTTTTTTAATTTGAATCATCCATACGTCACTTCTTTTTTTCCTTTTTTTTTTAAAAAAAATATATTTTTTTTTGGAAAAATAACATTTCGTTAAACTTACTAGAAGTTAGCCAACACTGATCGACACAAGAAATTTGACTATGTCGACCAAAGTTTAAAAAACATTCTTTTTCCATTACTTCAACGAGGAATCGTTACCCAAAAATTATTTTCATTGTATTTGGTACAATAGTTTTTAAACATTATAAATTAAATCATGTCGTCCATTATTTAAAAAATATAAGCTCATTCAGATCTACCAAGTGGAATTAATTCAGGTTGAATTTTTTAAGGAAGAAAGAAAAAATTCATTTGTTTGTTGAAAAACGTCAGCTACGATTGATAATACAATTAACATGTCTAAAACATAATTTAGAATAAATAACAATCATAATTTTATGTTTATAATAGATAAACATGTGCAGATCTACTCGAATTAATGATGATCATATCATATATCGGATGAAACTTTTATAAATTATAAATATGACTAATTTTTCTCGAACAATGCATAATAAGCACGAAAACATCACCAACGAAATCACGAACGATATAAACGATATACCCCACCCTTAACCAGTATATTAGTGCAACCAATTGAGAGAACACTACAATTAAAAAATACTTTTCCATCTCAATGAAATGAATTTTGGGGCTAATCCCCTTTGTTGGATAATGAAAAGAAAAATGAGAATAGGGGTATTCCAACATACAGGTGGAAATAAATTGTTTAGAAGCGCTTGAACTTCTACATGATGTTCATCTCATCGAACTGGAAGGTAGCCTTCATGGAAGGTAGACTTTTGCAATATGGTTTGGAAGTTCGCATCACTCATATACCAGGGGAAGCAAACCAGACCGCTGATGCTTTAGCTAGATTAGGTCACTCGTACACGTTAGGGGTACACCTTTTGGATAATCCTCCTCTGGGGATTATTGAGTTTATGTGCAAAGACATAGTTACTAGTAACTATCAGGGGCAACCTCTCTAAACTTCAAGCTTTTTGGCTTCTTAATTATACTAGATGGAGGTGCACCGTACGAGGTGCGGTGGTGGGTGTAAGGGGACCCGGATTATTAATATTTGATAACAAATTAATAAATAGCAAGAAGTAGGTGAATTTTGTTTTATTAGATGATATACAATTTGCTGGAGTAATTGTACACGGGTATTGACATAGAAAGAAACACCGCTATGAACATAATACATGATATAAGATTACATGAGATGAGCAGAACTGTTCAATTCGGCTTCGATGGTTGTAGTTCGTTGCAGTAGAAGTAGAAGTCTCCATTCTCTGTTTAGTGCTGTTTTTGAGATGTATTTCCATATTGGATGAGATAGAAGTCGTTTTAATAATTCGTTGACTTCTCTTTCGAACCAGGAGTTGTATGTGCACTGTCCACAATAGATGCAAGTACATGTTTCAGGGGTCGCCATTTTGTGAGTTCAGAATTTTAGGTGCAAGTTGCATTATAAATAGGAGCAATGAATTAGAAAATATAGAAAAATAAAAGAAAAAGGAAAAAATGACAGTAAAATGAGAATTTAGGGACAATACTCGAGCCGTATTCAACTTGATAGGGGTTGGACTGCGTTTTTAGTTTAATAGATCTATTTTAGTGTATGAAAATTTGAATAAGGGAGTACAATGTTGTTAGTGAAGGGCTTGGTGATATTTGAAGATGTTTAATTGAAGAGGTGGCCGGCTGGGGTGTTTATAAATATACACGTAGGGAAAGTTGTCAGTGTGTGTTATATAGGTGTAGTTCAGATGTTATATAAGAACAAACCTTTAGTTGTTAAGGCATGGTGTGGTGATACATGGTAGTAAAATGAGGTGTGTGGTAAGAACATACCTTTATTTGTTAAGAACAGACCTTTATTATGTGTATTTTGTTTTCTTATGATTTTTGAGATTTAAAATTTTTTTTGGTTATTTCGGCTTCTAAACCATGTGTGGTCTGTCCATATGAGATTTGACATCGATAATAAATGGTATATGAAGATGGAAATTGCTGGAATTTAAATTGATACACAACGGGAGCATTAGGTATATAACCTTTGATAACATTAGGAACACCATTTACTACAACAACCGCTATGTACACAAAATATATATTTACGCAAACATGATTTTGTGGGATATGAATGGTAGTCATGTTTGCCAAAAAATAGAGACCAAGTATTGCTCTATTGTCAGCTCCTACTAGAAGTAGTTAAGAGGCATTCCTAATACGTACCAAAAGGTGGTTTTTCTTGGTTCTTAGTCTTGTTTGGCATGTTTGGTTGCTCGATGTGCCAATTTTGTTGATGATGTGAAACTTCTTTTTGCGGGTGGGGTTGTGCTTTGTGGTTGAGTAGATGCACTTGTTTCTTCTCCGGTCATTGTTATGTCTGCAGTTGTTACTTGCGGGATGTTGGAAGAGATTTTTTTCTCGCTGGATTCTGCTGGTGTTAAAGATGGTGAAGATGGGAGAACATATGCAGCAACAATGTATTTCGTAGGTGCTTCTTTTGTGGCCTTCGTGCTTGAACGCAAGTGGAAGAGTCTGTCTAGATCTTCAAACTCACTGTTGATTCGGTCGATGTCTAGGTGTCTTTTGCTGTGTAGATAAAGGGAAAAAGTCAGATGGGCAGTTTACTTTCATATGTGTGGACACTGTTGATGAGGTGATGTTATGTGTTAGAAGAAGAGAAGAAGAGTGCCTGTTGTTGGAGTTTAATTAGTTCATCCGCTGTCATGGTGAGAAGATTTTCAGCTTCCTTTGCTTCAATTAGGGTGGTGAGATCGCCTGTTCCATCTGTGAGTTGTATTTCGAACTGAAGTATGTTAATGAAACTTGTTAATTCTATATAATGGAGGATCAAATTACTAATACGACCTGTTAATTTCAAGATATAGATAACATATGCCACTGAGGCAATAAGTGAACTTACGCAGGTTTTGAATTGGGCTGATTTGTTTTGCAGTATAGACAAGTAAAGCTCTTCGGATGAGATCCACCACACATTCTAGAACAATTTGGGCATGTTAATATGTAAAGATGCTGATCCGTATTGACGATGGATGCCTTTGCTTTTACCCAAAATGATTTAGGCTGCATATGCAAATACATTCGAGTGGAAAAGGTTATATAATGACAGTATTTTTAATGATTAAAACAGAGATAAAGAAGGAGTACAAATGTTGTGATACCGGGTTGCTGGAGTTTGACCGATTTTGCGAATGCGAGAGTTGCTTGGTGTTGTAATTGTTTGATGTTGTTTTTCATACAATTTTTGAGAGACCACAGCTTCTATGTATTCTGTGTTGGAATCTAACCTGAAATGAAATCACAAGTGAAAATGTTATGTGAGAGGGAAAACTTCATGCATATATTTATAAATTTTATGTGTTCTATAATAGACATTTATCAGAATGTTCTGAAGTTGAAAAGAGAAGAAGTGCTATTAGAATATATTTAATTGGACAAGCTATCTATTAAGTCTTTCTATTTAATTTGGTTGCTCGCAGAAAAGCAGTGACTTTCAATTTCAATTCAAAAACATCTCAAACTAATTCAACAGAAGAATCGTTGTAACATTAAGGCATATAGGTAGTTCCTGAGCTTCAGATGGTGATTTTAAACATGTATTTCCCATGACTGGAGTTGTTGAGCTCTATGGGAATGACGGTATTATGGGTTTTTATGTAACTAAATATGTGTAATGTGTAATAAATCAAAGGCCAACAGGTATTGAAATCTGTCAACATAAAAGCTAATGTCTGCTGGGTGTTTCGTAAATCTAGAAGTAATGAATTCAGAATGAGATGAGATGACGCTAAATTTCAATCATTTAGACACTAAATTTAATTATTTGTTTACCATGATCGAAGCAGGTGAACTTCAGGTATCGGCGGGTCAAACAAGATGACACTGTTGGGTTGTGCATTAAGAGACATACCTGGCATTTTATGGGCAGAATTAATTGATATGTATGTAGACATGACATGAAACAAAGAGCAGCGAAATTGGTGTGAATAAACGGGGAAGATTAAGAGCATCAGAAAACTGTCTTTTACCGTGAAAAGTGGTGACAGCCAAGCTTGTCCCGATTATTATCGAGTTCTTGTGAATATTGTTAACCAGATGTTCACGTTCTGTTCGTAAAGATTCCTCCCACAAGCTCAGTAGCATTGGTTTTAATCTGGAAAGCAACAAAGATGTTGTAATGGATTTTTTTTTTGTATATTTCACATAGTGAAAGAAAGTAAAAAAGAAAAAATCCTGCTAAAAAAGTGATGCATACTCTTCATTCATGACAACAAACTCATGTATGTGTTTTCTTTTACTCTGAATAAAACATGGTGGCAGAAAGTGTATAACACCACACAGTACATCTGGGAAGGAGAGATAATTGTTAGGGGCTTTCCTTTATCTTAGATGGTTTCAGTTTGCTAAAAATACTGAAACAAAGAGCTTACCAACTCTCTCATCTGATGATCCCAAGAATTCTGAAAATTCTGCAAATGGTGTCAGCTGGTAGACATTATCCAGCGATAGATCTTCTTCTTTGGTTGTTGCCTTAATGTAGGTGCTCCTGCTGAGAACCATTTGGTACTTATAATCCACCAGAATGGAGAAGTTTCTGTTTAGCGCCATGATTTTTCCATTTCCAATGTAGTAAGTCTTGTAGAGTTTCAGCACTTCATCAAGATCTGGGCGTCTGGGCGGAATACGATGCACTGTATTTTGGTGTGCTGTCCACAAGTAGTTTGAATTAGTATAAATTGATTCATAGAATTAAATCTTTAATCAAACCGTATTAGAAATTACTGAGTACAAATGGAAAAATCTTTATCAAATCAGAAATTATGATTTTTGAAAGAAAGTTAAGTTGGTTTGGTGTTGTGACTCCTCAA